ATTAGAAACCAAACTGGAGAAGAACTAAAATTTTCAGCAAGCACTTGAGCAGACATACTTTGACATGAGCTTCAAGCTGCAAGGGCATACCATTATGATGAATCATTTTGTTTTTGGTATACATTTGCACTGGAAATTTTGCAAGTTAATTATTAGTGATGATGGATTTGTTGATGTACAATGTACTTGTTTGTGGGTGTGCAGCTTAAGTGGAGGGGACCATCTCCCTGAGGCCCATATTTTTATCTTTGACCATAGATGATGAATCACTTCTGACAGAAGTTACTACAAGTGTGATATGATCACATTGTATTCTGTGCCCCCTGAGCAGGTCCTGGCTGCACCCATGGTTATATAAGATGGGTGATAGTTTGTTCTCTGCCATGAAAGGAATTCTCAGAGGACATATCACTACTCCATAGTGATATGAAATGAATTGCAATGCTTGCAGTGGTGGTTGTGAAATACCAATGCAAACAAATAGGACATGCACAAAATTTTAGAACACATTTTGCATTACTTTCTGTTTATATCATGTAGATGTGTGCATGCAACTGTTGCATATAATGAAATCGTTGCAAACAGCATCAAGGATAACACCTTCAGGCATTTTGATTTGCTTTTCAGCAGTCTAGCTAATAGCCATACAAGGCGAAACTGCCTTTGTGGCAGATATTATCTGTTCTCATGTCACTTACATCTTTGATTGCATGCATCTCCTCTGCTTTTTGTGTATGTGTCTTGATGCGTGGTTGTATAATAACTCATTTTATAGATATTGTTTTGTGATATTTTCATCAGATGGACTAAGCACAATTGTTTGGACAACTTGTCTGATTTGAGGAATCTGATGCCTTGGGTTTGTGACATGACTGTGACCTGGCAGTGAAGGAGATTGGAGTGCCAGACCTGCTTTCACTGCCTGTCTCGACCCTGGAGCACGAGTACCATTTGGGACCAGGGGAGGTGCTCCAGGCCAGACACCTGCTGATGGTGGAGGCCAGGAGGGCTCTCACACCTGTCTCAGGTAAAGTGCAGTCATATGAGGTACCTAAAGACCTGTATCCTGGTTGAATCATGTGTTCCCATTTCCTTATATACATCTGCTGCAGGATCAGGTAGGTCCCTTGTTGTCATCTTTAACCTTTCATCATGGTAAAGGTACTGGTGGCAACATCATGTGTACACATCTACTTGTCACCCACTCATTATATCAGTGACTGTCTCATGCAACATTCCTAAAGTCATCCAGTAGGGTGTGCAGGATGTGATTGTGAATTAATGCTGCCAGAATCCTGGCTCTTCGACGGCCCCGTAAACAATTCGGTGGTGCTAATCCGTTGCTCTTTGACCCCGAACCCGGACATCTGACCTGCCCGGCCCAGTTTTTCAAGCGTGAGGCACTCAAGTGCTGGGTTGCCCGGTGCCCGGTTCGATGCTGATTGGTCGATTTTGAGCTAGGGGAGGAGCAACAGGTGGTGAATCCCATGCCGGGAATGTAAAACGACAAACAAAATATTGACATACCTGCCAACTAAATGGCTGAATTCTGGATCCCTGGTTTCGCACATCGCTGCGCTGCGGGCCAGGCCACTGGGGTCGGCTCGGCGCCGGGCTCCGCCGGCGGCCGCCTCAGGCCGTGCTATGCCGCAGCGCTGTCACTGCTGGAGGCGGAGGCGGACGGGCCGGCGCCGCTGTCGCTCGGCTGTGCGCGGCTGGACGCGCTGCTGGCCGGCGGCCCTGCTCCGGCGCGGCCTCACCGAGCTGGCCGGCGAGAGCGGCTCAGGCAAGACGCAGCTCTGCCTGCAGCTGGCGCTGGAGGCGGCCTCCGCCACAGGACAGGGTACGGCTTCGCCAGGGGGCGGGCCTCGCTACCGAACGTTACACGCTCCGGTAGGTACTACCCTCCTAATAGGGTACGGCACGCGGAGAGGCGCCAACGAGCAGGGTACGGTCCTGGAGGGGTGTCGCTCAGCGGAATACAGGATCAGAAGAGGCACCGCTGAACAGAGAATTGTATCAGGTAGGAACGCCGTACCACCAAACGGTACGGCACGAAAGGAAGGGCTCCTCGCCAAGGACCTGGTTGCCATACCGTGACTGATATCAACAACAGGATACAGTACCGGGAAGGTATCACCGAGCGGCTCAGTACCGGGAAGGGATCACCGAGTGGGGCTCAGTACCGGGAAGGTATCACCGAGCGGGGCTTAGTACTGGGAAGGGATCACCGAGTGGGCTCAGTACCGGGAAGGTATCACCGAGCGGGGCTCAGTACCGGGAAGGGATCACCGAGTGGGGCTCAGTACCGGGAAGGGATCACCGAGTGGGGCTCAGTACCGGGAAGGTATCACCGAGCGGGGCTTAGTACTGGGAAGGGATCACCGAGTGGGGCTCAGTACCGGGAAGGGATCACCGAGTGGGGCTCAGTACCGGGAAGGGATCACCGAGTGGGGCTCAGTACCGGGAAGGGATCACCGAGTGGGGCTCAGTACCGGGAAGGTATCACCGAGCGGCTCAGTACCGGGAAGGGATCACCGAGTGGGGCTCAGTACCGGGAAGGTATCACCGAGCGGGGCTTAGTACTGGGAAGGGATCACCGAGCGGGGCTCAGTACCGGGAAGGGATCACCGAGTGGGGCTCAGTACCGGGAAGGTATCACCGAGCGGCTCAGTACCGGGAAGGGATCACCGAGTGGGCTCAGTACCGGGAAGGTATCACCGAGCGGCTCAGTACCGGGAAGGGATCACCGAGCGGGCTCAGTACCGGGAAGGGATCACCGAGTGGGGCTCAGTACCGGGAAGGGATCACCGAGCGGGGCTCAGTACCGGGAAGGGATCACCGAGTGGGGCTCAGTACCGGGAAGGGATCACCGAGCGGGGCTCAGTACCGGGAAGGGAATCACCGAGCGGGGCTCAGTACCGGGAAGGGATCACCGAGCGGCTCAGTACCGGGAAGGGATCACCGAGTGGGGCTCAGTACCGGGAAGGGATCACCGAGCGGGCTCAGTACCGGGAAGGGATCACCGAGCGGGGCTCAGTACCGGGAAGGGTATCACCGAGCGGGCTCAGTTACCGGGAGGATCACCGAGCGGGCTCAGTACCGGGAAGGGATCACCGAGTCGGGGCTCAGTACCGGGAAGGGATCACCGAGCGGGCTCGAGTACCGGGAAGGGATCACCGAGCGGGCTCAGTACCGGGAAGGGATCACCGAGCGGGCTCAGTACCGGGAAGGGATCACCGAGCGGGCTCAGTACCGGGAAGGGATCACCGAGCGGGCTCAGTACCGGGAAGGGATCACCGAGCGGGCTCAGTACCGGAAGGATCACCGAGCGGGCTCAGTACCGGGAAGGGATCACCGAGCGGGCTCAGTACCGGGAAGGGATCACCGAGCGGGGCTCAGTACCGGGAAGGGATCACTGAGCGGGGCTCCGTACCGGGAAGGGATCACCGAGCGGGCTCAGTACCGGGAAGGGATCACCGAGCGGCTCAGTACCGGGAAGGGATCACCGAGCGGGCTCAGTACCGGGAAGGGATCACCGAGCGGCTCAGTACCGGGAAGGGATCACCGAGCGGGCTCAGTACCGGGAAGGGATCACCGAGCGGGGCTCAGTACCGGGAAGGGATCACCGAGCGGGGCTCAGTACCGGGAAGGGATCACCAAGCGGGCTCAGTACCGGGAAGGGATCACCGAGCGGCTCAGTACCGGGAAGGGATCACCGGGGGGGGGGGGGGGGGGGGGCTCAGTACCGGGAAGGGATCACCGAGCGGCTCAGTACCGGGAAGGGATCACCGAGCGGGGCTCAGTACCGGGAAGGGATCACCGAGCGGGGCTCAGTACCGGGAAGGGATCACCGAGCGGGGCTCAGTACCGGGAAGGGATCACCAAGCGGGCTCAGTGCCGGGAAGGGATCACCGAGCGGCTCAGTACCGGGAAGGGATCACCGGGGGGGGGGGGGGGGGGGCTCAGTACCGGGAAGGGATCACCGAGTGGGCTCAGTACCGGGAAGGGATCACCGAGCGGGGCTCAGTACCGGGAAGGGATCACCGAGCGGGGCTCAGTACCGGGAAGGGATCACCGAGCGGGGCTCAGTACCGGGAAGGGATCACCGAGTGGGGCTCAGTACCGGGAAGGGATCACCAAGCGGGCTCAGTACCGGGAAGGGATCACCGAGCGGGGCTTAGTACTGGGAAGGGATCACCGAGCGGGGGCTCAGTACCGGGAAGGGATCACCAAGCGGGCTCAGTACCGGGAAGGGATCACCGAGCGGCTCAGTACCGGGAAGGGATCACCGGGGGGGGGGGGGGGGGCTCAGTACCGGGAAGGGATCACCGAGTGGGCTCAGTACCGGGAAGGGATCACCGAGCGGGGCTCAGTACCGGGAAGGGATCACCGAGCGGGGCTCAGTACCGGGAAGGGATCACCGAGCGGGGCTCAGTACCGGGAAGGGATCACCGAGTGGGGCTCAGTACCGGGAAGGGATCACCGAGCGGGCTCAGTACCGGGAAGGGATCACCGAGTGGGGCTCAGTACCGGGAAGGGATCACCGAGCGGGGCTCAGTACCGGGAAGGGATCACCGAGCGGGGCTCAGTACCGGGAAGGGATCACCGAGTGGGGCTCAGTACCGGGAAGGGATCACCGAGCGGCTCAGTACCGGGAGGGGATCACCGAGTGGGGCTCAGTACCGGGAAGGGATCACCGAGTGGGGCTCAGTACCGGGAAGGGATCGCCAAGCGGGGCTCCGTACCGGGAGGGAAGCCCGCGCTGCGAAACCATGCGGCGCCCTGTTGGTGGCGTGGACCTCTGTTCTCTACCAGAAGTCATTGCAGATTCTCCTAGCATCGTCCAGTTGAAGTGTCTTATAATGAATCCGATTTGTTTTTCTCCATCAAGAGTGATTAGGTCGCAGACGCAGACGACATGAATCTTTCCTCACAACCCGGGTTGGTGCCTATTTAGTTTTCCGCTAGTCGCGACGGACTGCAATATTCTCTTTACGATGAAGTCATTGTGTTCGCCCGTTCACCGCCGATGTATGTCTCCTGGTCACGGCAGCAGATTACTAACCTATCGTTACTGATGGCAATGCATAGCCGTAAAGATCGCGTCCTATTTCCGTGCGTCTTGGAGCCATTGACTTGTGATCTTTTCAGCCATGCTTTAGTATTCTTCCACTACACGTGTCGGCGATATCCTCATTAGTCACTGCCTCGCTGGTTTAGGTTTAGTCCCTTTCCGCCGTGACTGGTACGACGAGCCGCTGCTGGCTGTCAATTAGTCCCCCTTGTGATGTGTATGGGTACCCGTCCCCAGCCGTGGTGTACGCCTGCACGGAGGACGCGTTCCCCGCGCGGCGTCTAGAGCAGCTAAGGGCCGCCCGCCGGCTGACCACCGCTGTCACAGACCTCATCCTGATCGAGCACGCACCGGACGTGGTGAGCAGATGGCAGTCTCCTCTCCCAGCCCGACCCGTCAAAGGTCAGCACCCGCTCACCACCACGCCCGTCACTGAGCGCCGCGCGTGGTGAGCAGGTGACGGTCCCCTCTCCCAGCCCGACCCGTCAAAGGTCAGCACCCGCTCACCACCACACCCGTCACTGAGCGCCGCATGCGGTGGGCAGACGACAGCCCCCCCCCCCTTCTTCCCAGCCCGACTCGTCAAAGGTCAGCACCCGCTCACCACCACACCCGTCACTGAGCACCGGACATGGTGAACAGACGACAGTCCCCTCTCCCAGCCCGACCCGTCAAAGGTCAGCACCCGCTCACCACCACACCCGTCACTGAGCACCGGACATGGTGAACAGACGACAGTCCCCTCTCCCAGCCCGACCCGTCAAAGGTCAGCACCCGCTCACCACCACGCCCGTCACTGAGCCCCGCACGTGGTGAGCGGATGACAGCCCCCCCCCCCCCCCTCTCCCAGCCCGACTAGTCAAAGGTCACCACCCGCTCACCACTACGTCACTGAGCGTCGCACGTGGGTGAACAAACGACAGCCCCCGCTCCCTCCCAGCCGGACCCGTCAAAGGTCAGCACCCGCTCACCACCACGCCCGTAACTGAGCGACGCACGTGGTAAGCAGACGACAGTCCCGGCCTTCCCCGCCTGATCCGCCAGCTGTCGCTCGCCTGGGGATCATTAAGTGCGTGCAGAAGAGCGAGGCGGACCTGTCATTGTGATGTCACCACTGCACCAATAAGCGTGGATAGCGTCACTGTCACCGTATTGTGTCTTCACTGCATCAGTCTGGTGCCGTTGCTATGATGTCTTTTTGAAACCGAAGACACCGTTTGATAGTATTATCAGTTGTGTGTGATTGTGCTCACGTTTCTCACCTTCTTTGTGTTCGTGGCGGATGACACCAGTCTTGCGCATTTTCCGCCCGCTCCTCAGGACAGTCTGCAGGTGTGCTGTGAGCAGCGCGTGCCTTCTGCGCCTGTGTCCCGGGCGCCTGTCTCACGAGCGCCGCCCGCTCCTCAGGACAGTCTGCAGGTGTGCTGTGAGCAGCGCGTGCCTTCAGCGCCTGTGTCCCGGGCGCCTGTCTCACGAGCGCCGCCCGCTCCTCAGGACAGTCTGCAGGTGTGCTGTGAGCAGCGCGTGCCTTCTGCGCCTGTGTCCCGGGCGCCTGTCCTCACGAGCGCCGCCCGCTCCTCAGGACAGTCTGCAGGTGTGCTGTGAGCGGCGCGTGCCGCAGCTGGCCGGCCGGCGGCCGCTCTGCGCACTCATCATCGACTCTGTGGCCGCCCACTTCCGGTGCCAGTACGAGGCCGGCGAGGGCGGCCGGCGCGCGCGCGATCTCCAGACGCTGGCCGGCACGCTGCGTCGCCTCAGCCGACAGCACAGCGTGGCTGTGCTCTGCGTGAACCAGGTCAGAGACGTCGCTCCGCGGCGCCGCTCCAGCCACGGCCGCCTGCGCCGGTCTGGCGCGCTCTTGTGGCGGCTGCATGGGTTGTGTGGTATGCCATGGATAGAGCTCGCAGCAGCAGCAGCAGCCGCCATGGGTAGAGCTCGCAGCAGCAGCAGCCGTCATGTGAGAGCTCGCAGCAGCAGCAGCTTCGCTCGCCAGGCGTGGCCCGATCTCCACACTGGCGAATTTAAGAGCATTCACAAACGCGCCAAGGTGGGACGTATTAGGTGCACAAAAATTTGTGCGGTATGTGCGCATTTTGGACCGACGTGCTGCAGGGGCAATTACTCACCAATTACCACCACTGATTCGTATTTGACGCAGATCTGGTCAGGAAAGATTGGCTGGTGTCAACATTGCTAGTTCGCTGCGTCTCGTTTTCGATCCAGTTGTTGTGAATGGATGTAAACGTCAGCATTTGACATGCCATCACACTGTTCGGTGCAAGACGACGGAATATCTGACGGAGCTCAGTATGTTTGGGGATGACAATTTATTTAAGATGTTCACGTATGTTTGAAGGACGTCATTTGACTGGCTACGTCTAGCTGCCAAACCAAATCTCCATTAAAAGACATTCAGATGAGTCAGTGCACAACGGTGCAATGCCAGTAAGGTGCCGAATTGGGTGGGGGAGATGATGGCATTGAAGAACTTCCACGATAGATGGTGTCAGAACCTGAGGCGAATACATTCAGACGCCTTTGAAAAACGTGTGAGAAGATTATATCGTGGACGATGTCTGCTATGCAAATGTCGTAGGCGCATGAATGTGAATTCCAGCAGACTTCATTGGACAGGTCCATGAACCTGTGGCAGACGCGGAACCGCAATTTTTACGCTTTGGAAGACGACGTGGTGCCGATTTTCGGTCTTCGTCGCGGGCCATGGAGCGGCGCTTACAAACTGGCGCCACTGAATAAGTAGCAGGTGGTCGGCGTGTCGCGGCGTCCGCGCTCCTCTGCCCCGGTGCCCACGGTGACCCCCGTACTCCCCTGTTACGGCGCCGGACACTGCCGGGGCAGGCATCGGTCGCGTCAAAATGGGGCCGGCCGTACCCGGCGACACGTCAGCTGACGTCCGTTTCACGTTCCCCGCCAGCTGTTCATGTTCCGCGCCGCGGCCATCTTGGCGGTGCCCGCGTTTGCTCTGAGCAAGCGAGAGTTCGAACTTTGCGGATCCCTGCGAAGATGCGGACTGTCTTTCTGCCGGTCACCACCCGTGCCCCATATTCCATGTGGTTAATAGTGTGTGTGTTTATACCTTATGGGCATCAACAAAGGTCTTCCAGGCCCCAAAATGGGATTCGAATGCTTTAAAGGTACCATGAATTCAAAATAAAAACCCGTATGGTGGCGACGTGGGGCCCCTGTAGCCCGGTTTGGCCTGTCCTAGGGGGAATTTGCCTACGCCATTGGAATGTGATCGGTATGTATTGGAAGTAGATACGCGTTTAGTACTACGTAACGCCTGGCCGCCAGGCGCTTTGCAATGAATGGCAAGGATGAGTGGCTGGCAAAAGGTAGATTCGATAGAGAATGGGAGATGCCGCAACTTTTCAGGCATGTAAGTCAAACATATGTGTGGGGAAGCTCAATCCCTTTAGTGTTGTGCTCACATTGGAGACCATTGGGACAGGGGGCGTAATCAAGAGATGGGAGAATTTTGTGGCCATGTCTGTCACCCCTCACAGGTAGTGGGACCCTAATGCCTTTTGATAGTTCAAACGCCCGCAGAGCTCATTTAACGTGAAAAGGTCCCCCGAGACCTCAAAATAGGGTTTCGTTCTTAAAGGCTAATCCGAACGTAAAATAGGGCCGAAGCGACCATCAGTGACACCCCATTTGGCTAGAAGGTTCCCTTTGATCAATTTCAACCGCTCTTGGCCGAAATTCTAGCCACGTGTTTGCATTCGGGCACGTTAGATCGAGTCCACCAACGAAAAGTCGTCCACGGTCTTACCCAAACATACAGCATTGATCAGCTTAAAAACGGAGCACAAGCAGTTCCGGCATCCACCTGGGCGGCGTTCCCCATCGGCAGTGTCTACCTGAGTTGCTACTTATGATGTCGCGTGTGCACACGTCGTACACAAGCGACTATACTCGTAGCCGTAGGGAATGTTGTGCCGCACGTACCTGTGACGTCGGGCGTTGCGACTTTGGACGGCGATTGGTTGGGAATGGAGAACGCGGCCTTGAAACCGCCTCTGACCAGTCAAAGCCCGCAGCGTTTGTGCGATCACGTGTGCGGTCCGGTGATCCCTGCCAGCCAATCAGCGCGAGCGGTGGTTTCGCAGCGCGCGGTCCGGCCCTGTCGCCCAGACGGTGTCCAGACGGCTGGCTCCTGTGGTGCGCGTGGGGCGTCTGTGGCCGCGGCGGGGCACCACGCGCTGAGCGAAGGGGCGACTGAGTGCACGAGCCATGGGACCGAGCGGCTGCTGCGTGACCGCGCTGATGGCGCTGGTCGCCACCGCCACCGCCACCGCCCAGCTGGGGGCGGTGGGCGGCTCGCCGGCCCAGCTCGGCAAGTGGCCGTGGATAGCGCTGTTTGGCCGCCAGACCGACGCCGGCCCGACCGAGTGGTTCTGTGGCGGCACCCTGATCCATGCCCGCTACGTGCTGACGGCGGCGCACTGCGTGCAGCCCGAGCGAGCGGCCGCCGTCAGAGTGCGGCTGGGTGACCACACGCTCTCCGTGAGCTCGGAGGGTGGCGCACCAGGAGCGGCGCGTGGCGGCCGTGCTGCACCACCCGCAGTACAGTCCCTGGCAGAATGACATCGCGCTGGTGCGGCTGGCGCAGCCGGCGGAGCTGACCGCGGCCGTGCAGCCGCTGGCTCTGCCGGCGCCCGGCGCGCCCGTGCCCACCGGGCTGGACGTCGAGGCGGCCGGCTGGGGCCATCTCGAGTTCGCCGGCGACACGCCCGACGTGCTGCACGAGGTGCCGCTGCGCGTGACTGACGCGGCCGCCTGCGAGGAGGCGTACCTGGCCGCGCCGCAGTTTAGGGCTCGCTTCCCAGGTGGATTTCAGGACACAAAGGTGTGCGCCGGCAGCCGGGACTCGGTGGCGCGTGACGCCTGCCACGGCGACTCGGGCGGCCCGCTGATGGCGCCGCGGCCCGGCGGCGACGCCTACGAGCTGGTGGGCATCGTGTCGACCGGCTACGGCTGCGGCAACCCAAAGTACCCGGGCATCTACACCAGGGTGTCTGCGTACGTCGACTGGATCCGGGACAACATGGAGTAATAGCTCTGCCCTCCCCCTCCCCCCCCCCCCCCCCTAGAGTGGGGGCGCCGGACTTCCACGGAGATCCCGTTCGGGTGCCTGGCCGAAACCCGGCAACGGTCTCCCGCAGCATGAGCACGCTCCCATGACACCGACTCCCAGCGTGGGAGCACCAAGGATGCCTATTTGTATCGCGCGCTGCACAAGTCTTTCACGGATAGTCTGTTTTAGGAGGCACGGTGTGCGGTCGGTTGGATAACGCCGCGTTGTGCGCTACCGAGGCAGTATTTGAATGATTGTGTTCATTTCCCGCCCAGCCTGGCTGTGTGGAACGTTCATGTCTTTCTGCAGGAGAATGTGCTAGTGATGGCGTGGCCCTGATTGTGCGTTGTTTTAATCCTTCCATGTAATAAACTTGCGTAACAATGGTTTTGGCCTTGTTGCCGCGTTAGGTTTGAAGGCTGGCCGTAATTACCACGCCGTTCGGCGCTGGTCATCCTAGCATGGCCCCACGAACGGACACTGAATACTGGCGAGGTTTAGCCATGGACGTGTCCCATACGGGGCCCGCCCGGGGTCGTGTCGACGTCTGATCAGGATCAGACTTCTGATGGAGACTGATGTGGTCCATTCACGTCTGCGTGCGATGGTCGGGCTCCGTGGCACTACTGACGTGATACGGCGTCAGGCACGCTGCATTATGGTGCGGAACACTTCCAGGCCGCCTCCTATCGCAGCGTTGCACTGCTGTCATACCTGGTATACACTGGTAGCGGGGTCAGGTGGAGTTGCAGGCATTATCGCCAGAGCCATCGGCCCGTGGCGCGAGCTGTTCAAGCGGACTGGCTAGTGTTGACAGGGCGTTTGCTTGTGAAGAACCGACCCTCCTCGCTAACGCCAGCGATGAAGATCCCCTGCGGCAGAACTTCACGAAACTCGTTGGGAAGGCGACTGGCAGATCTGCGAACAACCTCTCTTTTGTTTTGCATTTGGGATGTTGACAGGCTTTGAGTATTTACATAGCGTTTTGCAAATTTGAATGAGCTGAGCGCTTCGGGGCGTGTTCCTGTGATTTGAAGGTGATGCTTAGCAACGACCGTGGTCACCGGCTAGCCGCGTTCGCCGCTTTCCACCGGACTCACGTGCTCGGTATGGTAGGTGAGGTAACGGGTGTGGTTGACGCGTACACCGCCAATTTTGACGACGGCATCTGTCACCGATCTTGATTGGTCAGCAGATTGCAGATCCGTTGAGTGGTTTTACCCCAGCCTAGTTTTTACCATAATGCCTGACTAGTGGCTAACTAGTAATTCGCCTCTCGGGTCAGCGGCGATGGAACTGATGTGGAGATGGGGAACTCAGTTTCGCCTTTTGCTTGCGCCGCCGTAGGGTTTATGTGAAATGTTACTAGGGATTGCTCCCCCCCCCCCCTTGCCCCTCTAGTCTGCCGTTCCTGCCTCAGACCATGACACGCCTACAGATGGGGGGGGGGGGGGGAGACAGCGATCATCACCTCCCTGAGTATGAACATGTGGTTTCAGTTCAGTTCCTCCTTCCACGTGACCACTTCGCGTTGCTGCTAGAGCCCAGAGCGCGCAGTATTCGCCTCAGTTTGTTCAGCGTCCGACTGCGCGCGCTGATCGGCGCCGGGGCGCGTCTTGTGGCGGCCGTGCCGCTGACGGCGTGACGTATCCGGCCGGCAGGTGACGAGCGTGCCGCGTGACGGGGCGGCCGGCGGCGTGACGCCGGCGCTGGGCCTCGCCTGGGCCACCCAGGTGACATGCCGGCTCCAGACGACGCGCACCAGGTTCAGCCTGGCGCACCGGTGAGTGCGGCCCGCCACAGGTGGTCGGGGGCGGCTCGCCGGCGCTCGGGCCGCACCGTGACGCGCTGGGGAGGGCCGCGGTCAGACGGCACCCTCGACCTCCCTTGGCGGGGTCTGGCCGCGTGAATGGACTAGCCTGGCTCACAGGACGGCGTCGGTCTTGTCACGGTTCTCCGGCGCTGTGGGCCCCCGATGGTCGAGAAGGCGCGGCCTGCCCGTCCTGTCGGGTCACATCCTACCAGGGCTGATATGTTGCAACTTGCTTGACCGGAGTATTACTGCTGCGGCCAGAGCGATTTCGCTGACGCGGGCGCTGCCGCCAAAGTCGGGGCGGGGCGCCCATTGGCTGTGCTTTTGCGTGGTCTGCTGTAAGGCACCGAATGGTTGCTGGTGTTGTAAATGACCCTGCAAGGCTTGGACAATCGATGCTATTACCTGCTAGTGTCAATCGTGGTTTTGGACGAAAATCCTTCACCAGCTTTTGTTTTTTTTTTCTCTCTCATCAGGTTCGTCTAAAAGCACCAAAAGAGTACCGGGAGGCACGGGCGCGATTTCTCTAATTTGGTTCGAGAAGAAAGTAGTTGAACTAATAACAAACACCAAAACTGTCCCCAAAGCAAGGCTCAAAACTAGAACCGGACTGTAACATGCTTGATTATCAAAGAGGGTACGATTAGGTATGGACTGAAATCTCCTCACAGTATTATTGTAGCTGAAATTACATCTGTTTCGTAAACCGCATTACTGACATCTGGCCTCCGCGTGGAGACCCGAACAGCGCTTGCTACTATTGCCTTCAGTATTCACACATCACAGAAACAAGCCTGGCGTGAACACCATCATCAGCATCCCGCAGCTTTGGTGCGTGTCCTGCCCGTGTAACGGCGGCCGGCGTGCCACACCGCAGGGAGCGGCCGTCGGAGGCGGCGCCGCGGCTCATGCAGCTGCGCGTGCACTCGGCGTCCCACCTGGCAGCCGACGCCGCCTACTACCAGATCGAGGCGGGCGGAGTGCGCGGCGTGCCCGTCACGGACAGCACGCTGCTCGTGCCGCTGCCCGACTGAGCGCCGCCGCCTCGGCCCGCCATCGAATCCACCAACTGCTGTGAGTTTGTCAGCGTTGTATGGTTTGCGGTGGATAGCGGATCTGTGTGTTGGCGGTCGGCTTCTCCTGGACGAGCACAGCCATCGGTGATTTGTTAATAATACCGTTTTATACTGTTGTGGTATTTTACGATGCCCTGGTCAATACAGGTGTATGTTCGCCGACCCTGGCTCTGTGCTCATGCTGGCTGCCGTGTTGTGCGGCCACATACCAGCCGGTTGGCCGGCTCAAACCCAGGGCTCGGTACAGTCACGCTCAGGCGCTCCAGCTCCGGCGCAGCTTGACCGGTCCCGGCAGTTACGCTCAGGTGCTGCAGCTCCGGCGCAGCTTGGCCAGTCCCGGCAGTTGCACTCAAGAGCTCCAGCTCCGGTGCAGCTTGGCCAGTCCTGGCAGCTGACGGCTGCAGCGTTGACGTTAGCGTGACCATGTGGCTCGCCTTGACTTACGCGTCACTCCAATTTCCTAAGACGCGGGGCTGAACAAACGCCGATTCGACGTCTCTGATCTTTGGGCCCACGCGCGGTTCGTTACTCGAATGCCGACCGCACTGCCGCTCCTCTCACACAGCGCGCTGGGTCTGGGCCCGGCACCTGTCGCCTGCAGCCAGCACGCGTGCTTCGGCTGCCGACCAGGGCCGGCGGCGCCGCACGGGAGCGCGTGACAAAGGCCACCTCTGGCTGTCCGGAGCCCGTGTGTATTTCCGCCGCGGCAGCCCTCCTTCCCGCTCTTCCGCCGTTTGCACAGCACACGCCGTTTGTACACTCGCCTATCACAGTGGCGGCGCGGCGCCCGGGCCGCCCGCGCGTCGTACTCCCGAGTGGTGCCAGCAGCAGTGAAGGCAGCGGTCGCGCCACAGCCCTGCCAGGCTCCAGTAAAACCATCTTCCCGCCCCGCCCCGCCCCGGCGCGCGTAGTGCGCGCATCACAGTATGTCGGGCGGGCGCTTCCCACGAGAGGAGCCACATTCCAGCCCAGAGCGGCGCGCTACAGAGCACCCCGGGTATGGTCGCCGAGGGACAGCAACAAGCAACAGAACAAAGCCCGGCGTATCATAATTGTCTAGGATTATCGGCGTGAGCCGCATGTCCGCCGGCGCGGCGCGCCCAGCACGTCCGGCGCTGTGCCTGCGCCTGCCGAAGGGTGCGGGCGTCGTCGTCGGCCGGCTCGCGAGCAGCCCGGCGGCGCTAGAAGTATCCGCCGTTAGACTCCGAGTCCGAGTCAGAGCCGCACGTCCGCCGGCGCGGCGCGCCCAGCACGTCCGGCGCTGTGTCCGGCGCCTGCTGAAGGGTGTGGGCGTCGTCGGCCGGCTCGCGAGCAGCCCGGCGGCGCTAGAAGTATCCGCCGTCGGACTCCGAGTCCGAGTCAGAGCCGCACGTCCGCTGGCGCGGCGCGCCCAGCACGTCCGGCGCTGTGGCGGCGCCTGCTGAAGGGTGTGGGCGTCGTCGGCCGGCTCGCGAGCAGCCCGGCGGCGCTAGAAGTATCCGCCGTCGGACTCCGAGTCAGGAGCCGCACGCCATGCTCATGGAGTTGAGCTGGGCGGTGGGCGCGGCGTCGGTGGGGCCTCCGCACGCGCCCTCCTGCGGCAGACACGGACGATGGGTCAGCGGCACGCCGGCCCGGTCAGCTCGGCGGCGCACAGACGCCTCGGCGCTGGAGGCGCGCTTGGTCGTCACTGACTAGTGTCAAGTGCTTTAGTACCGATCGATGATCAGAATGGCAACAATACACCACCAGTGCAAAACGGAACAGCGCTGACCTGGGTCAAGAGGCCGTGGCGCAGGATAGTCACGGATGGACAGACACCCCGAGCAGCGGCGGCGGGAAGGGGGCACACCAACCAGCCCAGAAGAGCACGCACGGCCACCGGCCGAGCCGCGCCGTTCTGCGCCGAGCGCGGCTGCGTGGCCGCGGCGTACTCACCCCGTGCGCCCCGCCCACAATGCGGCCCAGGCCCGCCATGTATTTGCCGTAGTGGGAGCCGGCCCAGTAGACGTGGCCGCAGCTCTGGCACACGTAGAAGGTGTCGGTGGCGTCCAGAGTGGTGGTGTGCAGGCCGGCCGCCTGCACCAACACCGTGCAGTCGCTGGAGGGGCAGGGGGAGGGAGGTCAGTCGGACCACCGCTGCACAGCCCGCCGCGACAGGAGACCCGCTGCGGACGCCGCTCTCCCGGGCGGGCAGCCAACAGCGGGTGACGAATCGCAGCTGTGCGACGCTGCGGTCGGAGCGAACACGCCGCCAGTGACAGCGGCCGCGCTGCTCGAGCCGCCACGGCACAGCACATCCGCTGGTCTGCCGCGACTGTCCAGCGACAGCAGGCGCCACGCCAACCTCATGATACGGTGACGTGTTGGTATTTCGAGCGAGACGTGAAGCCCCACAAGCCAGCCGCTTCCCGACGCATCTCCCTGTAGACCACTCATCCCGTACGAGCAGATGGCCTGGCCCGCTTTCCCACAGTCCGTGCCTCGCTGGCGTCCCCGTCCGCGGGAGCGGCGCGCGCCGTCTCGGCTCACCTGACGGCGCCTGTGTTGAGGTCGACCAGCGGGCCGCCGGGCTCGAGGTCGACGTATTCGGGGCGCCGCCCGGCGCCGCGGCCGCCGCTCACCAGCCGGTCCCGCAGCTGGCGCATCACGCCGCCCGGCACGTGCCAGTAGTCGCCCGAGTTACAGTGCTGGCGGCCGAGCCACCGTCGGTCACGTACGAGTTATGGATGTCGCGACGGAGTTACACGGGCGCTACCATCATGCGCGGGTGTCACGCATGTCACACTTGTCACAGAGATGTCGCGCGGCGGTGCCAGAGGCGTCCCACGACGGTCGCGCAGGTGGCACGGCCGTGACACGTGGTCCGCGGCCTGCCGAGCCCCACCTGACAGCGGCGCAGCACGTCCTCGGGAGCCACGTCCAGCATGAAGTGGCGGACCACCTCCTCCAGCTGGTCGGCGGCACGCTCCGCCGCCACGTGGTAGCAGTGGCCGGCCGGCACAAGGCCGACCATGCGCCGGTGCAGGGCGCGGCCGCGCGTCAGGATGATGCGTCCCTCGCGCTGCGCCAGCACCACGCACGTGTCGTGATCCTCGCCGTTCTCTGCGGGCACGACCGGCGCGGGTTCGCGGCGCTCGGTGGCGGCGGGGTTGGGCGCGCGTCTTCGTCCCCAAGCCGACGCAACAGGTCCAATTGTTGGGTGGGTGTCGGGCGGCGGGAGCAGGGGTCGTCCCACGGTCACAGCAAAACGCCCAAGGTATTATTCACGCGCACGCACTGCTTTTGATCGACACGAGCGAGAGCAACAGAGTTCATCTAAACAGGTTACCCGGGAGCTGCGATGGCCCGACCAGTGCACATCTGGGGTACTTGGCCCCGTAGCCCTGAGTCGGATCCGTCATAAACGCCGCTGGAGTCCACATGGCATGCCACTCGTCAGCGCTTCAGCGCCGGTCAACTGAACCGTGCTTCCACGTGCCGTTGGTGTCATCGCATGGACGAGGTGTTGTTCATGGGTACTGGCACGAAAGCACAAAACAGCATCAACAAATTGCGAATTGTGGGCACCGTTGACAGGTAAACCACACATATCGATAGCCTGTAGCTGTCGAGTACCGAAACCAGTTCTTGTTTGTGCGATTACCAATGCCAAGTATCAACATTCGTAAAGTGAACACTCAAGACAATCGCAGACAGCATTCCGCTATTTTGCTAATAAACCAAGACCATCAACTGTTGAATTATTAATTGCAATTATGAATCACCATAAAAACGAAACCTACGCACGCACGCACGCACGCACGCACGCACGCACGCACCAGCTTGCACCAGCGTGTGGCGTGGCCGAAGCTCCCAGCGCCCCGACTGACCGAGTGCTGGGATACTTGTCACACGGCAGGGGCACACCGGCGCTGCGGCGGTGCCTACATTCTAAGACAGGGGCAATCACTTTGGTTGGAAGGGGGCAAAAAGCATGACCGAGTACGACTGTGTCGGCCCCGCAGCGCCCTGACTGACCGAGTATGACTGTCGGCTCCCCAGCACCCCGACTGACCGAGTATGACTGTGTCGACCCCCCAGCGTCCTGACTGACCGAGTATGACTGTGCCGGCCCCCAGTGCCCCGACTGACCGAGTATGACTGTCGGTTCCCCAGCACCACGACTCACCGAGTATGACTGTGTCGGCCCCCAGCGTCCTGACTGACCAAGTATGACTGTGTCGGCCCCGCAGCGCCCTGACTGACCGAGTATGACTGTCGGCTCTCCCAGCACCCTGACTGACCGAGTATGACTGTCGGCTCCCCAGCACCCCGACTGACCGAGTATGACTGTCGGCTCCCCAGCACCCCGACTGACCAAGTATGACTGTCGGCTCCCCAGCAACCCGACTGACCGAGTATGACTGTCGGCCCCCCAGCGCCCCGACTGACCGAGTATGACTGTCGGCCCCCCAGCGTCTTGACTGACCGAGTATGACTGTGTCGGCCCCCCAGCGTCCTGACTGACCGAGTATGACTGTCGGCTCCCCAGTGCCCCGACTGACCGAGTATGACTGTCGGCCCCCCAGTGCCCCGACTGACCGAGTATGACTGTCGGCTCCCCAGCGCCCCGACTGACCGAGTATGACTGTGTCGGCTCCGATGCTGCGCAGCTTCTTGCCCAGGCCCTGCACCATGGTGTCGCACACGGCGCGGAACGCCGCCGGCCGGATGGCGCGCGCGTTCGGCGGCGGCGCGTTCTCCAGCTCGGGCCCCTGCGGCCGACGGCGGGTCACACCGGCGCTGTGGCGGCGCTTACATTCTAAGACTGGGGCAATCACTTTGGTTGGAATGGGCAAAAAACAAGGGGCTCCAACAAACATGATAACCTGCCCCAGCGATTGCCTCATTTGCGAAAAAGCCCCCGGATCTGGCGCGCTTCCTTTCGAGATTGTGGAAGCTTCCACGCCGACCCGTGGCAATACCTTTGAGACCAGGCAGCGGCGAGGCCTGGGGGCGCGGTTCTGCACGTCTCCGTACCTCAGGCGGGGGGGGGGGGGGGGGGCGGCACAGTTCTGCATGTCCCCGCAGCTCAGGCGGGGAGGACCGGCGGCGCGGTCCTGCACGTCCCGGCACTTCAGGCGGGGACGGCCGGCGGCACGGTTCTGCACGTCCTTACACCTCAGGCGGCTCGTGACGAGCCACCGAGCTGTGCCTGTGTCGGCAACTTTGGTCTTAGCGCGGCTACCGCAGGTGCACCGAGTGAGGGGTCGGCCGGCCGACGCCTGGGTACGCGGCTGCGTCGGCGAACGGGGACCGACGGCCGCCACCAAACGCGTCCGGCAGATCAGGTGCAGGCGGAAGCTGGTCTCGACCGCCACCGCGGCGGGTCTGTGCATGGCACGAGTCACCATCGCATGCCAGATGCCAATGGTGGAGCTCCGGCATGCGATAACACCACAGCAGCTGGCGGCAGCGGCCGGCCATGACCGCTGAGTGACGCGGCACTGACAGGACAGGAGGGGGGGGGGGGGGGGGGGCGGACCGACACCGGCAACAGGGCGCAGCCTGCCCGCACGGCATCCCGTGGACGGCACTGACCTTGCCCGCGGGCGCGGCGGGCCTCTTTTTCTGCTTGTTCTTGGCGGCCGACGGCGCCTTGGCGGGCGCCGCGGTGTTTGTGATGATGCACTTGAGAACGGCGGCCGGCGTGGTGCCCTCGCGGTCGTACAGCGCGTCCCGCAGTGTGTTGTATACCTCGATCAGGCAGTAGGCGTCCGAGGCTGTCCGACACAGGACAACACCGGTCACCGTAGCGACAGGACGGTGAGCGGGGTCTCACCCGAGAGCACAACCACCCGCATGTCAACACGAGGTCGAACCATACGCAGCGTCCCCTTAGGTCCGGCACAGCGCGTCAGCAGGCAGGTCAATCAAACCGTCAAATCATGATGCGCTATACTGTCATTGTCATTGGGCTTTACGACGCACCCAGTTGCTGAGATTATATGACATCGTCTGCCTCTCACCCTGGCAGGAATGGCAGGCAGTGTCGGGAATCGAACCCCGTACCTCTGGTTTCCCAGACGCACAGTGGTTAACGCAGACGTGTTAACCACTCCGCTACCGGCACCCCCGATGCGCCATGTTGGTGGCGGGGCCGGGCGGCCCGGACCGTCACTGGACGACACCTCTGTCGAGCCCCCGCCGCCGACCGGCCGACGCCCGGCGCTGACGGCCGCTCACCGGCGTACTGCAGCTGGCTGGAGCGCAGCGGACGGCGACCCCAGTTGGAGCACTGTTCCTCCTTGTTGAGCGGCTTGCCCAGGCACTTGCGCACCAGCTCGCTGAGGCCCTTGACCGCTTCCTTGGACTTGCGGCGGCCGGCGCCGTCCTGGCCGCGCGCGGCCGGCGCTGACGGCAGAGGCGCAGCCAGCGTCATGCTGCGTAGCTAAATAGTCTCCCAAATCTCAACACTCATCACTAGAACTGCCTTTCGGTCGCTGTTGTGTGTGTGATTGGGGCTTTACGACGCACTCAGCTGCTGAGGCTATATGGCGTCGCCCGCCTCTCACCCTAGCAGGAAGGGCGGGCACTGTGGGGAATCGAACCCCGTACCTCTGGTTTCCCAGACGCGCAGTGGTTGACGCAGACGTGTTAACCACTACACTACCGGCACCCCTTTCGGTTGCTAAAAGAGTGGTTAGTTTTCATTCATATCATTACAGGCATTATTGATTGCCTGCGCGCGCGACCGCCGGACTGACGAGTCATGCAATGTGGACACAGTGACCGGACTAGCGGTTCGTGCACGCGGCGGCCGGACTGGCGACTCATGCAATGTGGGCACAGTGACCGGACTAGCGGTTCGTGCGCGCGGCGGCCGGACTGACGAGTCATGCAATGTGGACACAGTGACCGGACTAGCGGCCTGCGCGCGCGTCCTGAGACCCATCGAGTATTTACACGACACGCGGCCTTAGCGTTCATGCCACACGAGCGAGCGACCGCATAGCGTGAGGAACCTGCCGGCCGCGGAAAGGCCGCGGGACGCCGCCGGCCGCGAAAAGGCCGCGGTGGCGTTCATATACGGCCGCGAACATGTTCCCGTCCAGACGGCTGCCTCACCTTCCTTGTACGGGAAAATGTTTGGAAACGCCTCCTCGACACGACTGCCGAGGGTTTTGACGTCCATCATGTTCTTCTTGCCCATGATGGCCTTCGCGAATGACGGCACTGAACTCTCCAGCATGTCGAAGTCGCTCACCTGGTCGTACCCTGGCCGGCAGAAGGGTCGCTCAGTCGGACGCACCAAACGCGCACAACGTGACTCCAGGACGCGGTCCGCAGCCACCGGAGATTGGGCGCTCGAGGTGCGCGCCGCGCCCACCTACCCAGTTTGAGGTTGTCTCCGCAGAGGATGGCGGCGCCGAGCCTCTCCATCAGCGGCGACACCACCGTCAGCTGCAGCAGGTCCAGCACGTACACCAGCCGGCTGGTGGCCACCTGCCGGTCACCGCGCACGCGCCGCCGTCAGCCCACGGTGGGACAGTCCGACCTGCCGCGGCCTCCACCCGTCAGAGCAGAGACCAGCGGCGGTCAACCCGTGTACAGCGCAGTGCAATCTTACAATATGGTGTGCCACAACATGCGTGAAGAGGGTCTCACGTTAAGTCAGCACTCAAGAGGAGCGTAGAAGTCCGTGATGCTGTCTAACTGTCTCGCCACCAGCCATGCGGTCCGGGTGGTGTGTAAGATTTGAGTGGCAGTCACGTGTGCGCGTGCTGCAGCCTCCCTTTACATACTTGCGCATGGATGAAAATCTGCTGATTGGATTTCGTGTGAAATATACGAATATGACTATGATATCCACAGCGGCCGGCTTGGGCTGACCACACGGCCACTGGCCACACAGCTGCCAGCAGCCACGGCGGCCGACTGACGCTCGCCACACGGCCACCGGCCACGCCCCGTCGGCAGCCTCAGCGACCGACTGGGACTCGCCACACCGCTACCGGCCACACAGACGCCGGCAGCCACGGCGGCCGACTGAGGCTATCCACACGGTCACCGGCCACACAGCTGCCAGCAGCCACGACGGCCGACTGACGCTCGCCACACGGCCACCGGCCACACGCCCACCGGCAGCCTCAGCGACCGACTGGAACTCGCCACACCGCTACCGGCCACGCGCCCGTCGGCAGCCACGGCGACCGACTGGGACTCGCCACACCGCTACCGGCCAGACAGACGCCGGTAGCCACGGCGGCCGACTGAGGCTGTCCACATGGTCACCGGCCACACAGCCGCCGACAGCCTCGGCGACCGACTGGACTCGCCACATGGCCACCGGCCACGCGCCCCGTCGGCAGCCTCAGCGACCGACTGGGACTCGCCACACCGCTACCGGCCACACAGACGGCCCGGCAGCCACGGCGGCCGACTGAGGCTGTCCACACGGTCACCGGCCACACAGCCGTCGGCAGCCTCGGCGACCGACTGGGACTCGCCACACCGCTACCGGCCACGCGCCCGTCGGCAGCCTCAGCGACCGACTGGGACTCGCCACACCGCTACCGGCCACACAGCTGCCGGCAGCCACGGCGGCCGACTGACGCTCGCCACATAGCCGCCGACAGCCACGGCGGCCGACTGAGGTTCGCCACACGACCGCACCGATGACCTCCACCGACCATGTCAAGATGACCCCGGTGAACCCGAGATGACCCCCAGCCGACCCGTCGCCCGCGCGCACACCCGGCCGGCAGCGCGGTGTGGGCGGGGCGTCGGGACGCAGGCCGGCCGACGCAGCTCACCTGGAGCAGCGAGACCCTGTTCCAGTCTCGTACGGTGATTGGCTTCCACTCGGCGTCCAGTCCAAGCACGCCGTCGTACTGTCAACAGGTGGCAGCACCGTCAGTCGCAGCCCAGACCGGCAGGAGGCGGCATCGTCGGCGCAGCAGCAGACCGGCCGCATTTTCTGATCCCCCCCCCCCCCGCACCCCACCCCGTCACTGTGTGCACAGCGGCTCGTCTGGCGGCGGGCAACGATAACTGGTAATCTTCATACCACCATCAGACAACGGTGCCAGAACTACCCGCCCCACAATCATCACGGCCGACTCTCGCCCTACCATTGCAACCGCCAAGGACTGGGGAGAGGGAGGAGGAAACCCCAGGCACTGTCCTGAGGTCACTGTAGTAGCTGTACTGAGCAGTCGGAACATATTAGCCTCAATAACTAGACACCGGGCACACACAGAACACAGTAGAGAGCTCACCACCACGCGCGGGACCGGAGCCCAAACTGGGTACGTAAAGCTCTCCCGTCTGTCAGCACGTGACTTCAGCTGCATGCAAATGATTTATTCGTCGGCACCGGGGCCACTCTGAGGAGTGCCCAACGACAGTGGGCCGCGGCACCTCGTCCGCTCCGGGGCCACTCTGAGGAGTGTCTAACTCGGCAGTGAGCCGCGGTACCTCGTCCGCTCCGGGGGCCACTCTGAGGGGTGTCTAACTCGGCAGTTGAGCCGCCGCACCTCGTCGGCTCCGGAGCCACTCTGAGGAGTGTCTAACTCGGCAGTGAGCCGTGGCACCTTCGTCGGCACCGGGGCCACTCTGAGGAGTGCCTAACGACAGTGGGCCGCGGCACCTCGTCGGCTCCGGAGCCACTCTGAGGAGTGTCTAACGGACAGTGAGCCGCGGCACCTAGTCGGCTCCGGGGCCACTCCGAGGCGTGTCTAACTCGGCAGTGAGCCGCGGCACCTCGTCGGCTCCGGGCCACTCTGAGGCGTGTCTAACTCGGCAGTGAGCCGCGGCACTCGTCGGCTCCGGAGCCACTCTGAGGAAGTGTCTAACGACAGTGAGCCGCGGCACCTCGTCGGCTCCGGGGCCACTCCGAGGAGTGTCTAACTCGGCAGTGAGCCGGGCACCTCGTCGGCACCGGGGCCACTCTGAGGAGTGTCCTAACGACAGTGGGCCGCGGCACCTCGTCCGCTCCGGGGCCACTCTGAGGAGGGTGTCTAACGCGGCAGTGAGGAGCGGCACCTTGTCGGCTCCGGGGCCACTCTGAGGGGTGTCTACTCGGCAGTGAGCCGCGGCACCTCGTCCGCTCCGGGGCCACTCTGAGGGGTGTCTAACTCGGCAGTGAGCCGCGGCACCTCGTCCGCTCCGGGGCCACTCTGAGGGGTGTCTAACTCGGCAGTGAGCCGCGGCACCTCGTCGGCACCGGGGCCACTCTGAGGAGTGTCTAGCTCGGCAGTGAGCCGCGGCACCTCGTCGGCTCCGCTCGGGGCAGTTGGCTGAGCGGCACCGCCGAGCCCCGCCGCCGCCGCCGGCGCGCCTCTGACCTGCTCCAGCGCGTCGCACACGGTCGGCAGCTGCTCCATCCTGTCCACCAGCTCCACTCGCACGTCCGGCATCCGGTAGAACTGACGGGCGTGCGGGCTGGCCGCCGGCCGGTCCTCCATGTCGGCGTCCATCTCCCTGACGAGCACGGCGGTGCGGTCAGGCACCCGGGTCCCCACACCCGGCGGGCGCCGCCGGCCGCAGCAGGTCTCCCCACCACCGCCCCCGCCCACAGAATGCGGCGCACCCGGCTGGCCCATAGTCAACTGTGGCACCTGTTGCAGCTGCGCAGCAGAGCGTTCCTGACGTTCTGCGGGGGTCACAAGCGCGTGCTAGACAGGTAGTCCAGTAGGACCGTACTCCGCTGCCGGCCGGTCGGCCTCCGTACGCCAGCGCCTGCGTCACATCAACGGTCGGAGGAGCGACAGGCGGCGGTGGCGACCGCCCGCGCGCGGCCCACTCACGGCGGATAGTGGTAGTGGTGCGCCAGGTCCGGCGGCAGCTCGCGCTCCGGCACGCCCAGCGTCAGCGCTACATTCACGCCTGTGCGGTACGCCTGCTTCCTGTCGGACAGAGCGGGCGGCACGTCAGCGGAGCCAGGCGCCGCGCACCGGCGACACAGCGACCGCCGCTGACGGCCGGCGGCGCGTCACGTGCCCCAGGCGGCGCTCTGACACAGGCCTTTGGCGCTCACGCCCAGCGTCTTGATCGTTTTGACGAGATGCACTGCTATTCCAATGCGCGTTGCAGTTCTCCGCACTGCGTGTAGCAGTCAAACTTGCACCTGCTCTCAAAAACAGCAAGTGCAACTAGGACGGATAAATCGCAGGGCATCAAAGACACGGAAAAAAGCAGCCGGCAGTCATGCACCTGGGGCCGTGATACAGGGGGATGGTATAGCAGTCAACAGGCATGCAGCTGGAGCCGTAATACAGGGGGACGGCACAACAGCCGACAGTCGTGCACCTGCAGCCGTGATACAGAGGGATGGCACAGTAGCCGACAATCGTGCACCTGCAGCCGTGATACAGAGGGATGGCACAGTAACCGACAGTCGTGCACCTGGAGCCATGATACAGGGGGATGGCACAGTAGCCGGCAGTCGTGCAGCTGGAGCCGTGATACAGGGGGATGGCACATCAGAGGGTAGCCGTGCAGCTGGAGTCGCGATGCAGTGGGCTGCCAGCTGCACGGCTGCCCACGGCACAGCAGTGGGCAGCCGTGCAGCTGGAGCCGTGATACAGGAGGATGGCAGAGCAGCCGGCAGCCGTGCAGCTGGAGTCGCGATGCAGTGGGACGGCACAGCAGTGGGCAGCCGCGCAGCTGGAGCCGTGATACAGGGGGATGGCACATTAGTGGGTAGCCGTGCAGCTGGAGCTGCGATGCAGAGGGACGGCACAGCAGTGGGAAGCCGTGCAGCTGGAGCCGTGATACAAGGAAATGGCCGGGCCGCGAGCCCTCCGCCCATCGGACCAGGCGGCAGAAGTCGGTCAGGCCAGAGCCCCGGCTCCTGCGCGCTCACCGGCTCAGGATATCGAGCGCGCTCTGAATCAGCTCCGGGTAGTCGGCCAGAATGTCCACCAGGAAGTCCTCGCAGTCGTCCGGCTCTGCGGCAGATGGCGGGACGCGACTGGTTACCGGGTGTTAGGAACAAGTGAGAGCTCCACGGCACAGGCGAGACGTGCGCATCCAACACGCGATGTTCCTCAAACGCCACCCAGAAGCCAGTCATCGAATGCAGAAGCTGCTGTGACTAGAAGACACCAGCTCCCATTCAATGGCATCGACTTCTGCTGACCGTCTCGGAAGGCACAACGTGTTTCGGTGAGAAGATCTCCTTACTGATGCTGTCCTCTTTAAAGCGCCGGTAGAACAGGTAGTGCATGGTGGCACGAGCCGAGAACAGGGCAGTGTTCGGAGCCACCTGACGTAACTCCAGCTGGAAGCGCTTGCAGAAGCGCTCAATCAGTTTCTTCAGCGTCTTTGATTCACCGTGTCCTTCGAGAAGCCGGACATGCCCAGGTTGCTGCGGCAAAGAATGCACGGTCAGAAGGGAGAGAGCGCGAGAGAGGGAGTTGTTCATTGGTGTTTTCGGGCGCGTCGACTTCAATGGTCATTTTGCGCCCAGAGGGAGAGGGAGAGAGAGAGCACGGGAGGAAAGCACGGGAGAAAGAGTACGGGACAGAGGGAGCATGGGAGAGAGCGCGAGAGCGACAGCGATAGAGAGGGGAGGGAAAGTGACAGGGACAGGGACAGGGACAGGGACAGAGATAGTGAGACAGAGACGGAACATAATATATAAATGGGCACATAGAGATGGACACATACAGAGAGACACAGAAAGCTAGAGAAAGCGATACACACCGGACATGAGCGACCCACTCCACCCAGCCAACCTGGCATGTAATAAGCCGCAGAGCCGCAGTGCTGGCCACACGTCTCACCTGGCCACCTACAGCAGACTGCGCTCCAGCAGCTCGTCGCACGCGGCCACGCGTCTCACCTGGCCACCTGCGGCAGGCTGCGCTCCAGCAGGCCCAGCGCGGCCACACGTCTCACCTGGCCACCTGCGGCAGACTGCGCTCCAGCAGGCCCAGCGCGGCCACACGTCTCACCTGGCCACCTGCGGCAGACTGCGCTCCAGCAAGCCCAGCGCGGCCACACGTCTCACCTGGCCACCCGCGGCAGACTGCGCTCCAGCAGGCCCAGCGCGGCCACACGTCTCACCTGGCCGCCCGCGGCAGGCTGCGCTCCAGCAGGCCGAGCGCGGCCACGCGTCTCACCTGGCCACCTACAGCAGACTGCGCTCCAGCAGGCCGAGCGCGGCCACACGTCTCACCTGGCCACCTGCGGCAGACTGCGCTTCAGCAGGTCGTCGCACGCGGCCACGCGTCTCACCTGGCCACCTGCGGCAGGCTGCGCTCCAGCAGGTCGTCGAGCGCAGCCACCGCCTCGGCCTGGCGCCGCGGCGAGTCGGCCAAGAACTGCTCGGCCACGTTGGCCCGGTCCAGCAGCACCAGCGGCACGACGAACTCGTTCACGCCGAACCGGTTGTGCAGCCGCAGCCGCGTGGCCATCTGGCACGCCTGTCGGCAACGGCGGCGGGCCGGGGTCGGTCGGGCGCGCCGCAACGGCACCTGCTGCCGGAGCTCCGTCCACGGGCGACGGCAGCCCGGCGGCACGCACGGCAGGAGCGTCCGAGCATGCCATCCAGCCGCCGCCGCCTGCAGCGCGAGCCCACGTGTTCGCATACCGTAACGCGAGCACCGCGGCGGCGGCCCATCGCGCTGCGCTGTGAGTCAATCTGCTGTGAAGTCGAGACTGGTAGCTCACACTCAGCGGCGCGCGTGGATCGCAGTACAGTGGCTGGCTCCAGCCCCGGAGCGTAGCGAGGACGACATGTCTCATCCACATCAGCGGCTATGTACGCGAGACGGTGATGCCGAATGCGTGCCCTGCGTCGTACGAACAGAGTTGTGACAAGCATACCTCGACGCATGCAGCGGCACACAAGCGTGACAGATGTGCGTCCTCGTGCGTCAAGCAGGACGCGACAGCCGAGGCTTCTCGCGCATGTCCTACCGCACCTTTTTATAGTCCTTTGCTTGCAGCATCTTGTGGATCTCGTCGACGAACAGGTGCGTGGAGCCGGACAGGCCGCACAGCTCCACTATGGCATCGCTGACGTACGAGCACTCCTGGTTACCCATCACCTGCCAGAGCAGTGCTCGGCTCAGCCGCACACGAGCACCACCTCCGCGGTGACGTACGAGCACTCCTGGTTACCCATCACCTGCCAGAGCAGTGCTCGGCTCAGCCGCACACGGGCACCACCTCCGCGCTGACGTACGAGCACTCCTGGTTACCCATCACCTGCCAGAGCAGTGCTCGGCTCAGCCGCACACGAGCACCATCTCTACGGTGACATACTTAGATGTGGCACAAAGTGCATCCACCTTGAATACGTTACGGGGGTTGCCCATAAAGCACGTAAGCGTGGAGGGGAGAGGTCTCCTCTACGCTGAGCAGCGTAACGTTACGCCCGGGTGTGGTTGGAAACCATGCAAAAATCTAAAAATATGTTTTAAAACCTTAACGTTGTACACTGCTGCCCCGTCTCATGACAAAAGACACGCCGTGTATTTCGCGCCGCTAGATTAGAGGTCAAACGGACGCCACCATTTGGAACGCTAAGCTTGGCACAGCGCAAACCGCAAAAAGGTTCTACCTATCGCAACCACTGTGTTACCAGGGGAAAGAGATGCTGGGAAATGTCAAATATGCGTCACGTAATGTATGAACGACCGCATATCGGTCTCAGTCCACAACTGTCCTCTGGGTAGCCCAGCAGACATCCCAGCATTGTGGGCAGGCGGAGCGAGTCCCATACATCTGTCCAGATGGCGGAAATGGATCCGTAGGACCAGATCTGAGTCATGCATACCGGATATTCTGCGATATATGATCGATTTTCAAATTTTGTGGATGATCTTGTGTCCCGGAGCCGTTATAAAATTCGGTTGAGAAAATCTTTTAAGGCCTCAAACTTTTTCCGCACTTTCAAAATTTTGAAATTTGAAATCTGCTTTATAAATATGTCACGAGATTATAAGGAATTCGACATTTCTGTAGATTTTTATTTTGAGCTTTCCCGAATTGACTCATGCAAAGTTAGACAACTTTTGCAAGTTCTTCCTTGAAATTTTTCCCAAATCTGAAGTTTTCGGCCCTGGGATCCTTCCATCAGATTCAGACATAGTGTGGAAGCAAGAATCGTAGGCCACGTTTGCCAGCTGTTTTGTGAGAATGCTGAATGTTGCCTGAAACAGCACATGGACAGCTTCAGCTGGCATTGACCATGTCTAAGTTTCAGGTTATGTTGAGAGCTCCGCACGTCAAAATTTGTTCCATGTGAGGAATATGCACATACATCCGATGGTCTTCCACACATGCAAACACAAAAGTAGCTGCGGTTCAAGGGGATAATTCACAGTCGAAGATATGGAAGCAAGCATCCACAAAATAACTGTGATTAAAGGGAATGTCTCACATCCAAGGATATTGGAGCAGGCATCACATATGATAAAACAAGCTCACTTGTAACTATTAAGATTATTTTTTGTGGAAAGGACTGCCCTAGACAGCACAATACTCGTTTGATAAAAATGCTCCTCAAGGTGTCATGGTTTGATCACATCATCGCACCTCACACAACATTAATTGAGAGCCCGTTGACAGCCGTTATATCTGGAAATCGCGCTCACGAACGCCAGGTATGAACGCCTCGACGATTGTATTTTCTCGGACTTGATAACCATCATGGCTTATGAAATGGCAGGATTTGAATGACGTCACTGTGACGTCATGAATGTCAAGGTTACTTTTAAATATGCTCCCCGATATTGCTTCTCCCCATGTTCGTGGGCGTGTAGCTCTAGATAAAAGGGGCTTTGGTCTTAAGAAGGGCAAGATTGTGAACAGCAACGAAAGGCCTTCAAGATGGCTATTTCAGTGAACCCCACATATAGTGGAACACTCCCTTTAAAGGGACCTACATTCCTTTTATATATAAGGACCCCTTTTATCCCTTTAAGATCCAAACCGCTTAAAAACCTAAGCTCCTTAAGGCCTGGGACCCTCTAGTTTATGAGCTGCACGCTCGCGAAAACGGGGAACGGCATGTAGGCGAGAGCATTTCAAAGTCACCTTGGCATCCACGACGTCATAATGATGCCATTCAAATCCAGCCATTCCACAAGCCATGCGACGATCAAGACCAATAAACGTTTGATTGTCAAGGCGTCCATATCGCGTTCGCTAGCGCGATTTCCATATATAACGGCAGCCAATTGACTCTCAATCAATGTTGTGCAGGGTACGATGACATAACCAAACCATGACGCACTGAGGAGCATCTTGACTAACACAGAATTGTGCTGTCTAGAACAGTCTTTCCACTTCCAAAATACACCGATAGCTATGTGAGCTTGTTTCATACCTTGTGGTTGCTTCCATACCTTAAAATGTTAACATTCCCTTTAATGAAACCAGCAACAGTAACCAATGAGCATCATGGGATAAATCGATCTCATGAATGCACCTTAAAAAACTGCTTAGGACTTTTCAATGATTCTGTTACTAACAACATAAGGAACGTACCTTGAACGCCATTGTCCTGACTTTATCTGTTATTAAGAATTGAGGCATGTTCTGCACTCCATTGTAAGAATCCTCAGCCCAGGACCGGAAGGCATTCAATACTGAAACAGAAATAAGGAACACTGTTAGAGCCTGAAAACCCCCATGCTCAAATAAAATGCATACAGCACAAGATGAGTCCCTGTCTGGGAACCAAAGACCAATGTCTCACACAGATATGTGCTAGGACCTCAAAGAATATGCCAGATCCCAGAGGATCTTTAGGAAAAATAAGCAGGGATCCTGGATCCCAAACATACTTAGACCTCTAGGATCTTTGACAAGTTTTGAACTGGACCCCAGATTCCAAAACATCCTGTACCAAACTTCCAGTGTTCCCTGGATCATGGAAATCTGGAACCCAGGGCCCTATATTATGTCCTGGGATCCATGCCTCATGACCACATGCAGGTACTAAGGGGTGGTGTGGATCTTGGAGGGTGATCAACCATTCTTTGCTTAATTTTTTAACCTTTCCATATGAACTTCCAATCTTGTTCCTTACTGGAAGGAAGTCACCCACTCATGGTGAGTTATTCAAATGACCATGAAGTGAGGCAAATCAGGGTAGGCAAAGGAATAATTTTTGAGCATTTCAAGATTTATTTCAAGAACCCTTTTCTAAAAATATTGGCAGGACAAAATAAGCTTTTTGGCATTCAAAAAATTAAGGGAAGTGATATCTGATATACCCTGCAGTAGACCTTGCTTCTATATTGTTCCATGATTTGTTGGAAGGTGACCTGTGCATCAAGGACACAACCAGTTGGGTTAATCTGCTCAACAGCTGGCCTCAACAGCTGGGTTCATCTGCTTCTTGTTTCTGAACATCAAAAATGTGTTTAAATATCCCTAGTTTCATGTAGCCCTAAGATGAGCCATCTGAGTATAAAGGACAATTCCAGCCTTATGCTCCTCTTTGCCAAGGGCCATACACACAGTATAGGTATGGCCAAAATGTAGCCCCAGCCCTAGCTCACCTCCCCTTCCCCCCCCCCCCCCTCCACCCAGGCATGCACTTTGTATTTTGGCACCACAGATGGTCTCTGAAATGATGACTGATGAGTTCACACCATGCACCCCTCTCCATAAAAAACCCTGGCTATGGTGCTGGTCTACAGAATGTCTTTGGTGTGGTTGGTGCAATATCCATGCTCTGCCAAACATGCTAAATGTGCTGGCAAACATTCTGCATTAGTCATTACATGTAAGACAGAAACAAAACTCATAATTGGACACCATTTCCAGACATTCTAGCTGTTGCTCTGATCTTCTACTATGTGCAGTGGGAGAAAGGGATGGGGAGAGGGAAGAGGAGAGAGAGAGACGAAAAGGGAGAGGAAGACAGGGAGACAGGGGGTGAGGGGGGAGTCTGGTCTTTACAGCTGGGCGTGACGATGATTTGGGGGTTTTCAGGCACATCAATTGCAAGGGCTGCAGTGAACAAGGACAGCTGGGACAAGCATGCCAGCCACTCCGGAATCAGGCTGAAGCTGGTGAAGAGCATCCCACTGTTCCCCCTCACAGCGCCGTATCCCTCCGCCCCCCACCGCGCCCACCGTCGAATATTCACGGTTCTGGCATGTGGGCTCGGGCTGGCGTTTGTGTACGTCCCTCGTGTTGACTACACCGCAGTGCTGCCCAGATCGCAAATCCCCCCGCCACACGGACATTCCTTGCCAGTCCATGGACACTCTGTTCTAAACCTCAAGTCTGCTGCGACGTCCCCAACTGTAAATTCCGATTGTTGAAGCGTCAACTTCTGCCTTCAGGCCTTCAGTCATGTGGCCCGTTTCGACCGCCGCGCTCCGCTTCGATCACTCACCCCCGGTCACGTGACCAAGCGACGGCTGCAGGGCGGGTGGCCGGCGGGAGATTGGGCGGTGGTCGTGTCCGCGCGGCTTCACGAAACGAAACAAAGATAACACGTCGCGCGGCATAACATGACGAGATAGAGAGTCAGGACGAAAGCCATGGGCTGGTAAAGGGCTGAGCGGAGACCACAGGGCAGCACGGAGGCTCTGCTGGGGCTCACCTGAAACGACGGGGCTCCGCCTGGGCTCGCCTGAAGGGGCGGGGCTCTGCCGGGGCTCGCCTGAAGAGGCGGGGCGCCACTGGGGCTCACCTGCTGCCGCCAGGCCGTCAGGGCGGTTTTTGGCATAGTCTGAGCTGAAGAGAACCAGGTCCAGCAGGCGCAGGTAGGGCTGCGACGCTGAGTCGAACGCCTGCCGCAGCACCTGGGCCAGAGCCGAGTCTGGACCGGCTCCTGACGACCACCAGCACAGAGAGGTCAGGTCGGGTCAGGGGACGAGACCGTGGCCTCCGCAGCGGCCGAGTCTGGATCGGAGCCCGCTGACCCCAGGCATATAGTTGTCATGTCAGGTCAGACCAGAGTTTCCACGACAGCTGCCGCGGAGCCTTGAAAAGCGCCTGCCAACGGGCGACACATGCAGAGATCAGGATATCAAGGTCACGTGATCAGACCCGTCCTCGGCGGCAGCCGGCAGCTCACACACACAGACCAGATTGAGTCAGGGTATCAGACCTGCCTCCAGAGTGGGCCGCACATGTCCCACAATTACGGACCTCCACGGCGGCCACACATGTCCCACAATTACGGGCCTCCACGGCGGCCGCACATGTCCCGCAGTTGTGGGCCTCCATGGCGGCCACATATGTCCCACGGATGTCCAAGGGCACCCCAGGTCAGTACCTGTCCCAGGGCTACACAGATCAGCACAGCTAAACCGACGCGCCAGTTCGGTAGTCGGATAATTCCGAAGCCCTCTCGGTCCACGGCAGAGATGGCCCGCACTATTTCGGCATCCAGTGCAGGCAGCACGTGAATAGCCACCATCACTTGGCTGTCGTTTCAGCATCTTTCAGTGTAGGCTGGCTACCCTGCTCGGCACACACCTTCCTCGCTCCAGGCCTTTCCGGCGCGGTCGACCCAAACGGCGTTCAGTGGATGGGGTGTCGTCGGCAGCTGCAGCTGATAAGGCGTGGCCTGCGAGATACGCTGCCCGCCGCCACCGCCCCAGCCTCGGCCATACTGCAAACCAGCATATCAAACTTTGACTATGTGGAATTCCATAATGTCATAACTCACGCTGATACTTTGTTTGGCGGCAGCATAGGTAACAATTCAATTTTTATGACAAAGAATTTAGAATTCAATATGTTCAACACATTTCAACAGCTAAAAGATTGAGTTCATAATGCTAGTTTTTACCTGGTGTGTGGCTTGGCCCCTGGCATTCCCTCTGAATCCTCTGCCTCTTGCTCGACCTCGCGGGACTTGGTTATACATGAATTGTTTTCTTCTACACCAGGATGACGTTAATTTGGTGATGTATTCCTGTTGGGATACTACATCAGATTTCATGATTATCAATTTTGTCACACACTTAGTAGATTGCAAAATATGCTACACTACTGAGTTTGAATTTGTAGTGTCTGTCAGATGTCCAGGTGTGGGGTAGCCGGAGCCTCAGATGGAGACCGGACCACCCTGACACAGGCTGTACTCAAGCATCACCCATTGCCACAGGAGCCAGCCCAGTGTCACAGGAGCCAGCCCTCTTGGACACATTCATGGCACTCCAGGTGTGGGGGGGGGGGGGGACAGCTCCAATGATGGCCTGCTGGGACTGGTGACCTTATGGCACTTGTGCAAAAGGACACCACAAGATCTATTAAAAAAAGAAAACATGATTTGTGATTAGCACAAAAGCTTAACCACACTGCCATGTGTTGAATTAGTTTTGGGTTTTTCAAACAAATGCTCTGTGGTTGGTTTTGCCATCTGATCCCTCATTGCAAGCAAACCTTGAGGGGATGAAAAGAATGTTGTCAGAATTGTCAAGAAATGATAATTCAACAACTGTGACCAGCTTTTTATACTTGCCCAAGTTTAAATATTTTTCTTGCCAGGTTTTACATTGTTGTGCAGAGGTTAAAGCTGCAATATAAGCATCTGAACAGTGCTAAATTGCATGTTCCTTGCAACATATTAAAACATACAAAGACTAAAAGGATCCAGGCACTAAAAAAGTTCACTTCTGAATCTGTCGGCCACATCCCTTGAACCCTCTTAACACCTTCCCTTAAAAAATATAACAGCAGGATGGATTATTACATCTGTTGTTGTTTGTTTCACATGAACAAAGTGAAGTGCTTGTTTCAAGTGTTTCAAGAGGTTATCATGAGGGCTTAAGATAGGAGCACCATACCAGCTCTCACTGGGTGATTTCAACATCAGGGGCATGTTCTAAAACCACAGAGGTCTATCTGGACCTAGATAATATAGTTGTATCTATGTTTGTCTAATATCTTAGTATTCCATATTGCATGGAAATGGCAGCTAGTCTTATATGTTCATTCATTCAAGTATGGACAAATACACCAAGACAGATGTTTGTTATTAGTCTATATCCATTACCTGCACAGCCCACCCTAAATTGTCAAATCTGTCAGTGGATCACAAATATAAGAGTGTAAAAGACCCTACCTGGTTTTGAATGGCAGCTTCTAAGAAGTTGCACACATGAACAATGACATTTATTCTTTCAGGATGCCACATCATGATCACTTTAGATCACATTATGCCACATAAGATCACTTCAGAACAGATTTACTATAAACCATGGTAGAACCATAATGCATTTTATTTTGGGGTGGGTGGGTGGGTGGGAAAGAATTACTAGCAGCCTAAACAATATTTGATTTCTGGTATCACAATGACAGTTAAGAGACACAACAACCAGCAGCTTAATAACCTCTAAAACCAGTCTCCATAACCCTTATTAGCTATTGCATTGTTAACTTTCAAAAACAATGGCCTAGCATCTTTTATATATATATATATACATATATATATACATATATATATATATATATAAAGCATATTATTAAATTACTCCCAAACAGGGTTCACAAGCACCTCCAACACTAGGCACCAACATATCATGTACATGGAACAGGCAGATATTAATAATGGTGAGAATATGCGTATGGCCTTCATGTGGGTTTGTCAATCATTTGCATAAATAAGCAAAGGGTACTGCCTACTCAGAATGCAAAGATGTATCAGGCCTAACAAGTCAGGTTGACTGTGGCATTGCTTAAACATATTCCATGCATGTAGGCCACAATTAAGTGCCTTAAATTTGGTACAGTCACCAGTAGTTCCGGTACGTGAAATAAGGACTTGGGTTGTTGTTACAGCAACTTGAATAGCAAGAACACCTAAAAAGATCCAATCCAATATCATCTGAAAATTCTGCTCAATTTGTCCTGAAATGACTGATGCAGACATGCTCCACATTCATACACCTATAGCACTTAAACGCTCAGCACCGTGGAAAGGTTGCTCTGAAGAATAGTCGTTCTGGCGAATGTTTGATGCAATGCCTATCTCTAATCCCCATCCGCCGCAAGAAACCAACGGCATCCCTTCTGCATGCACACAGAGTAGGCGGCACTGCGGGTTTAGCGAGGATGCATGCACGGTCTCACAATGGGCACTTTTTTACTTGCATGACCTGACACCGCCCCCACTCGCCCTCAGCATTAATGACCCGTAAAACGCCTGTCACCACTCGCCCCAACGCACGGTAAAATTTGCATCGCGTTTGCCAAAGTTCGTATGTTTTTGTCTCGCATGCTGAAGCATGAACAGCTGACGTGAAGTAGTTTCTAAGTCGCTAGAAACTTTTCCTGACGAAATATCTCAAGATAAACCTGGGAGTTCTGGCTGACTTAGATTCGCTAGCAATGCTGCCATAATGCTGCCAATTCAGAGTGATGAATTCTACTACGAGCAAAGGCACGCTGCATGGTCCAATAACCGATGGACGATTAATCATGGGAAGTTGGATAGCCACATTTCCCGAATGACATAGGTGTATGCAATAGGCATCATTGTGCACCACTGATCAACAGCCATGACATTTAGTTATTTCAAAAATATGTGATGTGAATTAGAACCAGGCAATAACCTCCATCTCTATAACCTCCCCCCTCCCCCAGTCAGCGGACTTGCCTCCCAGAAAAGGGTCCTAGAGTATATCCTAAGCCCTCCCTCGTACTTTTTTGGAACGTTCTTCGCCCATGTAATGCACCATTAATGAGAGTGTTCCGTCCTTCTATGAGGTTTTGTGCTGAAATGGCCTTCCAGAAGACCTTTTGGTCACATGGTCACATTAATGGCGGGGGTTCTGGCTGTAGATCCGCTACAGCCAGTCCTTTTGGCCATTTGGCTTTTGAATTGGGCCTTTGATTTTTTATCTCAAGAGGCCCTTTGGTCCCTTTTTTGTTCCCTCAAACACCACCCCTGGCCGACTAGGACCACTTGCCGCAACACGACCCCTTTTAGGCACTGTGGCCCCTGACTGACGGAGAAGCCCCTCATTGTGTCAGGGACCCCGAGCATTGCAAGTCGGGGGCGCCGGCCTCATTACTGCGTGGGAAATGGGTCTCAGGTGATAAAGTAATAGAGACCCTTATTAGGAAGGACCTAATAGAAACCATCTGACTGACATTTTAGGTCATGACACTGCAGGTGGGAACCGCACCCGAGTCAAATCGGGCGCTTGATTTTTGGTCCCGAGGGGCTCTCCGGTCTCTCTTCGGATCTCCTGAAGCAAAGTCCGTCACCTGCTACAGGGCCACTGGCCGAGACATGACCCTTTGTTGTGCACTGTGGGTCCTTGACCGACAAAGGTACCCAACCACTGTTGCAGGCATCCGGACCAATGCAAATCGTTGCCCCCGGTCTTGCTTCTGTTTGCAAAATGGACCCCAAAGTTCAGACTGACAGGGAGCCAACTGTTCGCCGTTCGAGGTCTCTGGCCGAGTCAGACACACGCATCGTCTCAGGGCGCCCTCAAGAGGTACAAGAGGACCTTTGACTGATATTTCAGTTCACACCCTTACGGGCTGGGATTCTTTATGGGATCTACAGTCAATCCTTGGGCCCTGATACCCTCATACTAGGCCTTTGATAGTCTGTTCCATTGGGTCGTCCGTGCTAATCTTCGAGCCTCATCGAGCACTGCCCTTGGTCGCCTCGGTGCCCCTTGCGAGCACAGGACTCCCTATTGGGCGCTGTGGGCCCCTGACAGATACAGGGCCCCGGTTTGGTGGCTGAATGGGAAGTGGGCCCTCAGGCCCATACCCATACACCGATATGGAGTGGACTGTGCGGTGCTGTTGGTGCCTGACCGACGTATAGACCCATATCGACTTAGGGTGCCCTGATCGGTACAAAGAACCCCCTGGCTGTCATTGGAAGGTTCGTACCCACAGGCCGGGGCCCCCGGATAAAACTCCGTCCCAAGGGTGTCTATATGCATTATTTTGTGGGGGTACTGCCCTCCCCCTCCAATGTTGAGTTGGGCCCCCAATGTTGGCTTGCCCCCCCCCCCAATGTTTTTTGCCTGGAACACTGCCAAAAACGTGGGTAAAAAATGATCATAATACAAAGACTATCTTCTTTGACCTTTCTGCGTAGTGGCGTCTCGTGCCACTCTCATAACAAAAAGTCATGGTTGCTCTCACCACAAGATGCAAATTGTCACAGCTGAGCGGATGCACGACGCAAAAAACTTCACATGACTAGCGCCACAAGACATGCAATGGCTTGTAAGGTTAAAGTAAAAAGCTCTGGAATATGCGGATGACGTAAGTCCGTCATGGCTAACCCCGTCCCTGTCCCCACACAACCAAAATGCGTGCCCCCTCTCATGACCGCCATAGAAGAGCGCCATCGGCGCTCTAAGGTGGTCCCTAAAGAGGCGCCTTCAAGCGCCGATCAGAAGAAACACGAGCGCCCACTGCCTGGTCCCTGGATTCAGCCCTGCATGACTTCTATACTGCCTAAATTCAATATTTTTTAAAAATAGATTATACAATGATTATAACATATATTGTCTTTAATCAAAATAAAGTGGGCTAAATCAAGCAAGAAAAATGGGCGAGGTAAGCTGTCGGTCCTTCGGTTTGGCCCCTCCCCTTCATAATTTACAAAAATTGACACCCTGCTCCGACGAGCCCTTTGTGTTCTTTGACACTCCAATCCAGCCCTTGGTGATAGGATCCGGTGGGTCGTCCAGGCTCTTTGGGCCTCCTCGAACACGGCCTCCGGACGAATTGGGGCTCTTTGCCAGCACAGGTCCCCGTTAGGCGCTGTGGGGCCCTAGTCAATGTAAATCGCTGGCTCCGCCTTTGTCCGCGCTTGGGAAATGGGCCATCAGCCGATGCCGCCACGAAGCCGACTGTGCGTTACTTATGGTGTCGGACCCACATATAGCTCCTTGTCTGCTCACGGGCCCTATATCAGCGCGTAGGGCCCTTTGGCTGGCATTTGAGTGCCCAGTCCTGCGGGACGGCCGCTGAATACGACCTCCAGCCGGCCTTTCAGGCCTTTGGGGCCTGCAAATCGGGCCCTTTATCGTAGGTCCCAGATGTGATGGTTCATTACCTAGAACTTTTCACGACAACGCACGTTGTGGTGACAATGTGCCTCCAATGCCTTTCGCTGCTGTTGAAGCTCATCACATTCAAACAAAAGATGTTTAACTGAAGGGGGACCATAACACGATTGGCACAGGGACGAGGGTGCTTTAAGTACAAATCACGTTTTTATTGAAGTGTGGTCAACGGGGAATGGTATTATGTCAGGAGACGTCAATGCTTCCTTGGCCAATGGGTCAACCCTTTCGTTCCCTGCGATGACCAGATGGCCTAGCGCCCACAAAGCTTTAATGTTTATGTCTTGTGTCATAAAGAATCCTACAGATTTGTGGCGTTGGCTAGGAAGTGGTGAGTGGAGTCGAGGTTAATAGGTGGCAGCAGGGCCGCCCTAGAACCCGATCAGATTGCTATGGGTAACTCGGTGCTAGTCAGCGACTTGCTCTCACAACGCAACAGCAAGGCGAATAATGGTGTCTGGGTCCCAAAACATTCCAAAGTTGATGCCAGTTTGGCTTAAAATAGGGTCGTGTTGAAGTGTTGTGCTGAAAGTCTGCATTCAGGTATAAAGTCTTAATTCCACTATATTTTGGTGATTTGTTTCACCTATTTGGTGGAAGCTTAGCCAGGCTAGTGGAAACTTTTCTTTGCAGACATCTCCTTTACGTATTTGGTACCTTAAGTATGCACAATGGTTAGCAGCTTTGTTAAATCGATGGTGAAAACGGCCATATTGATGGCAATAATCCGATCGGTGATGAAGTGTTCGTTTTGCTTGTGATTCGTCCAGTCTGGTAGAAGTGGCCTTTTTGGTTCATTTTATTTAATTTTTGGTGACCGGTTAATAGGGATGCTCTCCATACCAACAGGCTGGCAAAAAATCCCGGCGGCAGCGCCACCTGGTGCAAGACGTGACAAAACAGGTGACTTTCCTGTCATTTGCCATGACGTAAGAAGAATACCAGGCCATGATTGGTATTGACAAACGTGCTGAGTAAGGATCGAACACGGCTAAGAAGCAACGCCTATGAGGCCCGCACTAAAAGAGGAAAAAGAAGAAGAGACCCTCAATGCCAGCTGGTTGTCATTCGCCGGCTAGCCAGCGCGCAGAAGCAGAAGCTGTTCAGCAGACAGCGCATGTGTGGATCCTGCCAGACCTATCATTTGACCTTGCGTTCGCGCCCTTTCAAGCCAGTTTCTTGTGGGACGGGGAGGGGCGGGTGCCATTCTCGGGGCGGTGGTCTAGCTCGAAGATTTGGACAAGTGTTGGCCATTGCTTACCGCTTGGCGAGTGTCTTTGGCAATAACCAGCCATGTCGAAGATGCATCCGACCACGAGCGATTATGAGCGGCGTAAGCAAATCAGTGTCAGAGGAATAGCTCAAGTCGAAAATGTGGCCAACATCAAGAAAACTTTTAATCGGCATGTGCACTACACTCTAGTTAAGGACCGCAACGTTGCAACCACGAGAGATTACTACTTTGCATTGGCCCACACCGTTCGCGACCACTTGGTCTCGCGATGGATAAGGACTCAACAAAGCTATCACGACAAAGACCCCAAGGTAGGTGCATAACCTAAAGCATTTCTTGCCCATTAGTTAAATTACGTTCTATGTCTACGTTGGGTACTGGGGTGCATGTGGTCGGCATGGTTGGCAATGCCAATGGGTGGGGTGGATTAATTTGAAATGGGTTTCGCTTCCGTGGCTGACCAAGTAGGTAAAACAACGCGCACATTTGAACGGATGACCGTGCAGTTTTCATTGTTCAACTTCTTAATTTGGGCCTTAGCTCTAAAAACTCGAGATGTGCGCTAAAAAAAAACACGACATGGGTCGCTTCCTGGTCGATTATTGGTGCAGCAATGAGTCAGACCGGTCAGACGTAAGAAGTGAGCAGTTATTTTTCGTTGAGTGTGTGATAGACGATGTATTCGCCTGCACCACAGTGATGTTCACGTTTTCGCCGCCGTCTCTCGTGCACGATGATTGGTGCAGCAATGGGTCAGACTGGTCGGACGTAATAAGTGTGGTTATTTTCTGTTGAGTGTGTGATAGACGATGTATTCGAATGTACCATACATTTATGTTTACGTTTTCGCCGTCGTCAATCATTCTTGTCACGTTTTTGCCCCAAAATTGTGATTCCACGTCTCGCACCGGGGTGTGCGTGGCCGACTCCATTCATGACGCACACTTGAAAATAGGATTGCGTGTTCTTTTTCGTCAGTCAGTGCCCGGTGTCCGGCAGTCGGTGTGCGTCTGGCATCGCTACAATTCCGGCATACCGATATGAGGACCGGGCTTCTACAGATGTTTTTTCAACCTTCTGACAACTTACAAATTTTGTGTTTTGCGTGTTGTTCAAATGAGTTAAAATGTGGCAATCTTGCACTGTTGCACGACACCACCTCACGAAACAGTTTGTTATCGATCTGTAAAGCATTACAGGAAAGTCGCATTAATGGCGCCACTTTCTGCCGTAAAATGCGTGACTGCGATCAGCAGTTCAAGAATGGTTGCCCGTCGAAGTTGTGGGTGGCCAAACCAGACCTCGGGCTGCAAAATTTCCTAACGTCAAGCCGAGGTCGGCTTGTTGCTTGGCCCATAGTCATGGAAACCCAGACTGTTTTGTTCAAGGGGACCTCACTCCCTACACGCTCTAGAATGCACTTAGGAAATGAGCGGCCTCAGGCGGGTGGAGAGTTCTCTCTTGGTCGTCCGTTGAAAAGGATGCCGGATTCGTGATTACCGTTGCGACTCGGATCAATTTTAAGTCCGTAATTGTCTGCAGCTCTTCATGCCTGTGCTCTATAAGTGTTAATGTATAAGAGCATCGTAGCAAGCGGTAAGCATTCGCCATATTGGAGTCACCAGCACTTGTGAGAGAAGCGAACACCAGTTTTCCTCGGTCCTGGGCCCCAGATCCATAGAAAACATCGGCTGTAGCAAGAGATCCAACCCTTGGCTTTCCGCCAACGAGTTTGGTAAGGGCGTTATACAAACGAGCTTCATTTCGTCACCGAGCGCGTGTCGACCGCCTGCCTGGTCTGATAAGTATGTCTGCGTGGTTGCCGTACCCCGTGGTCTTTGCCCCGGCTGTAACCAACAGCTGGAGGGCGTTCACTTCCAGTCGATGCCTAAAGTGGAATTCGTGGAATGCTGCGCTGCTTGAATGTGCACCTCATCGAATATTCAGTGTTGCAGAAGCGGCAGTGCGGGTCCCGGTGGTGTTTTGTGAGTGCCACAGGGCAGATCATTGGTGCGTTAATTGCTGGTACAGTTCTGTCCAAGCGTGGTTGTATGCTTACACGACACATTCTTCGTGAAGCTCGTTGCGAAAGAAGTCGCTGGGAGAACTTAACTATGATTGTAGACTTAACGTGTACGATTGTAGGATACGTCGGATTTTAAGTATCAAATACATCTTCCTAAACCGTCCGCAGGTCCTGGCACAACCCGTTCCAAAATATACTTGCACTTGTTTCAGCAGCATTTAGTTGTCAGTTAAAGCGTCTCTAACTCCAAAAGGCCGACTAATAAGCATCGGAATCTCCTCAGGCTAATATCCGATTTTCATTCACGTCGGCTCATAGGCATCGATTAGATCACTCAGGGTAGCAGCTTCGGCTGATTTGCACTGCCCCCAGAAATCGTGCACGTGGTAAACCGTATCCGGAATGGCAAGGCCAGTTGGCGACTGGCCAAGCAGGCGAGGAGGGTCGATCAGATGGCCCTCTGGCCCTCCGTGGCTGATGCGGACAATCAGATGAAGTATTAGAAGGTTTCCAAGAAGAGAGAGAGAGAAAAAACAAATAGGGTGATGAGAGTACGTCCATATTGCGTTGTTTGCGTGATTCATAAGGCTTCATTACCACCTAACGTCTTTTTGACAACGTCCTTTCGTGGCCATTGATACCGGCATGTGTGATCGTTTGATCGCACCCCTGCGGTCCGACACCTGTGCCTGGCGTCAGGTGGAAGTGGAGGGACCGATTGGACGCGCCGCTGTGGGCACCTCGCTCACGCCGCCTGGCATCACTATAAATACTCTTGGCTGTCGGCCACGTGACCCGCGCCCTGCCCGCGCTCTGCATCGACAGACAATAGTGGGGTGGTCGGCAGCTGCTCGGTCGGATGGGTCGTCATAGCACACGTCTTGTTGGGTCCCGACAGAACAGTGGCTGGTCCCAGTCTCGTCCCAGACAGATCGACGACCTGTGTGGGCTCTCTGCGTTCTGGCCCTGCTGTGTGCCAAACCCTTCGGCTGGAGGATGCGACGCACCCAAATTGGACAACGTTCGTGCTCAGCATCTGTTTGATGGCACCCGAAGAGGGGCGTATGTGCGTGACGCGTCTGTGTGTGCACTCAGGTTTTCCAAGTCCCGAGCTCTACATGTGGGATCTCCAGATTATAACGATCGTGGTTTTGGTGACCACATCCACATTACAGGACATTTTGGTGACTACGTCCACATCGCCACATCCGAGTGCTGTCCACGTGTCGTGTTGGTTGTTTGGCTGCTCATCGCTGCGTCACGTGACTTCGGCTTGACCAGTGGCGTCGGCTTCACAGCCACTCCCAAAGCCCGCTCCATCTAAAGCGACTCGACGGCTTCGCAGCCAGTCTCAAAGCTCGCTCCATCTAAAGCGGCTCGACGGGGAAGTCTCTAAAGATCGCCACGGAATCCCCGTCGAAGCAACGTCCCGTCAGGATGGCAGAACAGGAGTCCAACTGCTGACCTGTCCTCTCCGGGGGCTATGTGGGTTGTAGGTGAGGTCAGGTTGGGTCGTGTCAGGTCCTGCGTGCTATCCCTGCGAGGCGTCGGGACCCGGGACCGGCTGCGTCCTGAACTGTACACTGGCCCGCCGGGCGGCGGCCGGCCGGTCTGCTGGCCTGGACGGTTAAGCGGAGTACAGACTGCACGATGTATACGAAAGCCCCTCCGAGGCAAGGCGCGCATACCTGAGCCAAGGGCTCGGTCCGCGCACTGGATCATGACATGTGTTTGTGACTGGCTCTGAACCCGTCCCCGTCCGTAATATCTGATCGAGGCGTTCATAGGCAGCCAACAAACCAGCTAGACAGATATTAAGACAACACCCTATCTTCGTATGCCAGCGAATGGTGAAAGTGGTAGTGTTTTGTGAAATGCATTGCAGCAGGTGCTTGCACACCCTTGCTTTCCAATATGCCGATCTAGGACGTCTATTTAATGTTCATTGAGATTCTGATGTGCTTTGAATCCCTCTCTTGAACTCCCTTGAATCCCTCCCTTGAACCCCTCTCCCTCCAAAAAAAAATGTCGAAGACGTGGTTGATTGTAGTCGAACCACAATGCATGGTTTCAGTTGGCGACCGATCATCCTGGTATCAGTGCAGTCAGTACAACCAGCCCCCTGGCATCGGATCCACGGACGTGATCAGTTTCAAACAGACCCTCCGGTCTGGCGACCCGCCCTGAGGACACAGCCTCGCTCTGGGTGACCGTGGCAGCCCGCTGTCCAGCGAGCCCCAGAGATTGGGTGCTGCCTGCCACCGTCGTGCGGGTGACAGTGGACATCCATACAGCTAGCGAGCATTGGGTGCTGCCTGCTACCGTCGTGCGGGTGACTGTGGACATCCATACAGCTAGCGAGCGTGCGAGACTCCCGCAGTGAAGCCCAAAATGAGAGTGTCTGCCGAGTATATTGTACGTAGTGTCCAGTGTACTTGCCTATTTAACAGCATCGACTCTGTGAGAGGCGAATGAGCCAGGCACAGACACAGCCATAACACGAAACACGGCCGCCCTGCTATTGCTGAAATATTACTATAACGCCGCAATAGGGTCAGCGGAGCAAACAAAACTGCTTCAGTAGTTTGTCTTATTCCACATCTGCTGGGCCTGAGGATATATGGCTTCATTTGATTTTTTGCCGTGTTTTTCTTCGAAGAACAATTCTTGAATAAAGTTTTGCGTCGCCCTGGTAAACTTTAGGCTAAAACTATTTTGGCAAATCTATGCCAATCCTGCGGCGGTATGGTAGGTAAAGCACCAACGGAAGATTCACCCTGCATTCCTGAGCTGTTGATGTGTCAAGGTCTCCATCGGGATTTTGCGCGTGTTTCACTTGCTCTCGGGCAAGATATGGTGTCACGTTGCCGGTTTTCGCCCTGAGCTGACCTGCAGGCTCGTGTTACAGCGTGTGTACTACCTGTCTCTGGAGTACTACATGGGACGCACCCTGCAGAACACCATGATTAACCTGGGTATCCAGAGCGCCTGCGACGAAGCCCTCTACCAGGTACCGCACTGTGCGTGATTCTCAACTGACCTGTATTCCTCCCAGGTTCGTCAGGACCTGATGTCACCTGGTGGACCTGGTGCGAGATAGCGCCTTCATTCCCTCGTCACAGCTGGGGGAGGAGAGATGATTGGCAGGCAGTAAAGGTTTCCATTAACATAAAAGGTCGACACAGAATCAAAACGGAAGGTCAAAATGACAAACGTAAAAAATCACAAAGCCTAGACAGTTACTCAAGTCCGACTGGGCAGCCCCTCGCCTGGGTCCTTTTTGAGTATTACATATTTTGAATATCAGTGAGAAAGGGCGAGAGGCGAATGGGCTAAAATTTTCTTCCTGCCCTGCCCTGCCCTGCCCTGCCCTGTCATGCCCGATCTCCCTCCCCCCATCGTTCACTCTTTTACACCAATGAAAAGTGGGCCGGGAAGGTCGTGAGGATGGTGATGATGATGATGCCGGTTTCGGGGTCAAAGGGCAACAGATTGGTGCCTTGCGTGCGGAGGCAGCAAGGAAGCCAAGGTTCTGGTAGCATTCTTGTGTAGACATCCTGTACAGCCTGCAGGGTGAATGCTGGAACGCTGGAGTCATATGCTAACGCCTATCTCGACTTGAAGTCAACTGTTAATCCACTCTGATAATCGCACAAGCAGTTTAGATCCGACTCAATTGGATAACTTTCGACACGACGTGTAAATGGAACCCCTGGCGCCGGACGGACTCATCACTGGTTCTGCGCTCGTCCGCCAGGTGGGTCTGGACATCGAAGAGCTGCAGGACGTGGAGGAGGACGCCGGCCTGGGGAATGGCGGTCTGGGCCGCCTCGCCGCCTGCTTCCTTGACTCCATGGCCACCATCGGACTGGCCGCTTACGGCTACGGCATCCGCTACGAGTACGGCATCTTTGCGCAGAAGATCAAGGATGGTGGCCAGGTGAGTTTCCGGTGATGCGTGCCAAGTCCAAAGCCTTGTACGATTTAAGTCTGGTTAAGTGTGATGAAATGGCCCACCGCGTTATCACACGGACGTGTTTGAAGGAACTGGATGCTTCATACATGCTCCGTTTGCTTGCGGGCCCCGAATGATTGAAATGTTCCATCGCTTTCGGGCTCATGTCTCTGCCTTTTATTAAGTCCCATGTTCGCCCTTAACGATACCGCATTTAAATGCACCTTCACCTGTAACATCGGTGTTATGAGAGGTCAGTCTACACACCATTCACCGCTCAGGTGTTCGGCCATCATTGTGACGTCATTTGGTCAGCGCGGCGCGTGAGTGTGTGTGACCACGCCTGTAATCTGTGGTGACAAACCACGATTTGTTGAGTCAATATGGAATCTAAATGGGACGATGAATGGGACTTAAAAGAAGGGTGCGCTCTACGGACCAAATTGAAAGGGAGAAAATCTCATTTTATCAAAGTAGGGGGATATGTTTCCTTGAGTCACAGGGACGTCAGGGTGCCCTGGCCGCTCCCACTCCGCTAATGGCCTGGGGCGCTGACTGAGCGTCTGGGCGCCGGCAGACGGAGGAGCCCGACGACTGGCTGCGGTTCGGCAACCCCTGGGAGAAGGCTCGGCCCGAGTACGTCCTGCCCGTCTGCCTCTACGGCCGCATGGACAAGGGCAAGTGGATCGATAACCAGGTGGGTCCTGCGCAACGAGCTCACAAGCCACCGTTGGAGCCGTTAACGTTCGAATTGAGCATCCCGTCTCAGAATACGGCCGTGCGCTTCAGCAGCGTCGGTGCTGCCGTGCGTCTCACTGGTGTCGATGCTGCCGTGCGTCTGGCCAGTGTCGATGCTGCCGTGCGTCTGGCCGGTGTCGATGCTGCCGTGCGTCTCACTGGTGTCAATGCTGCCGTGCGTCTGGCCAGTGTCGATGCTGCCGTGCGTCTGGCCAGTGTCGATGCTGCCGTGCGTCTGGCCGGTGTCGATGCTGCCGTGCGTCTCACCGGTGTCGATGCTGCCGTGCGTCTGGCCGGTGTCGATGCTGCCGTGCGTCTCACCGGTGTCGATGATGCCGTGCGTCTCACCGGTGTCGATGCTGCCGTGCGTCTCACTGGTGTCGATGCTGCCGTGCGTCTGGCCGGTGTCGATGCTGCCGTGCGTCTGGCCGGTGTCGATGCTGCCGTGCGTCTCACCGGTGTCGATGCTGCCGTGCGTCTCACCGGTGTCGATGATGCCGTGCGTCTCACCGGTGTCGATGCTGCCTTGCGGCTCACCGGGGGCTTCAATCTGACCCGTTTATGCCCAGGTGGTGTTCGCTCTGCCGTACGATACGCCGATTCCCGGCTACCAGAACAACGTGGTCAACACGCTGCGCCTGTGGTCGGCCATGTCGGCTGCCAGCTTCAACCTGCAGTTCTGTGAGTGATGTGATGACGTGCGGAGAACCCCGTGCGCATCACGCACGGGCTGACGGGCAGACACGGACAGACACTCTTCTATTGTGATTAAAAATGATCTCAACCAAGCCAGATAAGTTGAAACAGACCGATGTAGTCAACCATTTCCGACATACGGCCAGGGACTGTGAAACCCGCAAAGTAAACTACATTGTCCTGACAAAAACAAGTCTCGGCGTACGTTAAACTATGCACTTGCGGGAGGGGGCACCGAAAAGACATGCATGTATACACCACGACATCCCACTCACCAGAAATGCGTTAGTCGTGCACACTAACCGTACTCACGCAAACCACACCTCACCTCTCTTGAAAAATACATCTAGACGCCTCACCACTCTTGAAAAATACATCGGAGACGTAGCACCCATCATCAGCATACAAAACAAGCCATTCACGTAACTAGCACTCTGCGACATGCGAGCCCCCCCCCCCCCCCCCTCCCGCGAGCCTGCGCCTCCGTAATGCACACCTAGCGGACCAGTGATCTTTCCATATGGTAAAATTTGAAACTTTCAAACACAAAACTGCTTCTGTAATTAGAGCATGCAGCATACTGGTGTTTATTTTTTTAGATACCTCGAACAATTACCATGAATTTAAAATGGCATGACATGAAAATTACGAATGAATACCATGCCAATTTTTTAGTTCAATGAAACCGAACTTTCGTTTATGCGCTGCGCTTGTGACGGCATGTTTAGTGTAATAATTACCTTGAAATTGGTCATGGAAATGATCGAAGCATTTGGGCAAACCGATGAACTTTTGTGACATTCGGTATCAACACACCGGAAACGGCAAACACAAGACAATATAGTTTGAGTAAGCATCCGCAAATCGTGTCTAATGGCGATAAGTGCATATGCGCTTCTCATATAATCAGGCACCCCTCGTAGCCATGGCAATCCGCACACCACCGCCGCGAGGACGTCACTCATTGCCCAAGCCAGCCCCCATATCTTTGTAGTTGACCTGCCGCTCGATCTTGCGCCACCCCCATCTAGGCAGGCTCGGACGCACTCGCGACCATGAGGGACAGCTGGAAATGGGAACAGTTTAACCAGAGCCTCCTGGTGTATTGATGGTAGATTATTGCCAGCATGAGAACTTTAAACCCATCGTGCCGAAAAACTCGGAGCTCAAGGCCTTCTTTGTTTGTGTCAAGCATAACTTTCGACAGATATCGAAGAAGACTACTGGTGTGGTAGTTGTCGGGTGTGTTGGTGGACTTTTTCGATATGGGATGGGCATGTGCCTGCCTCCAGATCACTGGGTACGTTCCGGTGTTTATGCAGATATAAAACAGACTTGCGACCGCCTCACATATTACGTGTGCTGTGAGTTTCATGATTCTAGGTCATTTGGGACGTAAGATTTGTTCGCGCCGAGAGGATTTAAAACGTCTAGGAACCAACTCTCCGTCATCGTTATATCGTCTAATGTAGGTAATAGCGCCCTGTCGTGAGTAATATCTAGAACATCACAGCCATCGCCGCCAATGCGCGATTGAGCAGGGAAAAAGTTATTGGGCGTCGCTACCTTGCATCCTTCATCTGTGATGCCATTTTCTTCGGCGTGCGCCGGGTGTGTGCTGCGTTTGTTGATCCGTCCACTGTCGCATGCTTGAGTCGCATAATTGACTTTGCTGTGCAATCTGGGCCTAGCCCGCAGTTCGAAGTCATGTCCTCATGCAACATCCCTGACTGTGTGCTCAAAACAGTCCACGTTCTCAGACTTGGTCTTGGGCTGCATGAAAAGTGCCGAATACAAACCTTTTAACAGCCATTTGGTGACTTGGCTGTCACAAATCTACCTCAGCCTCCCGGTTCATGCAAATATATTCACTAGGAAGCGAACTGTTCGGGTCCAATTGAGTTCCGCTCCTCGAGCAGCCGTGACGGTTCGGATCGATTTTCGTGAACTTTGAGACCCAAGTTCGTTGGTTCCACTCCACTCGTTCTATTCATGCACCACAGAGCCGAGTATGGTGTTGGGCGGTCATTCATGTGCACGATCCGTCATGCAGCATCTCCAATAATTATCGGGGCATTTTGTGCAGCTGATCAAGAGAGGGGATGAAGAACTGACGAAAGGACAGCAGAGGCGCGTAGTTGAACCTTGAGTGAGGTGTGGTCATTGAAAGAATTGTTCCGTGCTTCGCAGTCAACAATGGCGACTACATTCAGGCGGTATTGGACCGTAACCTAGCGGAGAACATAACACGCGTGCTGTACCCGAACGACAATTTCTTCGAGGGCAAGGAGCTGCGACTGAAGCAGCAGTACTTCATGGTGGCGGCCACCATACAGGTATGTACTTGCCAGCACGTGCCGGAGCAACAGACCCAGACGCTGAGGCAGTCGCACGCGCAGATGTGGACAGTGCGCACCGAGCCTAGATGTTCTTGCGGAGACGTCTGCGAGGCTGGCGGTTTGAGGTGGGGTCCCCTCCGCCACCAGACGCCATCTCACGGGAACGGTGCGAGCGACAGCTGATCGTTCTGTGGCGGCGCCGACCGGCCATCGCTGCCAGCCTGGGATTTGTGACGGCACGCCGTCGCGCGCCGGGTCGAGCCGCTCGTGAGTCCGGCCGGTGTGACCCGTGACTCTGCCACTCGGTCACGTGGCGTGTCGTGACGCCGCGCCGCCACCGGCAGGACGTGCTGCGCCGCTTCAAGGCGTCTACGTACGGCTCGCGCGAGCCGAAACGCGTCTCGTTCGAGACGTTCCCGGACAAGGTGGCCATCCAGCTGAACGACACGCACCCGTCGCTGGCCATCCCGGAGCTGATGCGCGTCTTCCTGGACGTCGAGAAGCTCTCCTGGGACGAGGTGGGTGGACGCGGTCCGAGCCCGGCCGTCCCCCAGCCTCCCTGTGGCTACTGGGGCCAGGTACGCGTCCATCGTCCTCGCTGGTGTCTGCTGATGGTAGCCGAACGTGTCGGAGAAATCAATCGTTTAGCCGTGGTTTTGTGTGTTATCGCATAATCAGCAAAATGGCACCAGCAGGCGCGTGTTATCGGGCTATGCAGTCGGCGTCTGCTGTGTGTGGCTGGCGTACGCGATATGCAGGACGCGCTGGCCAGCGCTGCACACGTACGGTGACCGGCCCTTTGTGTGCCCATCGACAGGCCTGGGGGCTAGTCACCCGCACCTGCGCCTACACCAATCACACGGTGCTGCCAGAGGCGCTGGAGCGCTGGCCGGTCAGCATGCTGGGCAACATGCTGCCCCGACACCTGGAAATCATCTACGAGATCAACTGGCGCTTCCTGGACGAGGTGCGGCAGCGAACGACTGGATGTCGGGCTAATGTTTCGTCAGACCCAGAGCAGCTGCTGCAGACAGGCGCTCCTTGTCATGGAAAGGCCTACGGTGTAATGGTTAAATAGTGCTGGGCTACCTTCCGTTGCCCTTTGTCTTACGTTCGTTTGGCCATAGCCCCCACTACCGACAGGTGCATCTGGTGAATGCATCTGTCGGCAGTCGGCCCCTTTATGAGCCGCCGTCGGTGGAGGAGCAGCTCGCTTGTTATATCACCTTGCGTCTTGACATACCGCCTCTTCGTTGACCCGCCTGTGGGATGCCGCTGAGTGCCAGGTTACCTCCTTCCGCGCACTGGCCACGTACTGCTGGCGGCCGTGTCCGCCGTCTGGACAGTGCCCGTGCTCCGGCCGATGCCCCTGCTGCGGCTGGTGCCCCTGCTGCGGCCGGTGCCCCTGCTGCGGCTGGTGCCCCTGCTGCGGCCGGTGCCCCTGCTGCGGCCGGTGCCCCTGCTGCGGCCGGTGCCCCTGCTGCGGCCGGTGCCCCTGGTGCGGCCGGTGCCCCTGGTGCGGCTGGTGCCCCTGCTGCGGCCGGTGCCCCTGCTGCGGCCGGTGCCCCTGCTGCGGCCGGTGCCCCTGCTCCGGCCGGTGCCCCTGGTGCGGCCGGTGCCCCCGCTTCAGGGGCGCCCCGAGCGGCGGGCCCGCGGCTTGACGCGCCGCCCCGGCCGCCGCAGGTGAACCACCGCTGGCCGGGTGACTTGGACCGGCTGAAGCGCATGTCGCTGGTGGAGGAGGACGGCGAGAAGCGCGTCAATATGGCCCACCTAGCCATTGTAGGCTCGCACGCCGTCAACGGCGTGGCAGCCATCCACTCGGAGATCATCAAACGCGATGTGTAAGCCCGCCACCACTGGCCACGGCGCCTCGGAAACGGTCCCTGGCCTGCTTCTGTGGGGATGCGTCACACTCCAGGTGTTGGGGGGCGCGTTGAACTCCGTTTTTCTCGGAGTTGAGTTCCAGTTTGCGGTTCTTTTGGGATGGAATTGTAGTTGGGCAATCTGGACTTGTCACGGACTTCAAGCGTATCTCGTGGAGAAGCTGGGCAGAGACTGGTAGCAGCTTCGGTATTTTAAGTGCGTGTATTACATGAATATGTTGTGCGATTGCGCTTGCGTACGTCCGCATTCTGGCATGACAATGTTCGTTTAACTTTGGAGACATTCAATGCCGCGTGACCTCGATGTTCGGGCACGGTGAAGATGACTGTTCTCCTCGACAGATTCAAGGACTTCAGTGAGATGACGCCGGAAAAGTTCCAGAACAAGACGAACGGCATCACGCCGCGCCGCTGGCTGCTGCTCTGTAACCCGGGCCTGTCGGACGTCATCGCTGACGTGGGTGGAGAGACGTCCCCCGCTCGGAGCGACGCCGGCCGGTATCTCTAGTCGGCTGGTCGCTGCCCATTCGGTGGAGTCGTCTTCCGCGCGTCGTAGAAAGCCTGGGGCTGGAACAGTTCGGAAGGCTGCACCAAGAGGCTGGGTGGTAAAGGCTTGGCCTGCGTGGACGGTGCGGATTTCGACAAAATTCAGACCGCCAGGACCGCCGTGATTTTACCGCTTGCTTTAGTCTCATGAGATCGACCGAGGCTGAAACCTGGTATGGTGCATTCCAGCACCAACTTTTGGAGCGTCGGAGACATTGAAGAGTTGAAACCCGTCATGACCTTGAGAAGTAGAATGTTAGACGCTGGGTCCCCAAATTATTGTGGTTGAGCTGGTTTATTGTTTTTAGAGATAACATAACGTCTGATTGTATCAGAAAGCTGTGAACTAGCGTCGGAATTACTAATTTTGCTGCCATCAGGAGCCCCTTGAGCGCTGGGACTTCCTCATTTCTCAACGTCAATCTTTGGGAGAGGGTGGCTCTGTTCACGACTATCTCCACGGGCTGGCATTTCAGAAAATCGGCGAGGATTGGATCATTCACCTGGAACAGCTGACCAAGCTGAAAGACTTGGTGAACGACGCCGCCTTCGTGCGTGCCGTGCAGAAGGTGAAGCAGGAGAACAAGATGAACGTGGCCAACGTGCTGACCAAGCAGTACGATGTCCAGGTCAACCCAGCCTCCATGTTCGACATCCAGGTCGGTGGAGGACCACCGGGTATTCAGCATGAGTTGTGACCGGGCTGGTCGGCGTGTCGGCTGCTCTTGTTTTTGCACAGCCATTTCATAAATTTGAAGCTGCAGTCCGTCAGGCGTCGGTGCATGACACGAACGGCCCGGCGGCCGGGTAAACCGCCGATAAATTGGCAACTGCAGACCTGCAGCCGTCGCCGCATGATGTCAGACCCCGAGCGGCGCCGCAGCGGCAGCACAAACACCAGCCGGGCCCGGAACCTCTCCCTATGACCGGTAGTTACGACGCTGCCGTATGCGTCGAGAGTGTGTTTGCCTGCTCCAGGTGAAGCGGATCCACGAGTACAAGCGCCAGCTGCTCAACTGCATGCACGTCATCACGATGTACAACCGGATCAAGAAGGACCCAGCCGCGGCGTGGGTGCCGCGCACGGTGATGGTCGGCGGTAAGGCGGCGCCTGGCTATCACATGGCCAAGCAGATCATCCGACTCATCATCGCCGTCGGCAACATCGTCAACAACGACCCCGCCGTCGGCGACAAACTCAAGGTCAGTCCTGCTGACCTGATGGGGGACGCATTGCGTCCGTTGGTGGGTCGTGCGAGCAGAGATGCGGTGTCCCGTCTCGTTTGACGTCTGGCAGTGGGCTCGTTGTCCGGATCGGTCTGCTCGGTTTGAATGAAGATGTTTTAAGCGATATCGCTACGTTTGAATGCGGGCTTGGTTGCTCTGACAGCGCAGACGTTAATTCATTCTGTCACGCCTTCGCGCGTGTTTGTATCCCTGGCGGTGTTTGAGATGCGAGCTGAAATCGAAAAGCTGGTTACTTGTCTGCTATATAAACGGTTTTGTGCACATTGATGGGTGTTGTGACAGCGATGTGACCGGGTGGATCGAGACCGCGTGCGTTTAGACGCGGACCGCCGGCAGGAATGTGGAGCCAGTGACTACCCCGCCGCAGGAACAAACGAGCGATGAACCCTGCGATCGTCTGTCGCCCGTCGGCGGACTCACGGTCCTCTCCCGGACAGGTGATCTTCCTGGAGAACTACCGGGTGACGCTGGCGGAGCGCATCATCCCGGCGGCCGACCTGAGCGAACAGATCTCCACGGCCGGCACCGAGGCGTCCGGCACCGGCAACATGAAGTTCATGCTGAACGGCGCGCTCACCGTCGGCACTCTGGACGGCGCCAACATCGAGATGCGCGACGAGATGGGGCCCGACAACATCTTCATCTTTGGTTGGTGCCGGTGGTCCAGTGCCGTGATAGAAGTGACCCACCTGGCCGTCATGATCTTTCACGGCGATGCGGCCTGTGGCGTTTCTGATCGGTATTAAGCCCCTTGCGCCTTTCCTTTTTGGTTTTTGTTTTTGCATGATAATTGTCCGATGAAAAGGTATTAATGATGGGGACGGAGGGACGCGCAAATAGTTTTACTTACTAAAAACTGATCTGTTTTGGTAAGCGGAAGTGAAGTTGGTAAACAGCTGTTATGTCACAGCGATGCTCATGCTGAACGGTGTCCCGCTGGATAGCTGTATTGTGATTAATGGTCGTTAGGCCACGCCCCACGTGGATCCGCCCATTCGCTTCACACTGACATCCAGTCGCAAACAAAGCTGACGTCGGGTCAGTATGAGCCACGAGTGTCGGCCTCCGCGGAATTCCGTGTAAAGAGCAGAGCGGTCCCACTCATCAGAGCCAGCGAGCAGCCGGCGGCACAGCATGACACAGGGGGCGGGTGGCTCGCCGGTGGGCGGGTGGCTCGCCCGCCACAGCGCCAAGTCAGCTGTGCAGAACGGCGGCGCCAAACTGCGCACTATTCCCCTCAGAGCGGAGCACGTCCGTTGTCCCGACAAAAGACAGCCGGCTCAGGTTCTGTGGCCTGGCCGCACAGCGGCCGCTGCAGGCCCTCGGCCGGGCTTCGCTCGGGCCCAAGGCTCACGAGAGATGCGTCATCGGTGTCGCTGCTGCCTCACCGCCGTCCCGTCTCAGCAGGCCCTCGGCCGGGCTTCGCTCGGGCCCAAGGCTCGCGGGCGGAGAGATGCGTCATCGGTGTCGCTGCTGCCTCAGCGCCGTCCCGTCTCAGCAGGCCCTCGGCACGGGCGTGTCTTACGATTCCGCTTGTCCGGCACTGCTGCTAGCCGACAGCCCGCTGTTTGGGCGTGCTCTGACATCCACGTGGTGGCCTCCGTCTTGCACGTGTGATGCTGGCGCGCGCTGACAGGTTACTGGCCGGTCGTAGGCTACCGCCGCGGCCGACCAGGCCGGCCAGCGCCGCCGGAGATCTAACTTCCTGCGGTCCGCTCGGCCAGGTATGACCGTGGACGAGGTGGAGGCGCTGAAGCGACGCGGCTACAACGCGCACGAGTACTACAACCGGCTGCCCGAGCTACGCCAGTGCATCGACATGATCAGCAGCGGCTTCTTCTCGCCGCACGACCTCAATCAGTTCAAGGACGTGGTGGACATGCTGATGAACCACGATCGCTTCTTGCTGTTCGCCGATTACGAGGCCTACATCCGCTGCCAGGACGAGGTTGACAAGCTCTACATGGTGAGTGCCCGGTTCTGGGGTGCGCGGTGCTGCGGCGTCCTGCGGAGTTGATCAGTCCTGGAAGGTATTGGAAGGTACAGGCCTCCGTGAGACCTTACGTTCTGTTTGAGGACGTTCGGGTGTGAGCATTTCAAATGTATTATGACTGGTTTCAAGCAATAGGTCGGCTACTATTTCGTGTTGTGTGCTAATATGCTTGTGCCGTGTATTTCTTTTATCTTGTCACTAGGTGTCGTGCGCCGACCCAGAATCTGGGATAGCCGCTTCGACGCGTACATTAACCCTGAGCCGCATTACCGAGTCGTGGCCTTGCAGAACCCGGACGCTTGGACGAAGAAGGCCATCATGAACATCGCGTCGTCGGGCAAGTTTTCGAGCGACCGCACGATCGCCGAGTACGCGCGTGACATCTGGGGCGTGGAGCCCAGCTGGGAGAAGATGCCGCCGCCGGACCAGCCCCGCGAGTAGCCGCTCCTCCGGCCGCCAGCGCCGGCCGCTGTAGGGTTGTGAGGCCGGCTCAGCAGCGGGTCGGGCTGTCCAGTCGGGCTGGAAATTTCTGCGTCTGCGGAGGGCTTGGGGCGAGTTAGACCGCCGTCTAGTCAAGGAAACAGGGAGCAGCATGGTTGTGCTTCACCGGAGTCATCGCTGTGTTTTCAGTCGCGTCGGCACGGATTGGTCCCAATATGCTGTGAAAATGCTGCCAGGATTGTTGTCTTGTTAAGATGTTTACGCAATTTTGCGGGTGTCTTGCGTTTGTTTTTTAGATGGCAAAGACGGACTCGGTGTGGTGATGACCGTGATGAAGAGGAAACTAAGTGTAAAGGTTGGCGTGGTGCGTGATATGAAAATTGCCGCCGTCGTTGAAAATTGACTGTTGTGACTACCGTCATGCGTGTGGAATCCCAATATACCAGGAAAATGAATTTTGTTTTGATACATCCTGCTTACAACTTGAGTTGCTGCTATGGATTGGACAAAAACTGAGCCTTTTGAAGGGTTGAACAGGTGGCTTATTAAGAGCGTGCTCTATCCTTTCAATGTGTCGATGGTGGGCTCACAACTTACATATCCCGATTAAAATACCACTTTAGGATCCTTGAAAGCGGCTAAAGAAATAAATGCTTCATTGCACATATCCGTGAGACCTCTGCCGACTAATTGCAACATTGACGCGCGATGCCCGAATTGTTCGGGAAAGTGGACTTTTGGCAGTGCAGTTGGCTAGCATTCGCCGACTATGAAGAGAAATATACTAACAATTACGCAACAATGAACGGAAAAACAGCTCTCTATCCGGCGGTCCCAACTTTCCAGATGGCTGTTGAGAAGACTGCGTGCGCGGCGGTTAATCACTAGAACGGTGTGTGGTGCCGCCTGAGCCGTCTGTTAGCTGCGATCCTAGTGAGGAGTCCGAAGCTCCGATGACAGCCCTTTTTGAAGCTGTTCCGATCTTGAACTGCCTCTCTCGGTCGCTGGAATACCTTTTCGAAGGCTGCCAGCCGCTAGAATAGCAAAAAGGAAACGGTGGTCAAAAGTCACGGATCTGGTAAGTTGTGCGTGTTTTTGTCAGCTGTGAGAAGTCCTGCAGCATCTTGTCGCCCCGCGCAACATCGTGCCTAGACATGTGTTGCAGCGTCGGTTCACATAAGCAGGTCACAAAGACGAAAACGAATGACTCATCAACTTATCAAGGTTTCCAATCGCAAAAAATTGCAACTTTACATGCACGCGCTTTTGGCACGCCGAGGACACCGTCACCGATCGTGCGTGCCAAACTGCGCGCGAGCGGGAGGGGGGAAGGGGTGCGCGGTCAGGCTCATGACGCCAACGCCCAGTGTCGTACAGCGAAGCGCGTAACCGTCTGCATGATGTCCGCGCATCCTCGCACGCCCGGCTCGGAGATGGCGCCACCTTTCCTGCCGGCAGGGGCGCTGTGCCCGCCCGACAACCCCCGGCTTACATTGGAGAGCACGGCCCTGCGCGCCAGGGTCCACCTCTCCTGCCGGCAGGGGTGCTGTGCCCGCCCGATAACTCCAGGCTAACATTGGAGAGCACGGCCCTGCGCGCCAGGGCCCCTGAACACGACCTCCAGGTCTTATTCAGGGGCCCTCCAGGCACTCAAATCAGGCCCTTGACCGTCGGTCTCGAGGGGTTCTTCGGGCCTTTCAGAACATGAGGGAGGAAGGGTGGGGCGCGGGCACGTGCCCCCTGTACCCCCTGCCTGTGCCACTGTAATGCATTGTTTTACTTAAAATGCTCGCTACCGGTGGCTGGGCAGTTGGTAGCATTTTGGTGGCTTGGAAATGTTGGGTTGCAACCGTTTGGGTTAAGCTGATTATGGACAGGGAACTGCACATAATGACGAACAACTGGGCGGTAAATACAGGCAATTACGGTGCATGCGGTGATGTAGACTTAGCCACGACTGTGGCTGCAGTTTCTGCGATAGTGCGTTGTTTTGGGGTGGCCATTTTCGAAATGCCGACATTACCGGGTCGCTCGAAGGTTACTAGCGCAACCGCGCGTCGCGCAAACTCATGATGGCTATACGTAATGCAAGTGGTACGTTGGCGGTTGCTTTGAAGCTGGATTCACGCCCCTACCGGCTATGAGTGCCAAGTTGTGAGATAAAACGTGAAAACCCGTGAAACTGAGGCAATTTCATCTTGACCGTTTCTGCGCACGTGAGATGTGGCACGTACTACTGAACATCTGGCACCACGTGATTCCCCGTACACTTGCCTACTGAGGCGTATCAAATTCTTATCCATTTTCGGCCACCCATGCAAAATCAATGGGTCAAAAGCGCCCCTTCCGGCACGTGCCACGCCTTTACTCCGGACCGCAGCGGCTAGCAAGCTACTTGTGTAAAACCGCCTGGTGCGTCCGCGTATCGCGGACAATTTTCGCCGCTTAGTTATGGATAGAAACCCGATTATCATATTTGTAAACAGCTAACTAGAAACAATCAAGCACAAATGCACACGACTTGTATTCGGCACCACTTCGACCACTATGATACGGTGTATGACGGACATATGAACCGGCATACCAAGCAACGGCAAGAACCTCTACCAAACAGAGCTGCAAAACCTATAACAGGAGCATCACGCGCAGGGGCGTAGGAACAGGGAGCCGGGCATGCCTGCCCCCCCCCCCTTTTCAAGGTGGGGGGCCAGCAATATTAACTGCCCCCCCCCACTTTTCAGATTAAGGTTGCATTTGGTTTACTTTTGCACTGCATTAAACATGCATGCCGATTTACCTGGTTCACTACCCATCTCCGTTAAAATGCGTCATCTTTTTCGTTTGCCCATTGGCCATCACTTAGTTTTACAGCCACAAGGGCGACGCCGCACGGCCTGGAGACTGCAACGCCGGGCGTCGAGGCTGTTATTGCTATGACTTGTGAGCACGCATGTTCAGCACCATATTACGTAGTTTTCTTATCAGTAATCAGCTCTGACAGGATCTTGAGCAGCATAAGACTAACACGTGCTAGCCACGTTACTACAAATCATGAAACCCATTTCATCTGCAATCTACAGTCAGGGAGAACTCAATATCTCTGAAGAACACAGAAAAACATGGAACTGGAGTCTATGTGAAAACCAACGGACTACCTGCGGTGATCAGGGATGTTGTTGCGTCAGTGAGGGCCCCTATGCTGATCCGGGGCTAACTGCGCGGATTAGAAGGCCTCCCGTGTCAGGGATGGGAACTATGCGATATGATATACCCTTCTAATGACCTCCGGATCGACCAGGAGATCCCGCCCCATGCCACCAGAATGATAACCAGAAGACATTTTGCGATGGCACGGAATGGCTCTTCAACCCTTGACCGGAAATGGTAATGTACCCCTCGTGTTCTACTTGAGAGGGAATTGCCCGGAAGAGAATAAGGGGTCTCATTATTGTTGAGTAGAGTGGGGCTCTCATTATTGTCGAAAAGGACGGGTCGAAATGAATTCTAAAAAACGAGCAAGGTCATGCCATGTTTGGATGAGAACGTTCATTTCTTTCAGAATGTATTATTGAAACAAAATACATCAAAAGACTTGAGCATGCCCGCCCGCAACCTTGAGAGCAAGGACAAAGATGGTCTGGGTTGCAACTTCCGTAAAATCGATAAGTTTCGGCCACTGCAAGTGCCACCAGACGGTGGGCGCCTTGTTAATCTGTCTTCTGGACAGAAAAATAGCCGCGGAAACACGAAAAATAGAGATTTTACCTTTACTTTTCCAGTTCAACCACCAGACTTCAGCCCCGCTTCACGGTGCTTTACGGGCCAATCCGTTCTTTCCATCCATCTAAAAATTGCACACGTTAAATATGTCTTTATACTGCCTGCTAAATACAAGAGCTGATGTCATGAAGCATCCAAGGATATTTAATCAGAAGCGTCGTCATTTTCATCCGCCCGTTGGCCACAACTTAATATTAACTGCTAGGCCGACGCTGCGCGGCCCACGGAGACTGCAACGCCTGGGGCCAGGCTTGTGTTTCTAAAATTTTCGAGTGCGCATGCTCAAAATTACGCCACAGAATTTGAATAACTAGTTGATTGAAGTGTTTAAAGGTAATCATTTCAGAGGCGTCATCATTTTCGTCCACCGGTGGGTCACGGCTAAATGTTAACTACCGGGCTAACGCCCCGCGGCCTATGGAGACTGCAACGCCTGGTGTCGAAGTCTGTTGGAAAGATTTGCGAGCGAGCATGTTAAAAAACACATTACATGAATTGTATTACCAATCGACTCTGACTGAATGGTAAACATTTTCAGACAAACGTGGCTTGGCCATGTTAATACACATTGTTGGCCACTCGATTTGCAATCAAGTTTTCGTCTTCAAATTTAAATCAAACATGTCGATCTACAATCTACCTTCGCGATGTCCTCAATGTCTGTAGAACTCAGATAAAAAATTGACAAAGCTTCTGAGTTCCATCGATTTAGAAAAAGTCAGCTAACCATCGTAAATTAAGAGCGACGGTGATGTCTTCCGTGCAGTCGTTCAACGCCTGAGTTCCGAGCTTATTGACCTCAAAATGCAAAGAGAACTGAGTTCACGGTAGCTCCTGGTTTCTGTTCTGGTTACAAGGTAAAAATAACAGTAAAACAAAGAAAACCGTGTCACATGTTAACAAGTAAGCTACCTAAGGTAGACAGCTTCCCGGAGGCTATTTTTCTGCGATGGTGTGGTATAAGGAAAGATAATCCGGGAAAAATACTGTTGCATGTATCCAACACATGTTTCATACACCATGTAGAAGTAACGCTGATCCAAAAGTGTGCAACACAGTGGCCACACGATCAGCTCGCAGTCAGTCATGCGGGAGACATCCAGGTCAGGGCAGTGACCACCGACGGCAGACAGGAGCAGGGCCCAGATAAGGAACATACGACAGATGGGCCTTATTATGTGGCTTGATTCTTAAAAGAGGATCTCCAGTTTTATGGATTTTCTCACCTTGTTTCTAGCAGTTTGAGCTCCCGAAGTTGCTTCCGCCTAAAATGATGCGACAAGTTTTATTTCTTGAAAAGCAGCCGGCGAAATGAAGGCGCATGAAAAACCTGGCGCACTGTGAGCCATCGATCCACTTTCAAAATTTTAACCAGCCTATATTCATGCCGTATTTTGGCATCTACACTGTGGAGGCAAATGCTTCCTTGATGACCCAAAATACCTACCCGCTCGTGGAATTTCGTCTCCCCAGGAAAGACAATGTTAAAATGGAAGAATAATCTAGGGAAGCTGGATAACCTTAGTTGTCAAATGACAGATGAGTCGAATAAGCAAGATTGTGCACCAGTGATAAACAGCTCTAGATGCATAGCTAGCATAGCAGCCATGACATTTGAATAAAAAGCGATAGCAATCTCCATCCCTACCCCCCCCCCCCCCCCGCCGGCCATCGGGCTCGCTTTCCAGAAAAAGTACACCCTGAGCTTGCAACCCCCCCCCCCCCCACTTTTTGTAACGTTCCCACGCCTACGATCACGCAGAACCTGGACGGAGTTTCGACGCGACTTGAGTTGGAATACATTGATCACACATCGTGAAATCAATCGCTTAAAAGTGTGTTTCTACCAGTTGCCAACCCCAATATTCGCCAGCATGCCACAGTCGCTCCTCCTAGCACACGTTTACCAGACGCTGGAAGAGCATTTAGAAACCTTTCCACCAAGTCGCTTCCATCAGCTCGTACCACGTCATTCCAACGCTCCCTATATAATCATGCCATGTAAAATGCCAGTCATGCCACTATAAAATCTTGTAATAAGCTTCACGGCCCTATGAATGCTACTGCCTCAACTGCAACCATGCAAACAAGAAATATCGAAACCACTGGGTGTTCCGACTTTCCCGTGTTCTGTTCTCCAGTCTGTAGATTTGAAAACACTACATAGAAAATCAACGGCATGTTTATCTGCCTCGCACGCACATCTCTTTTCAATGCAGGACTGTTACATCGATCTGCGTTCTCCCATAACAATTTAGAAACCATATCCCAATTTGGCATGCATTGTCGTTTTCGCACACATTGCAGAGCCAAACCCCTCATCAGCATACCACACATTATGCACAGCGATTTTTTTGCGTTTGGATGGTGGTCGGGCGTCTACGGCAGAGGCCAGTTCACCGATCCTGGCCACAGCCGCAGTCCCGGCCGCATCGCGATGGTGGGTGAGCGTGCCTTAACGTTTCGCCACTTGGGACCCCTAACAGCGGCGCCTGTGTAACGCGGCTGCCTGCCGAGGTCAGGGTGACGCGACATGCGTGGGGTAGTTTCCTATGCGGTTGTAAATGCCAGGGCCCCACAACTTTAGGAAGACAGTGGGTCAGATCCGGGGAAATGTTTTTTTTTTTACTGTTGTGGGTAGATATAGTCATTCTTCGTGGTTAACAGCCCCCCCCCAAGTTTTGTTATTTTGTGAAACTACATCCCTGACAGGGTGGCATATCAAACCAGGTTAGGTAAGTTGGATTGGAGAGTGGGTGATGCGATGCCAGCCCCTTGCGACGGCGGCCGGATTGGACAGTGGGTGATGCGATGCCAGCCCATTGCGACGGTGGCCGGATTGGACAGTGGGTGATGCGATACCAGCCCCTTGCGACGGCGGCCGGATTGGACGATGGGTGATGCGATGCCAGCCCCTTGCGGCGGCGGTCGGACACACGTATTCATTACCATGTTACGACATGTGCATCGTGCTACGCGGAATGCGTTTATATAAATCGTCAATAAAAATGATTTGTTGAGATGGCTTTGTCGAGAAATACGTCTGAATTATTAAGTGATCTTTTTCTGACCAAGGCGTACTGGTTATGCTTTTTATCGCCGGAAAGAGTAGTCAGTGTTACTTTCATTATACCGTTGTCACTTGTATGTGCATTTACCAAAGTTCAGGTGGCCATATTGTATGGCTTGTGTAGACGAATCCAATGACACCAGTAACTGTGCCCCTAAAAATAAACTAGTTACTTTTGATTCCATGTTTTTTATTATGGTGGTGATTGGCGATGCATGGGTTTGGTCGCGAAGGCCTCTGATAAGCATTCAACCGTCCGGTCGGCCACTCCGGGTGTTCACCTTATATGGTTTGCTGCGTAGCTAAATATCTGTAAATTGCTGCAAGCAATGGCGAAAAACCCAGAGCCTATTGCCCATCAAAGACGCATCACACGTAACCATACGCCAGTTGTGCTGCGCCGTTGTGCAGAGGGTGGAGCAGGTGCTGGAGCGGAGCCTCGTCTTGTTGTGTTCCCATTGGCACTGCGCGTGCCCCGCCATACAGGCCTGCTAAACAATGGACCAGGTAGCCTCGGCGCACACCAGACAGAATGCCGCGCGTCGCTGCACCATAAACAAGTGTTTTTTTTTGCATGGCGCCATGTTTTTTCAGTAAGCGCATGCGGTGAGCGTGATCCATAATGGATGGGCACGACCGACCAGCAGACCGACCAGCAGACCGACCAGCCGACCAGCACGACCGACCAGCAGACCGACCAGCAGACCGACCAGCCGACCAGCACGACCGACCAGCAGACCGACCAGCAGACCAGACCAGCACAACCGACCAGCAGACCGACCAGCACGACCGACCAGCACGACCGACCAGCAGACCGACCAGCCGACCAGACCAGCCGACCAGCACGACCGACCAGCAGAAGGGGCTTCCGATGCGGCTTGCGGCTTTCGCTCCAGCAGTGGCTGGTCTCCGCACCGCTGCCCCGTCGCGTCTCTCAGTCAACGCTGGCATGCGGGAGCCGGAAGCGACACGAATGAGGGGAGGGCAGTGTGGCAAAGGTCAGCCACTTCGGTGCCGAGGAAACCGACGTGTTTTCTATTGCGCACGTGTCTCGAAATACACTGCTTGTTGCTCTCCTCCCTCCCTCAGGATCAACAAATTAGCATCGAGCCGGACTGGTCGTCCCAGCATCTACGCGCCTCGGGCTAGATAAATGGGGCGGGGAGACCGGAGTGTTGTGAGGGTACGAGACCTAGTGGTGACGGAGCGTGGTAGGGCGGAGGCAGCGGAGGAGACAGAGGTCTGATAGAGAGCACGAATTCCTATTTACCTTCCTGGTACCTAATTGGACGAATTTTGTCACGCTGGGGTGTGGTCCACGCGGAGTCTGGCATGAGTTCCTGGTGGCAGCAACGATCCTGTTGTTTAAGCCGTTTACCCCGACCGCCGCCACTCAGAAACCAGCTTGGAGTATCACTAAACCCAGGTGTGAAATCCTCCTGACATCTTAGGCTTCGGCACTGAGTCTGCTAATGGGTAGCAGGCATGGTAATGCAAATGAAGCAAAAACAGATTGGCCAGCTGTAAATGTATGTAGACACCAATTATACAATATCTTAGCATATAATAGACATCCATAGCATGACATTTCGCCGCCGTCACAATCTTAGAATTGCTTATGCAAAATCACCCATACGACGTGCGCTGGAGCGTAAGCTAACTTTCGCGCGGCCTCTAGAAGTCCGGTGTTGGCGACTGCTGTGTGATGCAACCCCCGGCGTCACCTCAGACGGGTTCGGCATCACTTGGGCTCGTGAGACCCATTCGACAGGTGCACCACCACCGCAGGGTCAGGGACATATCCCGCATTCGCCTCGCCCTGTGTGTTGTCCGCAGCCGCGTCGGCCGACGGCAGCGTCGATTCGTTCAGCTCCTGCGCGGCGGCCACGCTAGCCCGTTTGCCGGCCGGGCGCCAGAGCGGTGTGGGCTGCAGCCCTGCACGGAGCCCCTGCAACCGAGCCGGCACCGTCACCCTCCCCGCTCTCATCAGCCGCCAGGTGGAGGGTGCGCGCTTCCACAGCATAAAAAATAAATGAAATGTGGCGTACTCTGGCTATGTAGACTGAAAAAATGTTCGATGAATGATGGTCAGCCACTGAGCCTAATGATGACCTCAAGCAGTCTCTGCGACGAGTCGTTCCGCGCCGTCCTAGTTTCACCTATGGTCTTGTTTTATGACCGGACACGCGTGTGTTTAGACCAGTGGGCGCCGTGGTGGCTGCGCCTGGCCGTGTCTCCTGCCCGCACCTGTCGGCGGCTGCCGCAAAGGTAGGCAACGGCAAAGGCCGGCACGAGGATGATCGGCGCCACCGACATCAGCCAGCCTAGCGCGTTCACCCAGACGGGGTACACCTGCTTGGCCTCGCCGCTGCCGTAGTAGGCCGGCTGGTACTGCACGACCGAGAACGCCAGGATGCCCTGAAATCAGCGAAACAGCCGCCATAGCCGGCGGCCCAGGCAGGCGCAGCGTGCACAGTATGCACACCAGGCTGGCCGGCGACCGCAGCAGGTGCTGGTACGGAAGACGCACCGGAGCAGGTGGCAGCCAGGATGTACGGCACAGTATACCTAGCGTGAGGCTACGCAGATCTGCAGCTGGTACAGACGCTGCTCGAACAAGTTACACACCAGGATCGTCTACAACGAGGACAGACGCTATGCAACCAAGGTGCACACCAGGATAGCCTGCAACTTGGACAGGTTCTATACATGTGGGGAACACGACAGGACAGGCTGCAGCCGGGACAGAGTTGAACAAACGGCATTGACCGCGACGACATCCTGCCGCCAGAGCCTGTGATGTCCCGTCTTGCGACAACTCCCTGTCAACCACGAGTCGGAAACGCATCAGCAGCAGTGTCGCACATCAACAACTTACGACTACGACGACTGGCGTGATGTACTTCCACATGATGTACCAGTACCAGCGGAGCAGCCGGGGTATCCTGATGCCCATTTCGACCTCCATCAGCGTCAGCACCCGGTCAGCGCCGAACGCCCAGGCCACGACCAGTACTTCGAGCAGCGCCAGCACCATCAGCGACCACGAGCCCGAGTACCAGTCCATCAGCGTGAACAGGTGGATGCCGCCGTTCGCGCACATGCTGCGGAGCGCCCAACAAGCTCAAGTTTGGCAGGTCGTCGCTAGATGACGTCAGCAGAGAACCAGCCGATTGGCCGGCGCGAGCGGGGTGCGGTAGGGCTACAGGCTGATCATATAGTGGCAGATGATCCATAGCCAAATGCCTTTATTTTGGCCTTGGCTATGACTAACCTCTTCGACTTGGAAATGACAAAGCATCTGTGAACTCTGAAGGTGTATCAGAACTTGCTCGCTCGTCATAAGCATTTCTAAATGCAAGCCATTACAAGTAAGCGTTTTCAAACACCAACTGTACCAGACTAACCGTGCTTGCCGCTGTCACAAATCGTCCTGCGTCCTTGCAAGTCTCGCCGGGGCGGGATTTTACTGCCGGCACCGGCAGGGGGCGCGGTGCAGCGCCCCACACCTCCCGCCGTCACCCGATCACCAGCACGTCCAGCCGCCTGCCCTTTACACCACGGCCCCCAAATGGTTGCATGCCCGCAAGCCCCATGAACTAAGCAAACCTCACGTACCTGATGCTCAGCAAGAATCCAAGGATGGATGCCACAGAGACGACGGCTGCCTTCCTGCTCCTCAGATGAGGCCATTGGTCATAAACCGCCGTTAACACCGTTTCGACCATGGCGAACTGAGAAGCGCAGTATCGTGTATTGGGTGTCAGGTTGAGAGAGAGAGCTTCATTGGCGATTGCGATAACGTGTTAGTGGCATTGGATCCGCAGATTCAGGCCGTGCTCTGCATTCATTGTCCTAGTTGTTAGTCAACCTTGTTTATTTGCGACCATAAGCACAGCTTCAATGCGTCGAGTTTACGAATATAACCAATGATTGTTAGATAATGCTGTTTCGCCGGTGCCTCGTGGAATATCTCAGCACAATTAAAAACGGGCATTGGCTTAGCAAAATTACATCTAAGGCAATGGCGATTCATCATTGTTACTTGCGTCAGGGCGTGCGCTGCCTATATTTGCTTGGAATGGGCACGAAAGTAGACGTACATAACACGCCGCAATGCAGTGGCTTAGTCCGAGACGGGTTCAGCAGTAATAGCACTGCGCTCCGCAGGCACAGATGACGGGCAGCGTCTCACCTGCGAGTCCAGTCCTAGAGTGATGATCATGAAGAAGAACAGAACAGCCCAGACTGGGGCGACGGGCATGTGCACGACCGCCTCCGGATAGGCGATGAAGGTGAGCCCAGATCCGGACACCACCACTTCGCTCACTTTCTTGCCTGCAACGCCGGGAGCAGCAGCTGTGTCACGTTGTGGTGGGAGCAGGGATCAGGGGCCTGCATACACGAGCCGAGACCGATCTGCGAGTGGCGTTTAGGGTTTAAATTTTACGCACGAGTGGTGAGGCTCAGAGTGGTGAGGCTCAGAGTGGTGAGGCTCCGAGTGGTGAGGCTCCGAGTGGTGAGGCTCAGAGTGGCGAGGCTCAGAGTGGTGAGGCTCAGAGTGATGAGGCTCAGACTGGTGAGGCTCGGATGTGGCGCAGTGCGATCAGCTGCTTGAACGTCATCGGCAGAGAGACCCGGAATGATACAGTGTGATCGATCGCTTCCGACGTGTTTGCTCCCGTAATCATCCGTCGCCAGCTATGCCCGGTGCAGAAAACGGGACTCAGGCTGCTGCAAAGACAAACCATTGAAGTCCTCGCGGTTGTGCGGCAAGGCGTATGATCCTCTGCAGGAGGCGTTTGGCTGTTACAGAGCGCACACATCACGGTCGTGAGCTGAATCACTACGAGTCACTCGGCGGCTTCTCGTTTCTAGTTGGCTACGATTGTATCTGGTTCATCACAGCACCCACACCATGTTGCATCATTCCGGGCCTCTTTGCAGACGATACACGGTGATACATCGGGTGTTAGCTGGTGCACGGACCACGACATTCTGTCGATGGAGAGAGATCAAGCCACATTCTACAGCCTGAGCGCGTTCGGAGCCAACGGCCATGCTTGAAATAATCGGCGGCGACGGCCATCGAGTGGTAAATGCGAACAGCACTGGCGGATTCGACACGACCCACCAATGCCTGGGTTGGTTTGTTGCTGAAAATCTACTCTCAGTTCGAGGAAAATCAAAAGCAATAACACTGGTGACGACGCCAGCACCACCAAGCCCAAGCTTACCAAGACGTTTGGCCATAAATCCGAGAACGGAGAACACTACGAAGCCCGCAAGCACGGATGTACCACAGTTGGTAAACCCTACGAAGATGGCGTCTCTGGAGCAAAGACGGACAACAAATGAACACATGCGGTTGTGTATAACACCGTTTTAAATTCAACAGCGAGTTCGATGCAGCCCGCGGTTCGTCGTTGTGATTACTGACGCACGCGAAAGCAGGACGGCTTGTACCCGGTTATGACTCTGGGCTGCTAGTTCTGCTTATGAACTTGGTGTGCAATTGATAAAGAGGATTGTCTCTTGTTTTCTTGTCTTATCCTGGTTTCTTGTCTTCTTGTGGCTTATTACATACGCATAACTTTACATGACTGCATATGACTTTAATAAGAACGTCAAACTGAAAGCACAAGCGGTGTTACACTTACTAAGTATGTGGCCATTCTAATGAATCTCCATTAAAGACACCACGCAACAACTAGTTTTATCAAAGCTCGGTAACAAATGAGGTGCCCTTAAAATAAAAAATGTGATTTTAAGGAGAAGAGAACCCCTGCAAAGGTTTCGGCAGCGGTCGCCAAAAATTTTTGAATGGGTCGTGAATGTACCGCACGCGAGGTAACACTTGTTTCCTTAGTTCTTGCCTTCCTTCCGCCCAAGTAAAAGGGAATGTTCCAAGTTCGAACATATTGAAGCAAGCATCAAATATGTGCAACCAGCTCACTTAGCAACTATTGGTCCATTTTTTAGTGGAAGAGGCTGCTCTGCGCAATTTCTCTGTTTAGTAAATATATTGTTCGATGCGTTATACTTTTATTACGTCATCTCAGCTTGTTCAACATTGATTGAGAGCCAACTGATGACCTTTACATCTGGCAATCGCGCTCACAAACGCTAGACATGACAGACTCGATAATTTCGTTTTTCTTGTTCTTGATTGCGTGACCAATAGAATGGCAGGATTTTAATAACGTTATTATGACCATGGATGCTTCGGTGACCTTGGAATGATCTCGAAATGTTCCGTACAATCTCGCGGGCGTGTGGCTCAGAAATTGGAAGGAGCTGGGTTTTAAGATGGGCAGGACTGTGAACAGTACCGACACATCTTCAAGATGACTATTTAAGTTCAAACCTCCATAGAAATACGGAACACTCCCTGTAAGGCCGAAGACTAGGCGGGACTGTGGGCCTTCCCGCCATGCATGCTGAACGGCGCGGGTACGTTCCGTCGAATGTCGGCACGCTCGCCTGTCCTGACTAAGCCCGGCGATTGACCCGATCAAGCGCGCCAGCGTGTACAGTAGCTGGCGAAGTTCTGCCCGGTTGCCTGACCCCCAGACCGACATCACGCAGCTGGTGTCGCTGCAGCAGCTGTAGCCTGACCTCATGCAGTTGTTATCGAAACGATTGTAACTGGCGAGGGTGATGACGCCGCCGAAGCTGAGTCCGAACGAGTAGAATATCTGGGTGGCGGCGTCGGCCCAGACCCGCGATTCAGTCAGTCGCGACATGTTCGGCGTCATGTAGTAGGCCATGCCGTCGGCAGCACCCTCCAGCGTCACGCCTGGGGAGTGGTGGTAACGTCATCACTACGGCGCTGTCTGTACCCGGAGGCGCGCCGACGACGCCGTGGTCACGCCGGCCGGCCGACCCACCGACGACCCACCGATGACGCCGGGGTCACGCCGGCCGGCCGACCCACCGACGACGCCATGATCGAGCCGGCCGGCCGACCCACCGATGACGCCGGGGTCACGCCGGCCGGCAGACCCACTGATGACGCGGCGGTCACGCCGGCCGGCCGACCCACCGACCGAGAAATATGCCCAACGCTTTACGCTGCATTGCGGTTTGTGATCTCACACATTCTCTATTCGCAGATGCTCGCCTTGCCCTCGACCTCGTGCTTCCTCGACATTAACAGGCAAGGTTGCAGCAGACATGTGTGGTGAGGGCACTCACCGCGCACCAGAAGAATGATGAGCACAACGTAGGGGAAGACGGCGGTGAAGTAGACCACCTTGCCGGAGGACTTGACGCCCTTCATGAGACAAAGGCCGACGATGAGCCACGCGGCCAGCAGACAGAGGCATAGGTCCCACTTGAGAGTGCCGTAGTCCTCCCACGAGTGATCCAGTAGGCCCAGCACATAGTTGCTGAAACGATTTAGAGGGGTGGTGCAGGTTTTTAAAAAACGTGCGTGCGTTACTTTATGGTGCGTGAGAAGTATTTTAATGCGACAGGGCAGGTCCATGAAAAAACACAATTTTTCATAAAATCAAGAATGGCCGTTGGCGTCAGTGCACTTCGCCATTTACTTCGCCGTCACTGAACATCGAGCCATACGTCCCAAGCAATTTACAGTAACGCGTTTCGGAAGGGCTTCAGTATTGCTGACGGGATGCTTACTTAATGAACTTTGCTCCAAAAGTCTTTGTGTACGATCATGGTACATTCGTGGCAGTGGTAACCGAAACAAGTTGTCATTTTATTAATTACAGCACCAATTTGCCATAAAGTCTACAGTTCAAATATTTAAGAGCAAGTGACAAATCCATTCACAAGCTTCTTTGTATTGGAAAACAGCGTCTGCTTATAGTGATGAGCAACAATTCAGAAGGCAAAAGTTTGCCAAAAGCACGATTTGGAACGAAAAAGTTTGAGCATTTGAGACAAATCTCGGTAGACTGGGTGTGCAGTCCAGAGCCTGACATACCTACTTGTTACATATGTATATAGCTAAATTTGAACCAAAAATGTGGTACTGACCCCTAAATCTGCTCAATTACTATGCTCCTGGGGCGGAAAGGTCCTTTTAGGGTAGATATTTGGCGGTTATCGTTTTCTTGGCCACCTTGTTAGTGAACCGGTTTCAGCTGCGGTAGGCAGAAGCCAAGTTGGTATGTTAACAAACACAGTAAACCGTGTTAAACAGCCAGACAGGAATATTAAGTGATCGAAGAACGTTCTTCAGATTGTAGCTCTAACAACAAAAAACATGCTTAAGCAGCTCTCGCAAGACGTGCAGGCCGACAAAGGGAGAGTCCAGTATCAAACTCTGAAGGAAGATAAGTGCCACAGGTAACGCCAATTTCACGAAAACCGACCAAATACGAAACTGCTTGCTGTGAACGGTCTCCTATGGACATGCTTTCCATCCCAGCTGCCTCGTTCGGGCCTACCCCTACGCTGGACCACGTTCTTGCCCAGTGCCCGGTACACACGCATACGTAGAAAGCAGCCATGGGAGCGATATTCTACTCACGTGAAATAGTCCTCACTGGCGGATATGCGATGTCCAATGTCTCCATACGCCTTCAACAACGAAGAGTTAACGTTGCTGGAGCAGTGTGTGGCGTTGAAGAGGGTGAAGTTGTTCTGCGCGCAGAACGCGTCGATTGGGTAGCACGTCTTGTTCCAGAACAGGTCGGTGCCGCCGGTTTGGTTCAGGCACGCCTGTTCCTCGGCCAGCGTGAAGCAGTTCTCGGTGTTATAGCTGGACGGTAAGATATCGTGTTGTTCACGCTAGCCCGCCCGCCCATTCACCAAGCGTTCACCAGTCATTTTGTGAAAATACAGCTGATGAGAGATAGTGTGATGCCAAATGCGACAAATCACAAAACAGTTACGCTAGCCAATCTACAGACGGTCGTGCCCAGACTCTTCTCTCTTCACCAAAAAAGCTTACTACGCCTGCAGTGCTACTTGGTCATGTCATCGGGCCGCACCCAGCCAACCGCATCAGAAATCATTCACAACGAAGACCAAAATAAACGTTTGAAGCGACGTAGACAGCATCCCTTGTAAAGTGAACCTCGGTGTATCGACAAGTTGCGTTAGTATCTTACTCGTTGGCGCAGCTGGACCAGCCGAGCGTGCTTCTGAATGAGGCAACGGTATAGAAGATAGTCCATGTCATGATGAGGTTGTAGTAACAGACGACCAGAAACGAAACCATCACCATACCGTAGCCGACTCCTGCAAGCGAGCGGTGATAGCCGAAGTCATTTAAAGAGCGGATGTCTGCTGCAGGTATTCATACCAGAGCAATACAGAAAGAAGGATTGCCGCTTAAAGTATGCAGCGATTTGAAAGCGGGCAGATTTAATACAGCTTACAAATAATCAGCCTCTACACTCATCACAAACCCCGAAGGCCGAAGAAGGCATGCGAGATCGTTTATCGGAGCAATGCAGGAGCTATACTTTTACCATGTCTCGACTTATATATATATATATATATATATATATATATATATATATGTCACCAAGGCTTTTGCCATGTGCCGGGGTATGCTTTCAACATAAGCGCGAGCATGCGATAAAAGGTACTCGACTGTCTGAGATGTTATGTTATGTGAAGGGGAAAGAGGTTTCATTTTATTTCATTTCATTTCACCTGACTGTTTTTAAGGCCATGTCCTGAACGGAGATAGTTGCAATCAATTATATAACCAATATTTCGCTTTCTTGGGATCAAATACCTCGTCAATAAACGATCAAGTGCGACGAACAATGTAAGCAAAAATAAAGTTGTTTTAGGTTTATTTCAAATTTTAGCATACCCGGTCTCATTTATCAGTGGCCCCACCGTATTTTTGTCTTATTTTGAAGCGTCACCAAGGTCCTGATTCCGACGTACTCTGAATCGCTTAAATCATGGCTTTTCCAGCGGGACAGTTGTGAACAACATATAGCACAATGAATGCCATACATGGGCCGATAGATTTCATTAGGACCTCGGTCCTTGAGAGATCTTTTATCGGCCCCGTGTAGCATCATATGTAAGCAGATGCGTGACATTTGATAAGCAATGACAGTTTTCTCGGAATTTTTCTGAATAGTTCAGGTTTTTTAGTTGAAGTAACCGCTCCTGCGTGGGAAATTTCATTGAGCTTCTTGCTCAGCACTATAAAAGTAATGCTTTGCGTTTGCCCTGCTTTTTGCAATGTGTGTGAATTGTAGTGCTTGCAATGCACTAATTCTTAAAAGTGCTTGCGTAATAAATGCTAGAACGCTTAAAGCACTCTATTTAGAAAAAAACATATATACAAACAGCAGGCTGCTATCACACCAATTCAACGAAGCAGTGCACCATGACTTATATTTCTCCCTTAAAGCGTTTGCAACAGTTTTTTTCGAAGCGCTCTTTGGTTTTAGGAAACAGTGTATCTAATGGTCTACAGTGACATCCCGATTCAACCAATGTACTTCTCGGTAACTGGCCCTTGTCGCCCGCTGTGCCGATCCCAAATGTTCAGTTGCACTGACCGTATTTATACCCATCAGTAGAGGTGCCACTTTAAATCTCCCGCACGCGCGCAGTGTGGGGGTAAAACACCCCAAAAACTTACCTCTAGTCTGGAACAGCTGACGGCGGCCTTTAGCAGATTCTGCCGTCGCTATGACGACGGCAGTTGAGACAGCTCGGTAGTTGTGGAGTAGAGCTACACTCTGTGGCTAGTGTTTGATAACCGTTGACGGTGTAATTTGAACTCGAAAATAACCAAAGCTAATATCCCTATTTCATATTTATGGCACTGTAGTGGCCCTCCTAAGCGTTATTATAAGACGTAACTGGTCCGAAGGTTTCACCAGAGCATGTTTTTGAAATATGCTCCAAAGGTGGGACAACTGAGACCCTTTCAGACCATTTAAAACAAAACTCACCCTTTTGTTTCACAACTCTCTGTTGTTTCGCTTCTTTCCTGCCTTCTTGAAACTCTTCGTTGCTCCACATTTTTTGAGTTAAACCAAAATACCATGGAACCTTTTGCACGGATGGTTTCATGTTCTTAAGATGCTCAAAGGGGCTTGTCGCGAGTTGACATCTTTTGATCCCAGCAACCAAAAAAAGCCGACCCAGTCCATTCGACAACTTTCCCCACGGTCTTCTTGCCAGATGGCACTGCGGAGGGTTTAAGTAACGCGCAGTGCTCCGACACGACTGAACAAGTCGGGTTGGCCCCGTTTGGTCAGTTACCAGCAGTCTTTCTTCCAGTGCCCCCATAAGGCTGCACCGGCCACAGTGCCCTCGGCCTGGCCAGTTACCAGCAGTCTTTCTTCCAGTGCCCCCATAAGGCTGCACCGGCCACAGTGCCCTCGGCCTGGCCAGTTACCAGCAGTCTTTCTTCCAGTGCCCCCATAAGGCTGCACCGGCCACAGTGCCCCTCGGCCTGGTCAGTTACCAGCAGTCTTTCTTCCAGTGCCCCCATAAGGCTGCACCGGCCACATTGCCCTCGGCCTGGCCAGTTGGTAGCAGGCTTTTCTTCGATCGCCGAGCAAAAACAACGTGCCAGTCACGAGCTCGTACCCAGTGCCACCACATCACAAGTCACGAGCTCGTACCCAGTGCCACCACATTACAAGAGTAGCAGCCCTCCATTGAACCCAAGGGCCTGGGAAACCAAGCATATAACGGCGCTTGTACTGCGCCATTGCTACCGCTTCCAAATTATAATTGCATGTTCAGGCTAAACAAGTTGAGGCAGTCCAGAGCCCTTTACAGATCCAAGAAACGCACTAAGTATCAACTAACTTTTGATTTACTTAACCCAGGCAGAGCCCAGCCCGCTACAAATTTCTAACATTGAGTCGAGAACTTCCGTCCGCTAGCGTCAAGCACGGCACACGACATTCTCTCGGCTGCGATGGGCCATGTTGGTTGGCAGTTATCCCTCATTTTACACGCGGACTGTGGCCAAAATCACGGGCAACATTGTCGGCTGAGGGGACGTATGGAGCGCATTTTTGGAAGTGTGGGAAGGAAACAGGGGTAGCCATGGATGACTTGGACCGGGTCCTAACTCCGGAGCTTCTCAGCATAGCCCCACAAACATTGGCATGTGTTATGTCGCAAGTTTATTGCTTTAGCTAATACCTCAACCACCCTCAACCAGCTGTTATGATTCTTAGCTGGTGGTGAGAACAATCGTGATTTCTTGTACCGGTGGGGTGTTGTAGTGTTGATAGGTACACTGTCATATGCGACGAACTTACACAGGCATGGGTCGGTGAACATATGACTAACATAGCAGACAGGTGCTGAAAAAGCATTGCAACGATTACGAAAGCTTAACAGGTATCTGCATTTTCACCACAGCTTTCCATGACTCCAAACGTCATGTCAAACACTCAGATTTGGAAAATCGGGTCGCAATAATAACAAGTCATGAGCATGGCTGAATTAGGATCGGTGGTTTGATAACGCCAGAACTCCAGCTCTACGTCAAGGTTTGCAGGTCCTGGCGTATAAGGCAGGGATACATCCTCTCCGGTTATTCGCATGTAGACGTTTATGACAGCGTGTTAACAAAAGTGTGTGGCAAATATATGTGTCACCTAGGCAGCAGCGCATCGCACCACAGTGAATCTTTTTTTTAAATCGTTCATGACGCGTGTGGAGCTCACACGCCTCATGCCTGACCGTGAGCTAAAAGTTGATCGTGACTGTCGCTGTGACCGACCGTGGACTAACGTGCCTGAGTGTGAAACAGTGGCTGCCTCTCTGCCCACACTTGCGCGCCGCCTTAGACCGCGCCAGACGCTAAGGGAGGGGTTGTTTGAAGGGGCGCCGGGTGGCCGCGTCGCGCCGGAGGAACAATGCGGTGTTCGTTGGACGAGTCGGCAGGAAAATACGAGCTTCATTTTTCATGGAACCAGTTGAAAAGGTGCGTGCGAAATTCAAAAACCCTACATGACACTCACCCTGATGGCGGGGGGGGGGGGGGATCGCATCGACCCCCCTGTTACGGTTTTTTTAGTATACCATCCTGGCATGTAGTGCAATCGCGCCTAAATTGCAGTGGCTTAAGAGGCATCCATTGTATGTATTTTGACACCAAAAACGTGTCCATAGGCGTGTCTGGTTTTCTAGAGGCGGGGTATTTTCAGGAACGTTGCACGGCGCTCCAAGGCCTGAGCGGGCGGTGAGTGGCAGCGGACGATGCTGCGGAGCGGGGGCGGCGGGCTGACGTTGCTGTATCAACGGAACCATACATCATCACTCTATGATAAAATCACGGCGTTCGTTATCATTGCATGGTAAAAACGCATACAACTATGCGTCACTGCGCTAAAAGTTGAAGAAAAAATACGACTGTTTGAATTTTGGGTCGCTTAAAGGAATGGTCTTATACCTATGTACATGTAAAGCTGAAAAGGTACTATTTGCGAGAAAATTTGATATTCAACATGGTTCATAAGGATAAATTACTAACGTAGCAGCATAAGACGTACTACCAATCGTGAAATCTCGTTTAAACCATTGATCTTTTCTGCTAAGCTCTATCTTTCTTGGTTTGGGAACGGCAGAGGGGTCGCAGCGACCCCCCCCCCCAATTCAATCCTGTGTTTTCGAAACGGCGAATCAGCGCGATGGTTAACACCTAAGATCCGAACCTTAAATCCATATGTGCATTCTTAACATATCGGTAAATTAAACGCAACTATTCTTGAGAGCCAATATCTCGTTGTTTTGGGGGGAGGGGATCTGTGACAAACTGTTTCCCAGATACAGCCGTTCCAAAAGTGCATTTTCCCAATCATGGGAGGTCATAAAGCGTCTATTACTTCCAAAGGTAGCTTCAATCTCCGCAGTTGCTCTCAAAATCGCATTGAGAGCTTGGGACACCCCATGGACAAGTTTTCATTGATGCCCATCGGGTCAGGTGGTATTGGTTGCGTTACATGAAATTTCCCCACGAAAGTTGTAGACAGGTCAGCGATGACATTCCTCGTCACTTTTAAGGAAAATGCGCAATGATGACACCACAATGCAGTTTCATTGTAAGTATCTGTCTGTGGTGTGCGTAAAAACCATGCAGTGGTTTGCTTGCGCTTGCCCTATGAGACGCATACAGTCCTGACCAGTGACCTACGCAGGACGACGCGATACCTGACAACGAATTGACCTGACCAACCTCACTGTTACCGGCAAGCCCGTGGCGGTATGCTGATTATGAGGTGAACACCTATATGACCTCACAAGCACAGTGTGAAGGAGCTGTCGGAAATGGGGTGTGTGTGGCTCATTTCATATAAAACTAAAAGCATAATTGATTAAATTGCAATGCCCTTTTGACAAACTTTAGGTCTGTAAAATCCCTGTTTCATTCCTAAAAACGCATCACAGTGTCACCTAGCTTTTCCAATCTTTTGAATTTTTGATGCGTGAAAGAGCTAGGTATTGGGAACCAAGTTCCCAAGTGCGGGGTTCAGGCCATCATTAGTTGGGGGGGGGGGGGGGGGGAGGAAGCTTGAGAGCTGTAGCCCTCGCAAGGAGATAACACTTTCCACTGTGTGGAACAACCGTGGAGAAGAGTGAGAAAGGGACAACTATCGAGAAGCGTGCGAAAGGAACAGCTGTCGAGAAGCGTGAGAAAGGAACGGCTGTCGAGAAGCGCGAGGAAGGTGTTGAGCAACCCAAGTGACGAGCGCGCGCTCTGCCGTTTACAGTGATGTCACGACATTAGTGGTCGGCAAAAACTCCTACTGACACGAGTGCTACGACGTTTGTTACACGCAACATTACTTCTACTGCAAACACTTATAAGGACTTAACTTATACGCCACATTATCTCTACTGCAAGACTTATACACGACATGAGTGCTGCATGACACAATATATAGTCCAAAAAACTTAGACACGTCATTACATTTACTGCAATAGCGTATACAGTCGTTGCTTATTTGCGACGTTGCTTGTACTGTAAAAATTGACGCACGACGTGAGTACTACACGACAAAATTTATGCTGCAAAACCACATACGTTAGTTACATGAGATCGTTAGTCATAACTTCTGTAGCAAAAACTTGTTCACGACACGAAAGCCAGAATTCCCTGGTGAATGCTGAGAGCGGGGTCCCCTGGTCAGTCTGGAGGTTTGACGGGGATACATTATAACATCCCCTCCCTTATGCGGAAGGCTTTCTGACCGGGGAAGGTGTACCCAAATCGCTGCAGGGTCCTCAAATGCGCGGAAGGATTTTTCACCGGTGCACTGCGCAGGGATACAGCAATTGGCACAGCGGCTCTGTTCGAACTATGGAGCCGGAACCCCGGGCTGAAATGAAAAGGAAGCGACCTACTCGTAACTGAGGCCGCTGACTAGCGTAGCGCCCTTCCATTACCTTATTATGAACTGTTTCATCGTGAGTCTTCCTATCGCCCTCCCTTTTCAAAGGACTCAAACCAACGCAAGAGGTGCTCTGACATATGGGGTCGCGTTCCTGTCCCTGTCCTGTCGCGTTCCTGTCCCTGTTCAGCAAAGGTGCCCCTGGGGGACTTGGAGACCCTTGTCGATACAGGACACCATGTTAGGCGCCGTGGACCCCTGCCTGACACAAGGGGTACCTCATTTTTCAGGGGCTCCACCTATGCAAATCGCGGTCCTCAGTCTTGTCCCCACTTGGGAAATGCGATTCCAGGACCCACACCAATACGAAGCCAGCTGTTTGGTGTTGGCGGTCCTGTCTCTGACCGACATGGATTATCACATGATCTTAGTGGTCCTCAATCGGCACAGGCGACTTTATCACTGACATTTGAGGGCCCAGCTCTGTGGGCCGTTGTCCGCTCAGACGACCTCTAGCCAGCCTTTTGGGTCCTCCAATCGGGCTCTGGCCGTAGGTCCCTGCCTCTCGGGATGTGAGGAACGGACCATGCCCTGTGCCTCCCCATCCCCTGCCTGTACCTTTCTGGCTACATCACTGTAACAGCGTACGCACGGACGGCGCCGCTGGGTTTCCGGGCTGCTCTGGCCGCAGCTCGCCAGCCTGCCCTAGCCAGCCAGTCATGCGGGGAGCGATTACCGACTCACCGGCGAAGAGCGGCGACAGGTTCTGGAAGAGCATGCTGGGCCCCAGGTTGGTGTACTGGCCAATGGTCAGCTCCATACAGAGCAGCGGCAGGCCAGCCACCAGCAACGTGATCAGGTACGGCACCAGGAACGCACCTTGGGAAACCCAGCGTCGTCACACACACACACAGCAACGGGCATCGATTTAGAAACTCCATTACAGCAAGCAGCTTACCGATGTACATTTCATTCAAACCAGCAGCCATGCTGCAATTCTTTGGATACAGAACAGTGCTTGGATGAGCTAAGCACATCCTTACCAAATTTCGTAAGCAATAAAAATCATGAGGAAATCATGAGGAGAGGAGCCAAAGAAAACGCAGGTGTCGAACATGCCGACAGTTGGCATGGGAATTAAACACGTGTCTACGCGAGCTTACGTTTTACTCAGGCCTGCACAGGCTCGTACCATGCAAAAAAGTACAGGAACATCTGCTCGTGGTACGTTCGGACGAAAAGTCGGCTACAAAATTCCAATTGAAAAGGTCAAACGAAAAAAGGCAGTCAATAGAGAGTCGATAAAAATGAAAGCCAAATCGGAAAAATCAAAACGAAAAAAAATCAAAAGGCTAAAAGTAGACAGAGAAAAACTGAAATGAAAAGAGTCAAGGGATAAAAACGCATCGGGTTAAAAGTCGACAAGAACAAAAGTCGAACCGGAAAAAATTCGCAGGACAAAAAAAAACGATAAAGCTAGGAGTCAAATCCCAGAAAAAGTTGAAAGGGATAAAATTCGAGTGTGATCAAGGATTGGACAAGACTTCACCAGTGGGAGCCTTAAATCTGGACCTGGTGTTTGTAAAATACCTAGCGGAAGACGGGGAGCCAGGGTCAGGGCCACATTTAAGACCACGTGTGTGAATATCTATTGGAGTGGAATCTGCAGACTACATCGTCACCAGCTGATGCCACCATACCTCCGCCGTTCTTGTAGCAGAGATAAGGGAACCGCCAGAAGTTGCCCAAGCCAACGGCGTATCCCACGATGCTGAGTATGAAGTCCATCTGGGAGCTCCACTGTCCGCGGGGTTCTGTCTTCTGTGGTTCGCATTTCTGGTCGACATCTAACTCCCAGGAGCCGCCATTCTGAACTTTCTCAACAGCAACTGTCTGGAAATATTCACTGCTCGGTTGGAACTGTCCTTCATGATATTCAACACCACATTAGCACATCCATTGATTGGACTGGTGCCAAAACCTGGAGCCCAATGTTACAAACTAACACAAGACGATGGCTTAAATTATATATATATATATATATATATATATATATATATATATATATATATATATGTATAACAGTCACCGTTGTAGGGTCGTCATCATTTTATTTTGAACGGTAAAATGATGCTTATTTTTGTTTTCTGATTATCGTTGATTATCTTTTACCGTTTGTGGGGTCTGCTGGTCTGTTTGCAGTACGTAGGTCGTGTCAATGGGGCTTGGATCCGCTCCTTCAGAAATAAGCCCCTTCCACATTGCATATTTCGGCAATACTCTCGTAGTAAACCGTGATGGCATACTACGAGGCCTACTATCTTTGAGTTTTCGTCGTGATGGCCCCGTAGTATGCCATCATGGACGCATTTTGTTTCCATTTGCTGCGCCTACAAGTAGGGACGCAGGAAATTCTTGCTGCGCTCTACTTGTAGGCCTGGACATGCTGTTTTGTAGCACAACTTGCTGACTAATGACTGGAGAAGTGACAGCGCGGGCTTCGATATGTTGGTGATTGAGTCGCGTATGTGTTTGTCGACGGTCTGAACAGGCTGTTGTAGCAGGTAATTAGAACAGGTAACATGATCAGGTCGGACATCGTTTTTGTTGCTCTCTGCAGCTGTAAATGCACAAGTTTCCTGGAATAACAATGTTTTGTCGCTCTGTTCGAATAAACTTTATGACGCTATCGTTGTATCTGGTAGGGCAGTCGCTCAAGCTGTTTAAGTGTCTGCCTGAGTCTGCTGGTTTGAAATAGGCTGAGATCGCAACAGGTTTGCAATAACCGTCCAGGGACACGTGAAGGAAGCTAGTCTATTCGTCTGTAGTGAGGCTTGCTCAGACGAGGCTTTGAGCCGCAGCAGGTACTGGTGGCCATTGATGATGATGTCTATCTTTGAGTTTTTTGTCATCAAACAGTCAATCATCTGTGTTCGCCCTGTATCTGTGAGCTCCATCTGTGTCTTTTGTGACTTTATATCAGCCGTCGTCCATTAGCCATGCATAAACGTCCCACCGTATCCGCTGGACTCGCCGGCCGGATGACTCGCCTTTGGAAGCGTGGTGCGCCATTGCATCAGCCAGTCGCCCGAGTGGGTTATGTGCAGCTACTAAACTTGTACTCGTTGGAGCATTTTACATGAGATATATCTCGGGCTTCTAGGTGCCATCAGTAGAAGTAATTTCGTGTATTGATACGGAGTAAATCATTTTTTTCCGTAGAAGTGTTAAGGGGCGTAAACTTCTGAAGCAAAGATTTTGTCCTGTAGCGCTACTGTCGCATCTAAGTATTGACTGGTAACAGAAGTAACGTCGCGTATATCTGAGAAATGTATAGCTTTTTGGAGTAAAAGTTATGATGGGTGTACATTTTTGAAGTACTAGCTTTGTTGTATAACCATTATTTTGTGTGTAAGTTTTTGCAGCACAGGTAATGTGTAAGTCTTTGCAGTAGAACTAAGCTCGTGCATAAGTGATGACTGCACAAGTTTTGCCGTGGAAGCAATGCCGTATATCAGAAATGGCTGCATACATATGATGCAAATCGCGGCCATGAGCCTGAGAAATGGGCGCTCAGCCCCAGTCCGCTACGGAGCCGACTGCTCAGTACTGGTGGTGCCTCACCGATGTTAATAAGACCCTCATCGACTCAGGGACCCCAATCAACGCAAGCGGTCCTCGCATACTAGTCAGGACGCTCTTTGGCACCTCAGGGGGCACGTATCCCAGTGCCCAGCACCCCGTCCTGCTTGCGCCACTGTTTGGCGCGCCCCACCAACGCCAGTTGGCTGCCGCTTCCCGGTGCTTCAGCACCTGCTGCGCGGCCTCCTCCACACGTGTCAGGCGCAGGCCAGAGCAAACCGACGTCTGCGTCCGCCTCGGCCGGCCAGCCAGCCGCCGCCGCCCATAACTGAGCGCCGACGAGAATGCGGTACCGCTCAACTCTGCTGACTGAGCACGTACAGCTCCCCTATCCATTACCATATCGAGTCCCGGGAGACCCATACGCTCAGAGCCAGGAGCGCAGCCAGGGCCGTGGTAAGGGGCGGCACACAGGCTGGACGAAGCCCTCTCTAAAAAATTTCCGAATATGGCCCACTTGTTTATGAGGGACGCCATTTTCTTCGAAGCATTTGTATGTTAACTTTCCCTGACAGGAACAGGAGCCTCAAGTTATGAGGAGCTGCAATTTTGTCTGCATTTTGGAGTCAATAAACTGAAGGAAGCAGGCGTTAAACGGCTGCATGGAATACATTGCAGGCGCTTTTCATTTTGCCATGGTTCACTGGACGCTTTCTAAACTGATAGAAATCTGAGGCTTTGCCAGAATTTGTTCCGGGTTCGTCGGAGATACTGAGGACCCTGTGAACGTAGATTGCAGATCAAACCGGGATAAAAAAATTGTATTAACATGTCCCCCCTGGAAATGCTCAACTTGCAGTCATAATCGAAAATTGAGGCAAATTATGGAACATGTTTTTCAACATGTACTCTCGGTGATGGTGTTCGGTAGTGTTTTGGAAATATGTGCCCGCAGGTCTTCGAAACGAAAACTCCGACGCCCGCTGCTGCACACTCAATGGGCCGCTCGGCGTCGGCTCCGGGGCTAGCAGCGGCCAACGGACGGACGAAAAGGGTTACGCATCTGGAAGAAGAAGGTACATTCGAACGCTTTAGGACATGAGTTAAAACGTTTGGAATGTAGTCTGCGCGTTCATGCTACCTGTGCAATTTACGATGGATGATATGAATGAATCAGCATTCACAGGTCTACGAACTGGTGCTGGAACTGGTGGTGAATCGGGGAGAGTAAAAGGAGATTAATTATTCTTATTATTATATTTTTGAAAAAGGTATGCCCCATTCTTATGTTTGAGCAGTGCGAATTGATTGTGAAGTGCACAAGGCGTGGCGGTTGACTGTGATCATCAAATCAGAGTGGACATCCGCGCGCTGCGTACCATTTCATTGTCAACATGGCGACCAGAGAAGAACAAGACCAGCGCGGAGCATGATCACCGGAGCCATTGGTGGCACCGCTCATCCCCTTGGCAGGTATGCTAAGTCACTAGCAACGAATGCGAGTCTAATTTTGCCGAAGACGCCTTGGAATATGACGCACCCCTTCAGAAGAAAGATAAAGGTAGTATTCGTAATTATATGCCCGTAATCCAGGTTCCCATTCAGTTGGGAAGAGGGCTCCAGCCCTCCTCCCTTCCCCCGACCCTGATAAAGAGAGTGGGCAAAATCCGAGGGGAGAGCATCGTTTCGGGGCTATTTTGGGGCAGGTTGCGTCATTTCTCACTGCCTAGCCCTCCAAAAACTAATTTTGCTAGACTAAGTCAATGTTCATTAAAAAACAAATTTTGCACCGAAGGTGCTTCGCGCCGGCTTCTGTAAAACTGACTGCGACCAGGTGCACCGTGCATACTTGCCCCTTCTCTAAAGGGATTGAAGAAGATTAAGGAGAATTGAGCAACGCTACATAGCATGATAGATTTTGAAGGACATCGGCACGCGTGGGCTGTACTTGACCTATGGTCAAGGCCACATCCGAGCATTTAGCGCGGTTTGTAGGTTGATTGTCGTTGAGAAGGGTCAGCTTCCAAGTCTCTGGCACAAATGATGCCAAAATAAAGAAAGCTGTGTGCAAATGCAGTTGCATCCACATTTTTCGCATTCAGTCCTCATACCTGGAATCTAAACACCACCAAGGAAACTTCTATTTCACTGTCAAGCAGCCTTCAAAAGAGATTAATTAACTTCGCGTTGAAAGGCTGCCCGAAACGTAAGTCTTTACTTCGCAGAACTTTGAAGGTGCTTTTAAGAGGTAGCAACATGTCTAAGGAGAAGAAACCCCAGTCCCTTCGTATGTATACATGAATGCCCCACCCAAGCAATACCAAGCCGTGTACCAATACCCGCCCACCGTGCCAACACTCTAGCTCCGTTCATCGACGCTCCTAAGTATGCTACGAATACAACAAAGAATGGAAGCATAATTTCTCCGTGCTTTTGTCAATTTTGTCCATGAACAAGAACATCATTGTCGTGCTAGAGGTCAGCAGTTATTAAGTCCTTCTCATGCTGGTAATCATTCACATTTTACATTCAAAACTATAACAAATGCTCTTGAAGGCGAGCAAATCAGAAGGCCGGATTTGGACTAGTTTTGGACTGCTTATTTCTCCGCGAATGTCAGCTTTTCGCTCAAACCAGTCATATTTGACATTTTCAGCTCAAAATGGATACTTTTGCATGCATTCACAAGAATTGAGAATGTGCCTAATGCCTTTTAAACGCGCCCCAGAGGCGCAGCATGGCCCTCATGACATGATTAAGAGTTGTTGGTCGACGCAGGGCAGGACTTTGGCACGCGTATTCCATGAGTACTTCGACTAATCTCTTCACAGGAGCATTGGTAAGCAAACTGCACACATGATAAACTATATATATATATATATATAGCAGGTTCTCTCCACCACATATCTCGGTGCAGATGACAGCATGTTGGGCATGCCATGTTTGAGGTCACCGGAAAATAAACATGAATTGTACGTCATAAGGAAGCTGAAGGCTATGCCTATGACATATAAAGAAATGGGCGTAAGCTCGTGCGTGAAAAAAAATGTGTCCGGTGATTATGCACCAACTATGCGGTTGAAATTTGTGCAATGATGTAATTGTTTATGTTTTTAGGGGGTCCACTGTCTTACAAACATGTCCGAGGCGCATGCTCATAGGTAACTTCACACAGTAACATCATCCAGGGTAATTTTTACCACAACGCAATGAAGTTTCGTGGGTTTATGGCACTGTCATACCTCATAGACATAGAATCTGGAACCTATTTTCCGGTTGTACTATCTGACTTTGCCTGCCCTTCAGCTTTGACCTGAAGTTTCTTAAGCATGCCATAGGCTCACGCCTATGACATGCTTAAGAAACTTAAAAGCACGCCATTGTTCGACATTTTGGTCAAGCTGTTACCACCAAACCTATCTAACCTACAGATTTTTCCAGAGGAAGACGCGACCGTTCCCTACCAAAGGCCTGCACTCGGCAGTGACACCCCTAACACGACTTCATGGAACCCTCTGAAGTTCCCCAGGCCCCCATCTCCCATGGAACCGACTGCTGAAGCAAAGCCAACGACTGAAACAGTCCACACATTTATTTTTGACACTTGAGCAGTCTGTTAACCTACAAAAAAGCGAAATCGCGAAGTTGTCAAAATATGTTAACTTGATGTGACCTGTAACGTCTCGGCGATTTAAATGTCACCCAAGACACGCTCTTGGTCCAAGATGAAGCGTTTTCAATCGCGTTTTGGACATACCAGCAGAACCGACTCTTGCTTCCAGAGGGATAGGGAGCCTGGGAAGATGCAACACAACCTCTCGCAGGGACTCGCAGGTGGTTGGGCAGCGCAGTTACCGCTGGCTGTGTGTGTATGTGCATGTGTGTGTGCGCACTACTGTGTCGTACCATGACAACGCGTCGAGCTGCACCCTGGAGCTGGGGCCGAGGCGCAGTAGAAGCGACGGCCACGGGCTCGCTGAGAAATACGGACTGACGCGCCGGCCTGTTGAACACAGAGATACGAGCACGTGTTATTGGTCATTCGTGTATTGATGCTAACTTCTCATAGAAGTTAGCCATACATGCCCGAGTTAGCAGTGCTTTCATAGCATGACATAAATAGCTATTGCCCATCACAATGTCAGCATTTTCGGCAACTGAACAATCACACAATGTCATTAGCAAATGTTGTAGCGACATCTTACTGCGCGAGATGCTCCAAAATAAATGGAATCCTTCGCAAATTCACGTGGTAAAAAATACAATTTCTACGCGGTGTCATCCTCTGTCAAGTGGACTAGTCGATCCACTTGCCCGAGACACAGAACACGGGCTGCCAGAAAACATTTTTTAGTCATAACCCCACACACCTGAGCAGGATTCCCCCAAACAATGCTGTTTTAGAGCATTTCAGTGATGAAATGCACATCATCATGTTGAGATGCGCTACTTTTGTATCTACTTGCCAGTTACTGGTATTTGATCTGGCATCGAGCAACGCCAGCAGACCAACTATGATCCCCGCGATTCCAGGCAGCCCACAATCTAGAGCCAACGCCAGCAGAGTCTGACGGCGGGCTGCCTGAGCCGCATCGCGGTCCGTTATCCGTGGTGAGCCACTCCATTACCGTACCTCCTCCGAGAGACTCCGTCAAGACAGTGTGTACGGCCCGCAGTGCACGGCGTGGACACCGGCGCTCGAATGCCTCGCCGCCTCCGCCAGCCGGCCAGGGCGAGCCATGGGCCACCAGAGGGCTCCCGGCGCCGCCAGGGCCCACCAGCGCCGGGGCGCCCGTGAATTACGGCCGTAGAGCAAGGCGCCAAGTCGAATAAGGACAGACGCCCGAAAAGTGTTGGGCTTGAGACTGAAAGTCTGACCACGTTCTTGATATAGCGTCTGGGCTAGGAGTCGGGGGAACGGCATGCTGATGGTCAGGGAGGCAAGGTGGGGAGGAGTGAAGGAGGAGGAAGGGAGGGAAAGAAGGGGGAGGATTGAATGAAGGAGGTAAAAGGCCACAAGGGAGAAAGAAATGAAAGAGGGAGCAAGGGAGCAAGCAAGCAAAGAAAGAATGAAAGAAGGAATGAAGGATGTGGAGAAACGAAGGAAGGAATGAAGGATAGGCAAGAAACGAAGGAAGGAAAGAAGCAAGGAAGAAAGGAAGGAATGAGCAAAGGAAGAAATGAGGAAAAATAAAGGGTAAGGAAGGAAAACGCAAAGCATGAAAGAAAGGACGGAGAGTGAGAGAAGCAGCAAACAGTCATGGACAGTGTACCACGAACAGAACATGGAGATAAACACATGTAAGATCGGTACGAAACCCGGTCTTGTAAGGTGTGAGATGAACATGACGAAAGCAGGCATCAATATTTTTTTCAAACTGAAGGGTACTCGTGCCAGACCACCAGTAGGAGTATGGCTATCAACGCCATCGTTTTGGTGTGGCACGCGTGCGGCACTCCGTGTGCCCGTCAGGCGCGTGCACGGATTTGGACTGCCGACACGTGCGCGGATTTGAGCTGTGCATCTCCAGGCCAGCAGCGCATACAGCTACGACCACTGGGATTCGGCCCGCGCGAAGGCTGCCGGTGCAGCGTGGGTCTCCGGTGGCGTCAAAGGTGAAGAAGTCAGTGGCTCGATGTGCTCACGAGGCGCCCGGGTAGGCTTACCCTCCCACCGTACTGTTGTGCCTCGATTACCATCACATTCTCGGCATCATCAGGTAGCAGGGTGCCAGTGCAGCCGACCGCACCAGGTACCCTGCAGTGCAGAGCGGTTACACGATCGCGCTGCTCGGGCAAGCAACGCGTGCTCCTGTACCACCGCCGTTGAGTAGTGAACAGGTGGCGTCTCGCGAATGAAATTTAGTACGCCGAGTCCTTGGAGGACTTTGCTCTCGTTGAAAGCACTGGGTTTTGTGCAATCGGTTATTGCGTTCGCGTGCTCGGTTGCTGTTCTTAAGTTCTGCATTCCCAGTGTTTTGTCCATACTTACTTGTAGGACACTGGCTGTGATCGGTATGCATCTCAAAACGTCGTGCGAGATTGAGACCATCGATTCATCTCGACATTTGACTCAGTGAATTGTGTTGGTTTATCCTAAATCCCCTTAACGTGATATTCGCGTCTCGCCTTATAGGCAAGTACATGGAACGGTTCACTAACTATGGTAAGGTTCGCATTTCGCCTTTCGTCTGTTTATTTTCGACTTTTTTGTATATTTTTTGTCATTCTACTTTTTGCCTGGGAACCAGGGTATCGATTTAAAGTAAGAAAATTAATTAAGAAAAGATAAAAGAAAGAAAGAAAGACTTAAATTAAGAAAAGATAAAAGTAAGATCGGAATACAACTCGAAGGACAAAAATTCAACGTGGACCAAGCCAATCGTGATAAACAACAAAACAAGTAGGCAGCCAAAAGTATTTAAGCCAGGAGAGTTATCAGCAATGTACGCCTGACGTGAGAGAGGATGCAGTCCTGGCACATTCAGATGAGACCGTAGATCCAAAGGATCTGAAGGGCTTGGCCAACCGGCATCCCGTGACCTACCAGCCTGGGTCCGTCCGTGCTCACCCGTTACACGCTCTCAGTGGTATCGAGCCTTCGCCAGCCTCCACCATCGAACCATGTGCAAGGCGCCCTGAGACTATCAGACGATAAATTTGACGTGAGCGCCTTGCTGGCCTCTGTGCTATTCTCCTCAAAATTCCCTCCCTAGCCGCTGTACGACTGGGGCGGTCGCGAGCAACAGAGGCGCCCACCACCGGGAGCGGTGTACAGCGGCCGCCGCCTGTCGCAAATCGCGCTTTTGCATTATTCCTGGTCCTTGACAGACCCGTGCCCGGTTTCCCATGTCAGTTCCTAGTCCTTTATTCCTCTGCTGGAAGCGGACCCCGGTTCCGGTCGGCCTCTTTGTCAACTCCACCTCCTGGTTCCTGGATCACATTGGTCATTTTGCAACAACATTGCACCCTGGTTCCTGGATTTCACCGCTGCTTTCGCAACTAAACATATTGGTCCTTGGCTTCAGCTGGCTCCTTCACAAACACAGGAGCCTAGTTGCTGGATCCCGAGCCTGGCTCATGGATGTCACCAGTTCATTTCACTGAGGCGATATTTTATCCGACTTTGTCCGTTTTGGCTTTGATCTTTTCACACTTTTCGATTCGACTGCTACCCCTGCCGGCTACTTGTCCTCAGAGTTCATTTGGCTTTCTCCGTTCCATTTTTTGCGGGGGCACCCGATAGCCCACCTACCATCGTGCTTCGGCAGGAAACTATGGTCATTTCGTTTTGGAAAGGCGTGTAGAGCACGCGTCTGTCCCTAAATGACTGTTGTCGACTGCATCCTCGCAACGCGCACAGGCAGAGGCAATGCACGCTCTCCCAAGTTGAATGAGCTAATAGCCATTCTTGGTTATTTCTTTCCAGTCATCGCCCATGGAACACTGCTAGATTTTCATGTGGGATTTCAGCCCTGCCCCAGACTCAGCCAGCTATTTGTTCCCGGAGTTCAGTGCAGAGTGAAATTCGAGACCGTCAGAATCGCGCGTGTCATTTCGCCGTTCTTGTCTGTATTGGCGTTGCCAGGGCAGAGTTCTACGCGTGTCGGTGTGGGACAATATCGACCTTAAGGACTATGGTCCTAAGGTGCATAAATGTCTGGCACGACAGTAATCTTCGCCCTGAATCTTGTACAATATAGGTAAAGGTGAAGATGCACAAACAGCAAGCAGAATGACAAGCGGTAAGCAGAACACCCTGATGCCGCTGATAAAACCAGCCCCAAACGCGCATGCGTCGGCTTGCTCGCCAGTTTCTGCGGGGCGGCGAATGTTTTGATCCGGCATCCGCGTGCTCAGTCAGCTGTTTGCTGGAGGGGCGGCGGTGGTAGGCCGCGTTGCTCAAGGCCGTCCTCGGGGCGTTTGCGATAGCGCTGGGCAGCTTGACTCGCCTGGGGGGCGTCATGGAAAGTGGCGATGGTGTCAATACGGCTGTGACGGAGGAACGGCGTCGCAGAGCAAAAGGTAGGCAGCAAAAAGACGCACGGTGCTCAATATACGTGTTTATTTGTGCCTTATTTTTGTACTTCAGGAGGGGCTAAGCGACCGACAAAACCTGTTGATAACCCCATGCTCCGAGCCTATGGCACCGATTGACGCCAAACCTTCACCATTCGATGCCGCTTGGTCAACAACTCGTCTGATCTTAGATTTTGGTGACATTGGGTCAGGTCAAACGTCACAAATAATGCCAAAAACGGAAATTTAGGGTTGCAGACAACCCCACGCTCCGATCCTATGAGACTAATCGCCACACCATAACCGATCGATGCATCATAGTCCATATCCCATGCCGTGCGGCCCACGGTGATCTCTGATCAGGTCAAAAGTCACAAAACCGCCCTGAACTGGCGAAATTGGCTGCAGAAAGCCCCATGTTCCGAGCCTATAGGACCGATCGACACAAAACATGTACCAATCGATGCATCATAGTCGTTATCCTAACCCCTTCAGGACGCGGTGATGTTGGGTCACGTCTAATGTCGTCAAAAACGGCTGAAACCACCTGGAGTGAGGTTGCAGACAATCCCATGCTCCGAGCGTATAGGGCTTATCGGCACAAAACCTTCACCAATTGATGTGCCATGGTCCACAACCCATGTTTTCCAGAAGGTGGTGACCTGTGGTCAGGTCAGAGGCACCAAACGCCTAAAACCACGTGGAATTAGGTGGTTGATAACCCCATGCTCGGAAACTAACGGCCAAAAAGCGCAAAACGTTTACCAATCAATTTGCCATAGTTGAAAGTCTTTCCTGTTCAGAGGATGGTGACCTTGGGTCTGGTCAAAGGTCAACAAAATATTTAAAAAACGGAAAATGGGGCTGCAGACAACCCACTTGCTTCGAGTTTATGGGACTGTTCGGCACAGAACCTTTACCAATCGATGCATAATAGTCGATATCGTATCCTTTCCAGAGCATGGTGACCTTGGGTCAGGTTAACATCACCAGAAACACCAAGGGCACCTATTTTCCGGTCTTTATTTTTGGTGACCTTTGACCTGACCCAGGGTCACCATATTCTGGAAAGGACTATTTTTCGGCCAGGAGGCATTTGTTGGTACAGTTTTTGTGCCGATGGGTCCCATAAGCTGTGGACATTAGATTTTCTGCCAACTAATTCCAGGTGGCTTCTACCGTTTTTTTGTGACATTTAACCTGATCCGAGGTCGCAACGTGCTGGGAAGGATAGTATATGGCCTATGTCGCATCAACTTTAAGGGTGTGTGCCGATTGGTTCCATAGGCTCGCGGCATGGGTTGTCTGCAGCCAAATTAGGTGGTTTTGGGTGTTTTTGGTGACCTTTGATTTAACCAAAGGTCACCATGTTCTGAAAGGGATAGAATATGGACTATGGCGCCTCAATTGGTGAACGTTTTGTGCTGATCAGCTCAGGGCTCGGAGCGTGGGGCTGTCAGCAGGTTTTGGTGGCCGTATGGCCCCTCCCTTTGACTTACGTTTTCATTCATTCTCATTCATGGACATGACATGCACAGGTGTGACTAGTGCCGAGTATGCGTGGGTGTGTACTTTGTTGTCCCAGCTGGGGGCCCGTCTGCCTCTTTTGACTCGGCGCGGGACGTCATTTCTGCCCTGCGGCCTGGTGCCGTTTTACACGGTTCGAAAACACAATCACATTCCAGCTTGCCCATAAGCTAGCGGGTCCCGAAGCTGACTGCCCCTAGTGGTGGTGAAGCCCATGGTACTGCGCCCCCAGCGGGCGTGTTTAGCCCGTACCCGTTCCGCGTGGACGGGCGCCGGCTGCCCACCTGCATCGCCTGCAAGAACCACGGCCTGGTGATGCTGACGCGCGGCCACCGGTCACGGTGTCCGTTCAAGAGGTGCTGTTGTGTCCAGTGCAGCCGACACCAGTGAGTAGTCCGGCTGAGGCACTTCCAATGCAGCCGGCACCAGTGAGTAGCCCGGCTGAGGCACGTCCAGTGCAGCCGGCACCAGTGAGTAGCCCGACTGAGGCACGTCCACTGCAGCCGGCACCAGTGAGTAGCCCGACTGAGGCACGTCCAGTGCAGCCGGCACCAGTGAGTAGCCCGGCTGAGGCACGTCCAGGGCAGCCGGCACCAGTGAGTAGCCCGACTGAGGCACGTCCAATGCAGCCGGCACCAGTGAGTAGCCCGGCTGAGGCACGTCCAGTGCAGCCGGCACCAGTGAGTAGCCCGACTGAGGCACGTCCAATGCAGCCGGCACTAGTGAGTAGCCCGATTGAGGCACGTCCAATGCAGCCGGCACTAGTGAGTAGCCCGGCTGAGGCACGTCCAGTGCAGCCGGCATCAGTGAGTAACCCGGCTGAGGCGCGTCCAGTGCAGCCGGCACCAGTGAGTAGCCCGATTGAGGCACGTCCAGTGCAGCCGGCATCAGTGAGTAACCCGGCTGAGGCGCGTCCAGTGCAGCCGGCACTAGTGAGTAGCCCGATTGAGGCACGTCCAGTGCAGCCGGCATCAGTGAGTAACCCGGCTGAGGCGCGTCCAGTGCAGCCGGCATCAGTGAGTAACCCGGCTGAGGCGCGTCCAGTGCAGCCGGCATCAGTGAGTAACCCGGCTGAGGCACGTCCAGTGCAGCCGGCATCAGTGAGTAACCCGGCTGAGGCGCGTCCAGTGCAGCCGGCATCAGTGAGTAACCCGGCTGAGGCGCGTCCAGTGCAGCCGGCATCAGTGAGTAACCCGGCTGAGGCGCGTCAGTCGCTCGTGCTGCAGCCCGGGCACCTCGTGCGCGATGGAGGAGACGCGTCTGAGACTGTGATTTGGTGGGCACCGTACTCGGCTCTGCCGCGGAAAGGCTTGTCTGGGGCCAGGCTGTAACCGTGCACTCCTGGTGAAATCCTGGTGGTGTTGTTTTATGGAAGGGCAGCGGTTGCTTTGGTGAAGCCGTACTTACTGTGTTCTGGGTGACAGTGGGAGCCACAAACTGATTTAAACAGGTGATGAGCTAAGACTGAAGCGTACCAATGCCACTATCACATTCTGGATTGAACGGGGCCGCTAGCTGAGCACGATGGCGTGTAGCGGTTTGGGGTCAATCCAATTCAAATTGGCGGCGTGAAACAGCATCTGAACACCATCTGAATAACACCAAACACCATCTGAAGAGGTGGGCCCGGACCGCACTGCATGGGTTGTCGCCAACGCCCACGGATGGGAGGTGGTCGGAACTGTATCTGGGGTTTCACGGGTCGAGGGGGAGGGTTGAAAGGTTCGAGGGGACTGCACGGGTTGAGGGAGGGGGTTGCGCGGGCCCAGGGAGGGAGATTGCACTGGTCGAGGGAAGAGAGTCTGCACGCGTCGTGGGAGGGGTTGCACGGGTCGATGGGGGTTGGACGGGTCTAGGCGGGTTGCAGAGGCCAAGGGAGGGGCGTTGCACGTGTCGAAGAGGGTTGCACGAGTCGAGGAGAATTGCACGTGTCGAGGAGGGTTGCACGAGTCGAGGGGAATTGCACTGGTCGACTGGGGTTGTACGAGTCGAGTGGAGTTGCACGGGTCGAGGGGGGCTGTACGAGTCGAGGGAGGGGCGTTGCACGGTTCGAGGAGGGCGGGGGTGTTGCATGGGTCGAGGGGGCTGCGCGGGTTGACATCTGACGGCGATAGTTGTTGTCTTGCCTCCGTTTGCGTGTGTCTGCATCTAGTGGACCCGGGCGCGTCCAACGGACCCGTGCTGTGCCAGATTTGATCACGCCATTAATGGTATATGTTCGGCCATGAACATAAAGCGGGCATCTAAAGACTACCTCCAATGTGATATGTCCCGTGGCTGCGAGAAGATGAGTAAAAGCTATTTCGTTCATTGAACCATGTGCCGTGTCCTGCGTGTGTGGTGTCACTGGTGCGGCTGCGTACATGATGCAGTGCCATCAGCCACTCAGCTCCTTACCGTGCCTTCGCAGTGCCAAAAACAACAAGCGGCTGGCGACGAAGCAGGCGTCGCTGCAGCGCCAGGGCCGGCAGCAGCGGGCGTGTGAGTGCTGGCCGAGCGGGCGCCCCCCCCCCCCCCCCTCACCTGCGCGATCGCTCTCGCCGTCTCCGTCCTGTGGCGGCGCCGCCGCGGGCTCCGTGCCCCAGAGGATGAGGACACGTGTGCGCACCCGGAGCCCGATCTGGACACGTGTTGAACCGCGCGGTACCGTGCAACTTGGCAGTTAGCCTATCAGATGACCAGCCGAGGCGTGCGTCGTTTCGTGACCGTAGCTGGGTCCTGATTGCACCATTTCGTGCATTCCCAATGGACTTGCCATAATGAGGCCTGGATCGTAGTCGTGCCGCAGCTGAGGCGGGATTCTGGTCATGATGTAACCCAGCCTGGACGTTGGTCGGCCCGTGACAGGGCCTGGGTTCCGGTTGTGCCGTGACGTTGCCTTCTCTCTGGTCGCTTCGTAACCGATCGTGGGCTCTGTTCAACCCGTAACCGAGCTCCGGTCTCCAGCACCCCGGGAACGCGCGTCACCGGACTCGTCCTGCCGGGACCGGGTGCCTCCCGCGCCGCGCGCCCACCTGCCCGTCAAGATCCAGCCGGCCGTCAGTGGTGCGAGCGCCGCCGCCGCTGGCTCCAGCGCCACGGACGTCAACAACAACAGCTCGGCGGCGACCGGCGCCGGGGAGGCGGCCGGCGCCTGGTGGCGTCGCTCGCTCGGCGCCAAGATCGTGCCGCTGCCGGCGCCGGCGCCGGCCGACCCGGCGGAGCGGCGTGTCACCTCCACCGTCACCTCGGCCGAGGCGGAGCGGCCGGCACCGGAGCCGCGGCGGGAGCCGGAGACGGAGCCGCAACCGCAACCGCAGCCGCAGCCGCAGCCGCAGCCGCAGCCGCAGCCGCAGCCGCAGGCGCAGGCGCAGGCGCAGGCGCAGTCGGAGCCGCGGCGGGAGCTGGAGCCGGAGTTGAAGCCACGCTCCGCTTCGTGGCTGGAGGACGTGCTGGCGGCCGTGCGCGTCTGTGAGGACCGCGCCGCCAGCGCCGCGCGCCGCGTCTCACGCGCCTCGGCCGCGCCGGCGCCGACCGCGCGCTACCGGCCGTACCCAAGCGTGCCGAGCGGCGGCGAGCCGCGCCCGGCGGGGCCCGGCTCGCCGCCGGCGGCCACCAGCCGTGCTGTCCTCTGGGAGCAGCAGGTCCGCCCGGCCGCGGCCGGCTACGCTCCCTGGATGACGCAGCGGGATCACTGGTACTCCGCCCAGCAGAGCTTCGGGTGAGACGCAGATGGAGGACGCGCCGGTGGCTGGAGTGTAGGTGTCGTCGCCTTGTGCTCTCTGTTTAGGGGCATTGCGCCTATCGATGCACCTGATAGCTGGTATCACCACTGGTCAAATTCATCATTGTTTTGCTAGCGGCAGCAGGAATGGGCAAAAGTTTCCAGCGTGGATAAATCAGCCCGATACATCTGAGTGTTCAATTTGGCGCTCTTGCAGCATACTTTCCTGAGAATGTTATCAAATGGCGTCGTGTGCGCCACTTGTCTTTCCACCGTAGCCGTAAGTGATTTGGGCGGTTTGAAGCAACACGTATGTATTTAGGCTCCCGAGCTGGAGGAATGAAAGTTGTTTCATTTCGAAGCCAGCATTTTCCGAAACCCGTGGCAGTGCATGTGCTTTGCTGATGGGATATGTCCCCTCATAAAAACGAATCGACGTTGCAAACGATGATCTAGCTAGTGTTTCTCCGTTTGCTTTTAAAGGCGTTGAGTTCCTTTACCATTGATGTTACCAGCTAACTTTTCCTGGCGATCAGGTCGTCTTTCGGGTCATGGTCGTCTCAGGGTGCCGTCTGGAACCAGATATCATACGGGGTGACATCTGGCGGCGACTTCGGGAACCAGCCGAGCCCGGAATCAGCTCCTCCGGCTCCGCGGCGCCGGCTCGAAGGAGCTGCGGACGAAGCGGAGCTGTCGTCTGTAGCCACACTCACAGGTACCCGTAGCAGGCTGTTGATAGGTGCTGCTTGTATTATTCAGCGGTCCTGCTTTAGAAATGTGTATGTGTTCCGCGGAAACCACTGGCGGCCCGGCCGAGACGACATGGAATGCTTGGCGGTTAGGCATGAAACCATGGCAGGCGATATTGAGCGAGTGCCCTGATTGCAGTTGGCTCGGTTGCCGATGAGCCGGCCGTCCGGGACGACTCGGAGTCTGAGTCGAGGGCGGCCCGAGTCCAAGCTCGAGTCGAGCCGCCGATGGACCTGTCGGCGGCGCTGAAGCAGGACAGCAGCCGTCCACCCCACACGGACACGGTGCGTCGCCGGGCGGGGCGCCGACCGAGCCAGCCCCGGCCGCGGTGCTACACTCAGGCACCAGTCTCGCACACGCAGCACCAGAACTGAGTCGGTTTCAGTTGCCAGGCTTTTGGCTATCTGCGTGCGGGTGTGGTTGCGTGCGTGCGTGCATGCGTGCGTGTAGGTGCGTGGGTGCGTGCGTGCGTACGTGTAGGTGTGTAGGTGCGTGCGTGCGTGCGTGCGTGTGTGTGTTCATATGGGGTTTCTGTCTAAGGCTGTGGCATTGCATTCCGCATCGCAATAAAAATGGTACTAAGGATGATCGACTGCGCGTGATTTTGTATCGGAAAATTGTTCCGACTTGGGTGCTCCTGCCCAACAGCACGATCGCTCGCTTTTGATTAGTGAGTGAAGTGGGCGTGCTGATGTGTGCTGACAGCGCCGGCGATCCATGCTCCACAGAGCCACAACCTGTACAACTGGCTGTCGGCCCAGATCGACGTGGGGCATCGTCCGGGCGAGGAGGGCGCGTCGCGCCGGCCGCCGCCGCCGCGGCCGCCGCTGCGGCTGCTCTACATGCCCAGCCTGCCGGCCTCGGCGCCCTTCTCGCAGCTGCTGCGCCATCTGAGTGAGCCACCGCCGCCGCCGAAGCCGGCCGGCGTCGCCTCCTCACCACCGTTTCCGCTGTCGCTGCCGTCGCCCGGCGCCCCGCTCCCGCCACTGGACGCAGCACCTTCGACGCCGCCGCCGCCGCTAGCGGCCGCGTCCCCGCCGCAGCCTGATCCGGCGCATTCCCAGCAGCTACCGTCGTTCTGCACACTGTGCAGCTCGCTGTCGGCGTCGCCGGGCGGGCAGCGCTCGCCGGCGGCCGGGGGCGCGGCGCCGCCGGCCACGCCAGAGCCGGACCGCGGCGGACCGGCGCCCGACTGTAGCGGCGCCGGCTGGGCCTGGCCGCCGGCCGGCGAGGCCGCCGCCTACCCGACCTACGACTTCGACGTGGTGGCCGCGGAGGAGGGTGGCTCGCCGCTGGCGCCGCTCGACTTCTCGGCGTTCTCGCGGCCGGCCGAGTTTACGGCTCCGGCGTCCGTCTGGGGCGGCTTGGCCGGCTACCAGGCCTCGCAGGACGACTTCGCTTCGACGCTCCGCAGCTGGCCGACGACGCCGAGCCCGTGGCCGGTTGACGACGGCGGCGGCGCCACTTCCCCTCTCGGTGTGCGCGAGACGGGGCGGCAGTACCTGGCGTACCAGCAGTACGCGCAGACGAGCGTGTCCGGCTGGCCAGCGCAGGCCAGTCCGCCAGCGCCGTCGCCTCTGACGCCTGGCTGGTCCGATGCCGTCGCGCCACTGTCCGCGGGAGCGCTGGCGTGGGAGCGTCAGTGGGCCTCCGCCGTCGCGTCAGCCGCCACGGCACGCACCAGCTTTGCCGGGAGCGAGACGACTCTCAGCTACGACACCGGCTGCGGCGGCAGCTACAGCGCGCAGGTGCTCGCAGGCGTGAATGCGGCTGCAGGCGCCCCTGGGAATGCAGTCGGCGCTTTGGAGCCTTCCGCGGACGTCGGAATCGCCTTGGCGGACGTCACAGACTCGTCGACGGGGGCGGAGAAGATAGGCGTCGCGGACGAGATGGGAGCCCGTTTGGATGTGTGCTGCACGCAGACGACGGCCATCGACTCGCAGGCGGCGGCTGCAGAGCCTGCGATGGAGCTGACGGAGCCAGGTGTGGACGTTATCGCGGCCAAGCCCTACGCCATCGGAGAGGGGCTGTCCTGCGTCGGCGACGGGGAGGGGATGACGCCGGCGCCACCGACTGGCGATGGCGCGCCCGCCTCGGGTGCCGCCGAGGGGGCGCCGCTGGAGGACAGCGGCGTAGGATGCGCCGTTGTCGCGTCCCAGGTCTCGGCCGACTCGGAGCCAGAGCTCCGGCCGGCGGGGCGCACTTGCGCCGCCGGCGCCGGCGGACCTGACACCGTGTGACGGGCGGGAGCAGCCAGCGTCGGGCGGAGGTGGGTCCGGCCAGCCCAGCAGGCCCGGCCAGCCAGCGGTGACCCAGTCGGCGTCGGTGTCGAGAGCCGGCCCGGGGGAACGTGTAGTGGGCGGGCAGTGTCGGCCGCCTTGGAGGCGGCTCGGCGTAGGGGCACGGGCTGGACCGTTGCACAGTCGAGAAATGGCACACGATCAACAAGTCAGTGGTGGTGAAACCTAGATTGTCGAACGTGGGCGTCGAAGCTTAGATTCTCTAGTGATGCTGTTGAAACCTAGATTTTCGAGCGTAGGAGTTACAACCTAGATTCTCGAGCGTGTTTGGCGTCTTTAAAGATGCTGGTTTTGTTAATTCCTTGTGCGTGGGGTGACTGCCCTCGCGGCCCGTAGCGTGAACGCTCCTCGGCCGCTCATTCCCTCGGGTGCCATTGTGTTCCCTCGGTTGTCGCGTCGTGTCGTGTCGTGTCGTGTCGTGTCCGGGCGTTCAGATGTCGAGCCGGACAGATCTGCCTGTCAGTGGTGGGCAGCCGCGCTGTCTGCCGGTTAGATGCCACCCATGACCTCCCAGCCGTGGTACGCAGCTGGAAGGACAGCAGGCAGTAGAACAGGGCAGAGGAACGCTCTGCTCTCTGGAGGGGTATGGCCCTGATGTCGCTGCTGACATTTGCGGGTATTTGGACCGTTTGCTGCCGCTGCGCCGGCGGCGGACTTGTATTCAACACTTAGATACTGGGCTTTCTTCGGCCGCCCCGGCGGTAAGTTTTCGTTGCTCGATGTTAGTTGTTTTGGGTGAATTCGTGTTTGTCAGTCCTATGCCAACTCATGCCACTATCCAGAGGATGACGTTTGTTTCGTATCTTTGTAAGACAAGAAATATACCGTTTACTTTGCATGCAGATTTCCAATGTATTTATAAAACGTGTAAACCAACAGCTGCACACATGCAATGAAAGCCCAGTCGCCCAGCCACGGCCGGGCCACGTCGCCACTTCGCCGCCCACTCACGCGAGACCGATGCCCTCGCCGAGCGGCGCCTCGCCCTCCGACCACTGATCATGACTGAGCTCTGGCGAGCTGGCGCTGGCGGCGCCCTCCTCGCCGCGCTCGAACAGCGGACCGCCATGCACCTCTCTGATGCGCACGTGCCGCACGCGCACGCCGGCACCAAGCTCGCCGTCGCTGAGCTCGGCGTCAGCGGCCGCCGGCTCGCCTGGTGCCCCGCCACCCAGCCGCGGCTCTGACTCCAGTCGGAGGGTGCTCAGCTGAGTGGACGAAGCCGAACGGAACGCTGAGCGCTCGCTGGTCGCCGGTCCGGCCGCCGTCAGCTGGCCGGAAGAGCGACGGGATGCAGTCGGCTGACTAGCAGATGGGCCGAGAGCCGCCAGCTGGCTATCAACTGGTCGTGGCTGACCGGAAGAGCGCCGGGACGCGGCCACCCGAGCGACCGAAGGCTGGGGCAAGATCCGTTGACTGGCGGACGGTCCGAGCGCTGTCAGCTGACTGTCAGATGGTCGTGGCTCAGTCAGCTGACCAGAGGAGCGCCGGGACGCAGTCAGCTGACTCGCAGAAAGGCCGATCGCCGTTAGCTGGCTCTCAGACGGTCGTGGCGCCGTCAGCTGGCCTGAGGAGCGCCGGGACGCAGTCAGCTGACTCGCTGATGGCCGAAGCGCGGCCAGCTGGCAGGTCGAGAGTCGGATGGTGGTGCCGGATGGGAAGGAGGAGCCGAGGGGTGTGGTGTCGCCCGTCACCTCGCCCTCGCTGAGGGAGGTGTCCGTCCCAACCTGCCGAGCATAGGTCACGTTCCGTCGGGCACGGTGCACCACGTCCGCCGTCTCCAACAGCGCACAAGGTTACCAGTCTGACCACACCATACCAGGCTAGAGTGCAGTGGCAGATAAAGACACAACGTCCGCCCAACACATGCGAACTTCTCGAAAACAGCGGTAATCCAGCGTGCGACGAAGTAAAGAAAGCACTTCTGAACGTTCATGACAAGTATGGCCACTGAGGCACGGGGCGGAGGCGAAGCTGGCGCAGGCGACTCACGCGGGATGTGAGGGCGGCCGGCATGTGTCCAGCGCCGGCCGGCGGCGGCGGCGGCCCGAGCGCGGTGGCCGAGTCGGTCCGATCCACCCACTGGAGCCACGGCGCCCGCACCTCGCCCTCAGACAGTTCCTGCCGCAGCAGGGGCGGGACACGGTCAACGACGGGGCGCCGGACGCAGGACACGGCTTTGTCGACGCTGAACACCGGTGAACGCTCGTCGGGGAACAGCGAAACCAGAACTGTCGCCATGGCAACGCCAGCATACGTAGTGGCATTGGTCTGCCACTACGCATGCTGGTGCACGAAATGATATGGGCCAACCAACAATGGTGGGACGTACGCCAACCGTATGCTATTGGCGTAGATCGCACCAATGCGCGAAAATGGGATGGGTGAGGTGCCAGATCGTGGAATCGTGGTAGACCAAGGTCGGTGGTTTCTTCCATGTGCTGACAGACGTGGGACATAATTAATTGCGGCACTTTGACATGCCCTGACATGCCGAATCTGACTAGATTCCAGCATCAGTTAGCCACCAACGCATATCCCGTATGCCGACCCGGTACCACACTGCCTTCAAAGCACATAGGATACATTGAGGCATTCAAGTTAACCACGTCGACCAGCCGTGTGATGGATTCCCTGCCCTACTCTGCGGACAGACACCTACCTCTCCAGACGCGGTGGACTTATGGCTGGACGGGCCGCTGCGAGCTGGCGAGCCGGGGCCGGACAGGAGCGGGTGCACAGTGGTGCCAGCTGGCGGGGTCAGCAGCGAACTGAGTTTGCTGCTGACGTCGCTAGACGTCGGAGACGTCTCGTCCGTCTGAGAGGCCGTCTGCTGGTCGGCGTTGGCTGCGGTCTGGCAGCTGACAGCCTGGCCTGTCCGGGGGCTGGTCTGGGTCCCGTCCGCCCGCCGCTGGCCGGCGGAGGGCGCCTCCACGATCCGCTCAGCTGCAACGGAACCACACTCAGTACGCCAAGAAACGAAAAACGGTGATCACATAATTTGTTTGGCCAGCACGGCAAGGGCACTTCTCTCGAGTCTGCATTTGCAGCCTGTTCTAAGTCAAATCTGCGCGTCGCTTGCCGCAGCCTCAGCTCTATGCATTAAACATCTCCTCATGTTACCGCAAGCACAGCAGTCATTACTGAGTCCAGGTACACCACAGAAGTTGCCGCGTCAACGCTGAGGGGATATCACAGTCCGACGGAGCCTTGCCCAGATGCCAGACCACGGCGCTGACCTGGTGACAACACGAAGCGGGTTTGAGCCGCCGCGTCTGGTTGTTCTTCCTCACGCGCCGGCTCGCTGATCCAGGCGGGAGGACTGGCTGGACCGCGGTGTCCTCCGGGAAGACTGCCCGGAACGAGGTGTCCTCGGAGAGGGCTGGCCGGAGCCAGGCGTCCTCCAGGAGGACCAGCAGATCCAAGACGTCCTTGGCAAGGACTGGCCAGGCCCGGGCTTCCTCCCGGACTGGCCGAGCCGGAGTGTCCTCCGCCGGCAGCGCACGGACCTGGGGTCTCTCTGGAGGGGCTGGCCGTGCCGGGGCGCCTTACGGGAGGACTGCCCGGATCACGGTGTCCTCGAGGGTAGCTGGCCATGCCGGGGCGTGCTCCGGAAGGACTGCCCGGGTCACGCTGCCCTCGAGGGGAGCTGGCCGTGCCGGGGCGCGCTCCGGGAGGACTGCTCGGATCACGCTGATCTCGAGGGGAGCTGGCCTGATCGGGGCGTATTCCACTGGCGGCGCTGGCCGGCCGCTCGGTCTGCCGCGCCGGACGGCGGGCCCAGCTAGGGACCGGGGCGGGGACCGGCCGACCCGGCTTATCCGGCAGCACAGTCAAGGCCGCGGGGCCGACGGCCGGGCCCGACAGGCAGACGGCGGCGGCCGGCTCGGCCACCGTCCGCTGGTGCGTCTCAGAGGTCGACGGCTGAAAACGGCCGCACACGAAGTGTAAAGTGCGCGCTACACATAACTGGAGGGCTGGACGGGCTTGCTACCGAATCTGCAGTAGATTCGGCAGCTGTCAGGTATTGCGGACCACAGGTACAGCTTTTGACCTCTTTCTTCCCGCGCATTGCGGGCCTACGGACCTAAAACTGGTCCCTCTAGTCCGCAGCAGCTGACTGTAGAATCTGAGCAGCTAATCCAGTCAGTCCACAAGGTAAAGTAATCCAACGGGCCTCTCAGATGATCCCGGGGCTAAACATACCCCATCCTGGTGCGAACTCTGGAGCAAGTTAAACCCATCAAATTCAAGTCAATTTGACCGATTGGAACTCAAATTGCAAGACAAACAAAGGAAGACGGCATTTATAAGCACGCTAAAATAAGCACACGATCCAAATTTCACTTAAAACAATCAACAGTCTGCGCCGATCAAGACATTTTCAGCAAACTCATCTCCCGTTTTAAAAAGGTCCCACCTACAGCCGAGCAGTCACGCATGACCTGCGGACGGACCGTGGGCGGTGGCCGTACCTGGGGTGCGCGGGTGGCCTCAGGTGGCCGCTGCTCTCGCTTGGCCGGTGCCGGAGGCGGCTCGCGGTGACCGCCGTCCGCTGCCGTCGGCGCCGCCTCGGCCGGCCACTCCCAGGCGTCAGACACCTGGTCATCGGTCTCGGCCGACGAGTGCTCCCCGCTGCCGCCGAGCGGCGCCTCGCGCTCCTGCCAACAGTCGGCGGCGGAGCGTGGCGGCGACGCGTCGCCCGGCTCCCGCGGCGGCGGGGCGGATGTCGGCGACACGGTCCCGGCGGCGGGCGGCGCCGGGCCCGACCCGGGCGGCGCCGCGCTGCTACCACCGCCGCTCTCTGAAGTGGAGCCGGCGCGGACAGCCGGCGGCGCCGGCGCGGCGCTGCTGCTGCCACCTTGCGAGGACGAGCTGAAGCAGACGGTGGCCATCTGGCGGGCGGCGACGGCGCGACGCACTTCAGCTGCCACAGCGTCGGCGGCCACGGCGCCAGGAGAGCGCGGCGTCGGCTGACGGACGGGAGGCGAGTGTGAGAGGCCGGCAACACCGCTGGTGACGCAGGAACTGGAAGCCAGCAGCGACAGCGCCGAGAAATCCCTCCCCGCTGCCCTGGTCGTTGAGACCGTCCACCGACCGCCGTGGCGGACACACACAAACCATCGCCACGAGCGGACGCTGCTCGGTTACAGGCGACGGCGTGTATCGCACAAATTACGAGCCAAAGATGTCAGTCATGCCGTTGGGACCCATGGCGATAAGCAGACAGGAGGAATTCACCCGACTGGAAACGACATTCACGTTCGGAAACATGGCTACCAAATAGGAACTAGCTATCTCTGATCGAGCGGGTATACTGGGGTGGCTGGAGAGGCGAGTGCGTGTCACGAGCGTGCGCCGGACGGCGGGCCGGCCCATTATAGCGTACCCGCACGGAGTCGGCCGAGGAGGTGGCCTCCGATCCGCTGGACCGGTCCGCCTGCCCGCCGCCCGCCATCGACGCCGCTACCACCTCCTGGATTCTGCGGCACGCGGCACATGGCACGCGATCAACACCTACCACCGCGCACCATACCACATCTAAATCGCAAACACACCACGTCAGGAAAGACACTTAAGAAGGCTCTCTTTCCTAAACGGGTAGGAGGTGATTGGCATGCTGTCTTGGCTACGGATGAATCCATTCATTTTGGAATAGGTAGCGTCAGGTTGGCAAAAGTCGACGCAATATAGCAATGTAAAAATTGCTACATCTCGCGAGTTGCCTGAAGGTGAAAAATGGGACCACATCCATATTCGAATAGTAAGTACATTTCAACGATACGAAAGCAAACGATAACTACCAGGGAAGCTTGATTTACCCCTTGCCGCGCAACCAAATCATATAAGGCACCTCTAGACACAGAGCAGCTGATGTACCTTCCGACTCACAGTTTGTACGCATTGATCTCGAGTTTCTGCTTCAGTCCGCGACTGGTCCTGGCACGGCCCTGGTCAGTGAACACTGCCGGGTCCATCGGCACCCACTTGACATCGCCACGGCCGCGGTCACGGTCGCGCGCCGCCGGCTTCGGCCCTGGCGCGGCCCGCCCGCCGCCGACGCCGTCCCGCCAGAGCGCGCCGCCGGGCCGCCGGGCGGCCAAGCCGCGGCTGCCGGCGGCGAGCGCCCGGGCTCCGGCCTCCGCTGCGGCGACGGACGGACGGCCCAGCACGCCGGCCGTCCACCTGACGTCCGTCTTCGCCGACGGCGCCGGCCCAACGACAGCGGTCGCGCGGGAGGTGGGTCTGACTGCGCCTCCGGCAGTGGCTGCCGGTCTGGCGCCGCGGCTGGTGGAAGCCGTCCGTGTTCTATCGGCAGCTTCACCAGCATTGACACCAGATATGGTCTTGGCTTTCACGTTAGAAGCTAACCTGCCGTCGACTTCTTCATCTCCGGGCGCATTGCCGTCCACTCGCTCCGAGGCCGCCCATGTGACCTCGCCACCGGCAGCGGCGGCCGAGCCGGCCAGATCAGCCAGCGTCCTGCCTCGGCTCATGCCTCCCGCCGCCTGACCTGCTGATGACCTCTCCCACGCCGGCCGCCTGCGTCACGTCACGCTGCGGCGCGTCCTCCGACAGTTGGGCGGCGCGACCTCCCGTGTCGTCGGCCGGTGTGTCCCGCGCCCTGTCATCAGAGCGCGGTGTGGGCACGGCGCTGTCCGCGCCCACGCTCGTGTCGGGCCGATGCTGGCCCGCGCGTGGCCGGTCCGGCCTGGCCTCGATCTCCGCCGCGGACGAGTGCTCGGTCCAGCCGGCCGGCGACGGCGGCTCCTCCGACGCGTCCGACGACTCGTCCAGGCCCTGGTGGACAAGGCGGATCGTGTGCGGCACCGCCGGCCGCGGCACCACGTCAAACTCTTGGTAGGCGAGCAGCGGCGGCGGCGGCGTCGGCGAAGGCGAGGTCGGCAGCGGCGGCGGGCCACCCGACGTGTCCTCGGTCCCAAGGGGCAGCAGCGCCGCTCGGGCCGCGTCGTCGAGCGGCCGCGGCCGGCAGAGCGAGACGGCCGCCCCCGGCGGGCCGGGCGGCGCCCCCGGCGGACCGGGCGGCGCCCCGGGCGTGACCGGCGGGGCTGGCGCGCCGGGAGGGCCGTCACCCGGTACCCGCCGCCTGGGGCTGCGACTGGCGGTCGGCCGCAGCGTCACCTGCTGCAGACGTGCGGAGCGGACCTGGGCGCGCCGCTCCGTGGCCAGCTGTGGCGGGCCCGGCCGGCCGGCGGCGGCAACGGCGGCGGCCCGGGCGGCGGCGGCCCGGGTGACGGAGGTCCGGGTGGCGGCAGCTCGGGTGACGGCAGCTCGGGTGGCGGCAGCTCGGGTGACGGCGGTCCGGGTGGCGGTGGTCCGGGTGGCGGTGGTCCGGGTGAAGGCCGGCGGTCCGGGCGACAGGGGCCGCTCGGCCTGCTGGCTGAGGATCTGCTCGGCTCGCGTCCATCGCTGCTGCTCCTCCTCCAGCAGAGAGCGTACCAGCTCCTGTCGGCGGGTCACGTGAACGGCATCCATTGACTCTGAAACCCTAGCCTCAGGTCACCAGCAACGAACACTGTAAATAATGTCCGAACTGACAGAACGTTGGCATTCAAATGCTCATTGGTGAAGCCCCCCACCCCCCTATATTCTTGAATGTGAAACAATCTCCCCCGCCCTTATATACTTGAATGTGGAGCGATCGTTTCTGGTGCTGCTCTTGCTGCAATGTAGCGCGCTACGTACTGTGCAACAGAGAGGGTGCTTTGGATTATCTACCCTTTCCCGGAAAAACGGGCCTTCATAAGATTACTAGTGTCGCTGTATCTCGTGCTTGGAGCATTGGACATTTGCTCTTAACGAAAAATCAGACCCAAAAACACCGAGCTAGCTAGACCTAAGACAGCCGCCGGGCCTATCCGACCAATGACGGATGGCGCAGGCGTGACGTCACACTCGCCGCTGTCACCGAGACTCAGCGGGTCTCAACTGGACTCCCGGCTCGGTCTCTGGGATGTCGCCGAGCCTCAGCGGGTCTCATCTGGACTCCCGACTCGGTCTCTGGGATGTCACCGAGGCTCAGTGGGTCTCACCTGGACTCACGGCTCGGTCTCTGGAATGTCACCGAGGCTCAGCGGGTCTCACCTGGACTCCCGGCTCCGCCTCCCGGATGCAGTGGTCCACCAGCTGGCTCGGGTCGCTCAGCTCAGTTCTAAAACACGACCAATTCCGATCAGATGGACGAGAAACGTCACATGATCATAAACATCAAGGATCACAAAGCACGTTCGATCAGTTACACTGATCCCAAACCAAGGTTCCATGGTTCCATGGAACCTTGGTTTGGAACCAAACCAAGGTTCCATGTCTCCATCTGTTATGCTTGCCAGCATGGCATGAATCTTTGAAAAAAGGCCAAAATGAGCAGATCCAAACTTTGTGCACAGAAGTAATTGGTGCTCTGCATGCAACAACTACTGCAGCATAAAACATTGCTTTTGGCATCATGATTGACATTTTCTCCATTACAAGCTGATAGTTCTGAGTCACTGTGATGCAGGTCATTCAAATCTGGGTCCAGTTTCTTTTTACTCTGTGCACTGTACTATGATACACAAATTTTATGTTTTGCAAACATTTATCATATGAAGAGGGCTTCATTCACCAAGATAGCAATGTTGCAGGAAACTTATGCGAGACCAAAAAACTTATGTGAAATATACCACAATCCATGATGAGACTTCCCTTTCTACTGGAAACTGCATTCAATTGTGACCAGTGGTTGAAAAAATCAGCTTGAAAATGTGACAGTTTAGGTGTTCCAAAGCAGGAATTCCAGTACAGCTCCTTAATCTCAAGTCCTGCTTACAGACATTCTCCTTACTAGGTGATTCCTCAAATGAAGGCCAGTGTTTCCTGGTAGACTGGTAGAAGCTGGTACAGGAACACCATGGCTGCCATACCACATGTTCTAACCATGGCAACACAAGATGATGAGCCAAAGATCCCACCACACAAATGTGTAGATGGAATTTTGTGGTTATTTGCATGCATTTATCCCTGGAAAACTACTTTCCAAATCAAAATTGTCTTCCCTATGTATCCATCGCCAAGCATACTTTAATGATGGTCTTATCCCTGACTGCGAGGCAAAGTTGGCTTGCTTGGCAAATGCTTTTTGCATCCCATGTGAGAGTAACAGCCACTTGGAACATTTGTGACTTGAAACTGTGCCCCTGTGCTTGGAAGCATCTAAGCATTGTAAAGATGAAACATATGTATTAAAGACTGAAAATATTTTAGTTGTAAATGCTTCATTGCAAAATGAAGTCCTCTCAAGCTTTCATGCTCAGCCCCTGAACTTACCCATGAGTGGTGAGATGATCCAGGTATCTGTGGAAGTCAGCTGGAGCTGTGCGAGCAGGTCGGCTGTATAGCAGCTCTTTCTTCTGTGTTTTAGCTTCCTCAAGCAAGGCATACAGAGCATGCAGATCTGAGGCCATTGCTCAGGACAGCAGCAACCTGCACACAGTCACATGTGGAATCCAGTAGAAATCAAATTATTAAGCATGTGGTTACTGCAAAGTCCCCCAAAAATGTGTTGATCCGATGCAATGGATCCTGCATCCCCATACAAGTGCTATGCAGATAATAGTGCCTATAGCAGCAACAGAGTTCAGATTTTGCTGAGGTGGGGATTGTGTTTGGCCCTCAGCATCCCTAAGGGATACACCATGCAGGAACATCGCAAGACACCAAATTTGTGCTGCTGTATTCACACCAACTGGTCAAAGGGAAAATACAAGATAATGATGTAGAAAAGAACACACATCTCGGTCCTTGGTGTCTAGAGAAAAATACCACCTATCAAACAACAGGTCCCACGCCACCCACTCCCCCTACCGCGCACGCAAACTATAAGGGGCACGCACGGCAGCCCCAAAAAAACACGAGGGAATTTCTCCATGTGCCCGGCGATTCACCCAATATCACGTTCTCGCATTGCTCCAACGGCGCTGTGAGCAGCAGTTTCAGAGCAAGCAAGCAGCGCATACCAATGTTTTGAGCTCTTACACCAGTAAATTAATGCATCGCGACCGACGTGCAACGGCCGGGATATCCAACGGGGTGGAACGCCCACCGTAACCCCCGCCAATCAATTCGTGTTTTCGCTCGAACATACATTATATAGAGATGAGCACCATTCTGTAACATACTTGCTCGCTGACTGAAATCTTTTGAAAACCATAACTTACTCTATTATTTTATGCAATCAAGGTAATTTACGTGTTTTCAACCTCTTGTAAAGGGATATAAGGTGGGCGATATTTTATATTTCAACATAAAGCACGCGAAAACAGCCCTGTAATATTTCATACATATACTACGCATGAGAGACGGAGTATCGAAGGTGTGCGCGTGTGTGTTATATACCCCTGTGCGTACATACGATTGTTTGTGATCTCGCGAGGCATGTAGGTTGCGGTGAAGATCGAAAAGCAAATATCACTTCGGCCGCTGGTAGTTCATTGCATGTCCTGATCTGTGAATTGGTGGGCAGGTGAAAGCCCGTACTGGTTGCGGATGGGACCCAGATAAAAATTGCTTGTTAATTGTCGTCCGAAAATTTGGCGCGACTGTTGCCAGACTTCAGCCCGCGATGATAATGTTGTATACCGCTTCAATACCTAACCCATTCCATCAGAAAATGTCAAAATATAAATCTTAAAACTGAGGAACCAAGTGATGCACAGAGATGCATGCTGTGGCTGCATGATGATTAAGTAGCAGAAGTTAATTTGTATCTAGTGCTGAATGTGCTCAAATTGGCACATATCCATTGTGAAATGAATATACACCCAGATATGTACCCATGATGTGCTTAACATGGCACACATGTTTGCTACACCCTGCCTGGACTGAATGGTTGATGTTATGTGTCCAAAGGTCAATTAAGGTTACACAGGATGTTCAGTTCATTTTCTCCATGAAACATTTTCTTTGTATTGTTTTACATCAGTGTTATTCTCTCATTTCTCACAATTTATTCCACATACTGAAATTGGTGGTAGTCACTAGTCATGCACTAAACTCATTATTTGTAGGTTTTTTGGCATGCACAAACCAAACATTGAAAAATTATTGAAATAGTTCTAATCAGCTGGGTACCTTAATATATCTTTTTAAGTCTAGGCACCTCTTAATCAGCAGCAGTAGTGGCAGAATTGATGTCATTAGATAGGGCTTTCCAGTTTCTGATAAGGCATGATGATAATCAGTGATGGAATGGCTCATTTGTTTGCTGAACCATATATGGCCCAATGGCATTAAGTCCAGCAGGTGGCAGCATGGTCACAATACCCTATCATGGAACCCCTGCTCCAAAGGCTGCAAAACATGAATGTGTATGTTAAAAAACTAAGGCTTAAAACACAAAAAACAAGTTTGTATGATATGGTGGCATAGTGTTGCAATGATGGCTACATATTTGCTCAAAATTATTAATCTGGTCAGGTCAGGATTTTAGTTCAAGCTCTTTGTGCTAAAAATATTGCAATGTAATATGCATTTAAAGGGGGGGAAGATGTGGCATCATTACTTTGCTGCAGTTTTGTATTGTACCATTCTGTAAAAATCTGCCCAAAATGCCAAAGAAAGCAATTTAAAGAAACAAACTGGACCAGTCAAAAGCAACAATCACATATAAACCATATTAGATTATAATATAAAACATGTGACCAGTAGCAGGTGAATGTTCCTGGTATGTCTTAAGTTGAGCTTCATCCATTTTCATCAGTTGGTGTCAATTGATTTGTATACATGTTTATAATATTTGGAAAAGATAAGCTGTAAAGTTGCGCAGTGCAACAAGACACATAGTTCTGATTAAGTTGAGTGCTGGACAACAACAGGCTGTGGCTTCTTGAAAAGAAAAGTGAAACATGCATGCACATCATGAAGCATGTTAAAGGATATCTCAAACAGTGACTGCATGGATGATAAAATATGCATGCATGTTGTAAGGTGTGTTTAAGGATATCTTAAACAGTGATTCTTTCCATCTATAATGAGCCCACTGTGAGGTATATACTGAGAGACCCATAACACCTCATGGCCACCAAAACCAAAAACAAAACAAAACAGCCGAAGGATGTGTGCACATCATACAAATGTCTTTAATTATGTCTGAGACAGTTATTTTCTACATTTATAGTGAGTGTGCAATGTGTCATGTACTGACAAACCCACAGCGCCTGTCACCCACATTCATACCAGACAAGCTGCAGACAACAGGCCATGTTGAATATCTGGTGGTAAAGTGCAGTGTTCATGTGCTGATTCATGTTCATGATTCATGTTTGAAGGATCTGCAATTTTGCTATGAGTATGAAAATGTATTTCAAAACTGTTTATAGCACCTTTCATTGACTACTTTTTCATGTGTCATGACTGAAACATGCCATTCATGCTCTTGCTCAGGCTCCCTATTACAAACCAAAAACATTTGAAAGAAGGTGATGCACAACATTACCTGCCATCTTATTTCAGCATTGCTGTCAAACCACAGACCTTCCAGTTAACCTGCAATTGAATTCACTTTCTGCTTTTGTTGAAGGCAGGTCACCAATCATATTCAGAGCGCTGAAATTCTGCAGCTATGACCAGGTAAGTTTTTCCAAGCCTTTTATGGCACTCTTATTTTTCCCATTCCCTCTATAGAGCTATTTATGAATGAGCAGTAGTGTGGACTCTTGACCTTGCTTTGCTAAATGTAACATGGGCACATGTATATGCTACTGCTTTGTTTTTTTGGTGGGTATGTTTGTAACTTGTTCTGATGCACCACCATATTTAGCAAAAACCTTCACTTTTCAGTGGACAGAAAGTGCTCTTACAAAGAGTAATTGTATGTTTTTACAGCTCTTCACACTGGGGATAGAGTAGTTCAAAAATATACCGGCATACATGAGAGCAGACTGCAAAAACCTTTTAGCTAGCATATGTATATATACAAATATATATATATATATATATATATATATATATATATATATATATATATGTATGTCACCTATATATGCTAGTTGGGCTGATCTTGTCTTGCCATAATCCGATTTCAACTTAAGTACATTGAGAATGCACCATTTCAAGACTCCCCAGTCATCTATTTTTTGAAGAAGCAAGGTCGATCAAGCCGGCAAACACTGACGGGTGATCCTGTGTCGGCTTATTTGACAACATGTCGGATAGATTAAGGCGATGTGACCTATGTCAGCTCATTTGACAAGACCTATCGGATCGCAGTAGTCGGATGGAGCTGGGGTGTGTGACCCATGTCGGTTCATCTGATGAGACTTATCGGATCACGGGAGTCGGATGGAGCTGGAGTGTGTGACCTGTGTTGGCTCATCTGACGAGACCTGTCGGATCGCAGGAGTCGGATGGAGCTGGGGTGTGTGACGTGTGTTGGCTCATCTGACGAGACCTGTCGGATCGCAGGAGTCGGATAGAGCTGGGTGATGTGACGCAGCACAACATCAAGCAGCTGAAGCGACTCAACCAGGTGGTCTTTCCCGTCTCCTACAATGAGAAGTTCTACAAGGACGTTCTCCATTCGGGCGAGCTTGCTAAGCTCGGTGAGACCGGCACCGTGTTCCAGCTGCGCGCGCGCGTTCATATGGATTTGCTGTAAAAAGTCTGTGTGGGTTGTCAGCGCCGTCACAAAAACTGTTTTTTTTTTGTTGTGCGTTTCTGTTGACGACTCATTCGCTATTATGTGGTCCAGGCTCAGCACGTTATCAGTATCTGTATGCTTTTGAGGACGTTGGATGACATTTCATTTCTTATGTCCAAGGTTACAACACTTTGCTAACCACTGTAAATTGATCCTACGCATGCGACCAGTTTTCATCATCTGTCGACGCATGGTGTCGCAGATGCCTCGTGCCAGATCGGCGTTGTCTGCCAAACCGGCCGCTGGCCACTGCCCGGGCCCTGTGCATGTTACTGACCTCTGGACGTCGGCAGCGTACTTCAACGACATCATGGTGGGCGCCGTCTGCTGTCGCGTCGACGTCATCGACGGCAAGCGCAAACTGTACATCATGACACTCGGCTGCCTTGCGCCATACCGCAACCTTGGCATCGGCACCAAGATGCTGGAGCATGTGATGAAGTGTGTCGAGCAGGACGGCAACCTGGACAGCATTTTTCTGTGAGGAACAGTTTGGTGTTTTGGGAGCTCTTTGCAAAGGAACGGATTTGTCTGTGGGTCTTCTGCTGCGATTGAACTGGCATATAGGCGCAGATGCTGTTTTGAGGTTGGAGCACAAACATTGAAAGCTACTCAAGCCGTGCCAAATTCAGCTCGTCTTCAGGTTCAGACCATTTTATCTGCACAGCTTATAATGATTGGTTGCTGTTTTTTTAACCATTGTATTCTTGGCTGCGTACAAATGTGGATAGTCACTTGCCAGAAACACATTGTCTAAGATCATATTTCACTTACTTGTAGGTGCCAGATAAGAAGTGGTGCTTTTTCAGGTAACCTCGTCAGCTGTATGCATTAATCCTTGATAAACAAGGCTGAAGGTCTAGCATACCTTGCCCAAGGGGCTGTAGCAAAGCACGGTTTCCTTGATGTATGTTCATCGGCTTTGCAGCCCTTACAGCAGTTCTGCAGTATTGTCGGGATTATCAACACGACTATAACAGAACTCCTTTGAATCCATGTTGGCTATAAGCATAAAGAGAGAACATGGCATACATTCAGCGGCAAAAATGTAGGGCTTAGATGCATTCCGAGCATTCCCACCGCCAGTGAGCGCTGCTTTACTGCTTCTTACAGTTCTCGCAACGCTGTGGATCTGTAAGCTATGTATTGGTCCATCGTGCACATAGATGTGTATGTAGTGCCTTACGTTTAACTATGTCGAGAAATGGACGAAAAAATGAAGTGAGGTGCGGTTTATCTGTTCATGGCTTTCATGTTCGTGACCGACATGGAATTTTAAAATGTGCACTGGAAAGGTGTGCAGTCATTGGCAGAATGGGATGCTGGCTGCGTGACGTTTATGCTCGTAATGCCTTCCCGTTTTTTCAGACACGTTCAAATCAACAACGAAAGTGCCATAAACTTTTACAAGAAATTCGGCTTCGAGATCGTGTCGACAGAAGAGCACTACTACAAGCGGATAGAGCCGGCCAACGCGCACGTTCTGGCCAAAACGCTGACTGGCAAGCGGCCAGCCGACGCCGCCAAATGATGGCCGCATTCGCAGTTCCCAAAGCCGTCTGCCCTGTTCCTGCAGCGTACGAGATTGAAACCCACCAGGTGACGCTGGCCGCGTGCGTGGTCGAGAGTCGCTGCTCAGTTCCAGGTGGGGTCCTGTGTCGGGACCCACCGACAGGCGCTGGGCCCGGTCGTGGCTGGCTGCCGTGACTCAGGTGTGGTCGCCGGATGGAGGCGACTCGGTAGCGGACGCTGGTGCGTTATGGACAGCTACTGCCGTGATGACCGGACGCGGCGACTCAGTTCTGTTCGCGTGCGTGGTTTCGGCAAGTTTGGAGCGGGTATGAGTTGTGCAGCGGTCCCGCCTTTCGGACGGTTTCTAGCGTTCAGGTGGTTTCGCAGACCTGGGGCAGTGATAAGGCGACCGAGCCTCTCAGCGTGTTGTCAAGCCCGGCTCGTTGGGGTGGGTGTTTGTGGCCCGCAGATGGCTGCGGCGCTGTTTGATGGCCACCTGGGATATCCACTCCCCCTGCCACGGACGGGCGTGATTGTGCCCACCTCTTGTGTGCGTCGGATGGCGAACGCAACGCGAATGCACAACGCAACGCGACGCGCGGAAAACACGAGCTGTCGTATGAGCGGCTAAATATAAAGAGTTTGTTCGTCAAGGCTTGCGAATACAGAATTGAATTCAGATGACTTACCTGCGCTAAGGGAAACTTTCCGTGGAGACTTGCTTTTACGCCGCTGATCACGTCGGCGCTATCACACGCATTCGCTCTGACCGTTTTGTGGAAGTAGAGAGGTCCGCCGGAAGTAGAGAGAACGCGGAGAATCAGTCGACGGGCCTTGGCAGCCAACAGGCACTCACTTAATCGCTGGTTGTGCTAAATGTCAGTCGGAAAGATGTGTCGCCTGTTACATGCTATATTCTGACATAGTTGGACGGGGCTATCGCAGCCATCATTGATTAATTCATGGGTACCACCACAGGGGACAGCAAGTGAAGGGAAATATGAAGGCCACCCAATGCTGCTTCAGCATCGTCCCGCATTGCTCCGCTGATGAATAATGACATGTGCAACGTTGCAATTGGCGATAGGTGTCGCCTCGCGTTGAACAAGCCGTAAGTGACAAGTCGGTTCGTTTTGTCTTTTTATTAGAGCCCTTTCGACCAGAAATTATTTCAGGACCATGGGATGAAAGAAATGTTTTACGGTGGGGCAGACTTGCACGCGCATGGGGCCAACCGCCGAGGTTTAACCCGCGCATGCGCGATAGGCATCCGGTCCTGGGTCCCCTTCAGAGAACACAAGATAGAGGATAAAAGGGACGGATGACTAACGAACAATATCGGCGATTCTGTGTTTAATTATGATAGCACGCTTGCGCGCGTTAGCTCAAGCTCGGAGCTCTGGGTGCACTGTAAAGTGGACGTTTTGGCCATCCTGTTGCTCGCTCCACGGACAGCCGTATTTCGGTTATAGATTTATTTAAATGGCTCAAATCTGCACCTTATTTTAGTTTCATAACGCCAACATCCATCATGTAAAACAAATATCAGGCGACTACCGCCTCAGACGGAGCCTAAAACACTTGTAGTATTTCGGGCAGCTGATAGGTGTCGGCAGTGTCGACCAAAAATAGAATATCGCATAGATAAAATTATAATTGACTTCCAACAGGGGCTTGAGCGTGAGGCATGTGTCGCCACCGGAGGTCTAAGGAGACGTTGGGCCACTCGGTACCGACGATCAAGGGCCCGATTAGGGGGAGGGGGGGGGACACGAAGAGCTGGCCAGAGCCCAAAGGTACCACCGCCAGCGGGGACGGGCATTTGAATGGCAGCCAGATATTCTCTCCTGACCATTGGGAGACACCTGGGGCAATGACAGTCCTACGTCGGTTAAAGACCAGCAATACCATAAATGTCGGATATTCGAGGTCTGCGGGCCCATTTTCCAAACAAGGTTAAAGGGAATGTTCGGCCAGGCACCATTTACTTTTCATGGACAAGCACGAGAACATGAATATAGAGGGTCTCTTGCGTCGGTCGGGACCCTCTAAAGGTGTACGGAAATATGAGAAATGGCGACGAAAAACTCGGATAAAGAAAATGGAATGCCCCTGTGTCAGTACAAATACTATGGGCGTAGGAACAGGGGGGCCAGGGGGACCATGCCCCCCCCCCCTCCACACTTTTCAAGGTGGGGTGGGGCAGCAATGTTTACTTCCCCCCCCCCGTTTTCAGATTAATGCTCCATTTGGCTTACTTTTTCACTACATTAAACATGCATGCCCATTTACCTAATTCCCCAGGCATCGCCTTTAAGATGCGCCATCTTTTTCGTTTGCTCATTGGCCATTGCTTCATGTTACAGCCGCGAGGCTGGCGCCGCAGGGCCTGTAGACTGCAAACGCCGAGCGTCGAGGCTGTCGTTGCTATCACTTGCGAGCACGCTTGTCCAACACCGTATTACGTAGTTTTCTAACCAGTAATCAGCTCTGACAGGATCTTGAGCATTTTAAGACGAGCATGGGTAAGTCATGTTAAAACAAATTAGGAACCTCATTTCATCTACAACCTACAGTCAGGAAGAGCTAAATATCTCTGAAGGACACAAAAAAAAACACAGAAATGGAGTCTATGTGACAACTATCGGACTACCTACAGTAATCCGGGATGTTGTAGCAATGCAGGTTCCTGCGCTGATCCGGGTCTGACTGCGCGGGTCAGAATGCTTCCCGTGCCAGGGGTGGGGACAATGTGGTATCATTTATCCTTCTAATGACCTCTGGAACGACCAAAAGATCCCATTCCTTGCCACCAGAATGATAGCCAGAAGACGCTCACGATTGGGCGGAATGGCCCTTCATCCCTTGACCGGAAATGCTATTGTACCCCTGGTGTTCTACTCAGGAGGCCCCTTGCTGGGAAGGAAATAAGGGGTCTCATTATTGTTGAGTAGAGTAGGGCTCTCATTATTGTTGAGAAGCGCGGGTCAAAATGAATAAAAAAACAAACAGAAAGGTCATGTTGTATTTGCCTGAGAGCATTTATTTGTTTCAGAATGTATTATTGAAACAAATGACATCAAAAGGCTTGAACGTGCCCGCCCAGGTCTTCAAGAACAAGGACAGGGATGGTGTGGGTTGCATCTTTCGCAAAGTCGAAAAGTTTCGGCCACTGCAAGTTCCACCAGACAGCGGGCGCCGTGTTAATCTGTCTTCTGAACAGATAAATAGCTGCGAAAGCACGAAAAATAGAGATTTTACGTTCACTCTTCCAGTTCAACCAACAGATTTTAGCCCCACTTTGCGGTGCTTTAAGGGCCTACATTGGTAAGTCCAATCATGTCTTTTTCATCACTCTACAAATTACACACGTGAAATATGCGCTCAGGCTGCCTTTAAACGTACGATCTGATGCCTTGAAGCGTCCAAGGATAATTTTTCAGAAACGTCGTAAATTTCGTACACCCGTTGGCCACAACTTAATATTAGCTGCTAGGCCGACGCTGCGCGGCCTACGGAGACTACAACGCCTGGGGTCGAGGCTTGTGTTTCTAAAATTTTCGAGCGTGCATGCTCAAAGTTACGTCACATAACTTGCATTACTAGTCGATTAAAGTGTTAAGAGATAATCATTTCAGAAGCGTTATCATTTTCGTCCACCGATGGGCCACGACTAATATTAGCTACTGGTGCTAATGATATATGTAGATATATGCTAATGCTCCGCGGACTATGGAGACTGCAACGCCTGGTGTCGAGGTTTTTCTTGCTAAGATTTGCGAGCGCGCGTGTTCGAAAACACGTTACATAAATTGTTTCACTAAAAGATTCTGACTGAATTGTGAACATTTTCGGACAAACATGGCTTGGCCATGTCATAAATATTGTTGACCACTCGATCTGCAATCAAATTTTCATCTTCGAATTTGGATCAAACACAAAACATATTGGATCAAACATACAATCTACCTTCGCGATCTCCTCAGTGTCTGTAGAACCCAGATAACAAATCTGACAAAGCTTCTGAATTCTATCGGTTTAGAAAGAGCCAACTTACCATGTACATTAAGAGCGCCGGTGATTTCTTCCATGCAGTCGCTCAACGCCTGATTTCTGCACTTTATTTATCGACCTCAAAATATAGACAGGATTGAGATCACGGTGGCTTCTGGTTTCTGTTCTTGTTAAAAATATAAAAATAACAGCAAAAAGAAGAAAACTGTGTTACTTGTTAACAAGTAAGCCATAACCGATTTGTTTGGGGGGGATCACCATAAGACAGGGTTTTGTCAACCTTGTGTTCCCCTTGGCAAGGCTCTGGCTGCGTCCCTGCCCGCACACAAAAGCAGATCAAGTCGCGTACGTTGCATGATGGGCACTGAAGTGCCCGTTGGACCAATTCATACCTGAGGCAGACAGCTTTCCGGAGGCTAGTTTTCTGCGATGGTGTGGTGTGAGCGAGGCTAATTCGGAAAATTGCAGGTGCCCAACACATGTTTCACACATCATGTAGTAGTAGCGCTGGTTCAAACGTATGCAACAAAGCAGCCATACGATCAGTTCGCAGTTGGTCATGCGGGATACATCCGGGCCTGGGCAGTGGCCACCGACGGCGGACAGGAGCAGGGCCCAGGTAAGGAACATAGGGCAGATTAGCCTCATTACGTGGCTTGATTTTAAAAGAAAATATTCAGTTCATGGCTTTTGTCACATTGTTTCTAGCAGCTTCAAGCTTCCGAATTTGTTTCCGCCTAAAATGCTGCGACAAGTCTTATCTCTTGAAAAACAGCCAGCGAAATGAGGGCGCATAAAAAATCTGTCGCACTGTGAGCCATCGATCCACTTTCAAAGTTCTCACCAGCCTATATCCATGCCGCACTTTGGCATCTACACGGTGGAGGCAGGTGCTTCCTTTATGATCCCAAATGCCTACCCGCTGGTGGAATTTTGCCTTCCCAGGAAAGACAATGTTAAAATGGACGAATAATCTAGGGGAGCTGGATAGCCTTATTGCCAAATGGCAGATGAGTCGAATAGGCAAGGTTATGCATCAGTGATAACAGCTCTAGATGCATATCTAGCATAGCAGCCATGGCATTTGAATAAAGGGCGACAACAACCTCCATCCCTACGCCCCCCCCCGTCCCCCGGTCATCTGGCTCGCTTTCTAGAAAAAGTTCCTGAGGTACACCCTGAGCTTGCCCCCCCCCCCCCCACCCTTTTTGTAACGTTCCTACGCCTATGATCACACAGAACCTGGACCGAGTTTCGACGCGACTTGAGTTGGAATACATTGATCACACATCGTGAACTCAATCGCTTAAAAGTGTGCTTCTAACTGCCAGCTGCCAACCCCAATATCCGCTTGCATGCCACAGTCGCCCCCCCCCCCCCCCCAGCACACGTTTACCAGACACTGGAGGAGCATTTAGAAACGTTTCCACGCCTGTAAAAAAATACCAAATGTGTGTGTCCCGCCCCGTTTCGGTCAGGTTCTCGATAAGCCGAACTGGGATCCCCGTGGCAATGTTGGATTCTGTGCCGGAGTGGCATTGATCTCTGCAAATTTTGGAAACATGTCGCATTCTTCGTATCCACACTTGACGCCATGGTGGTACTCGTGGTTTCTCTAGTTATCATTCGGTGTTCGCCGCTTGTCTCTGACTAGGCTCTTAGCAATG